GTTGGCTCATTTATATTCTCAAGTTCTGTTTCTTGCTCATTTTTACCATCTGTGGCTCTTTCCTGTGGAATTTCTGTCGGTGTTGAAACATCACACTCAATAATAACCTGTGTAGTCTTCTCATTTTTCTCAAAGTCTGCTATGGTTTCTTTTTCATGAAAGACCACATCCCTGCTTCTGATTGTCTTTCTCTTTACTGGATTCCATACCCTGTAGCTAAATTCTTCATCACCATATCTTACAAACACACACTGTGTAGCTTTACTATCAAGCTTTGATATCTGCTCTTTCGACACATGCATGAATGCTTTACACCTAAAAATTTTCAAGTGAGAGTATGAAGTATCTTTCCCTGTCTACACTCTTTCTGGAATGTCAAAGCCCAAAGAAACTAATGGTGACCTGTTAAGTAAATAACAAGCTATGTTGACTGCTTCACCCCAGAATAGCTTTGGTAATTTTGCCATTCTCAACATACATCTGACTTTTTTCACAATGATACGATTCATTCTTTTAGCTATACCATTATGCTGCGGTGTTCCAGGTTCTGTCCTCTCATGCCTGATCCCATACTTTGAGCAATACTTTTCAAAGTCTTTAGATGTGTATTCCCCACCATTATCAGTTCAAATACACTTCAAGGGTAACCCTGTTATCCTCTCAACCATGGCATAAAATTTTTAAAACTACTGTAGCACCTAACTTTTGTATTTCAACATATACACCCAAGTCTTACGTGAAGCATCATCAATAAAAGTAACAAAATATCCGCTACCACTAAATGACTCAACCTCAATGGGACCACATACGTCAGAATAAATTAATTCCAATATATTTTCTTTTCTCTAAGAATTTTTACGAAAAAAAACTCTATGATGCTTACCAAACAAACAATAATCACATGAATCGAGAGACATACCTTTGGTCAAGGGAATGAGAGACTGCCTTGCCAAAACCTATAACCTTTTTTCACTCATGTGTGCCAGCCTTCTGTGCCACAAGTTTGCTGAAGCATTATTTTCAACGGTATTTACCTGGTTACCGTTCAATTGCATCCATGTCTTATACATTGTGCAGCATAGTTTTCCCCTTGTAACTATCATAGATCCTTTGAGAAGCTTCTATTGTTCATTCTTTTGTCGACTTTCATATCCCTCCTTATCAAGGACATTAATAGCAAGTAAGTTCATTCTCATATCTGGAATGTGTCTGACATCCCTCAAAGTCAGCATGCAGCCTGTACTAGTTTGTACAATAATATCATCAATCCCAACAATCTGTGACACACTCTTGTTTCCCATTTTGGTACAACCAAAGTCTCTTATTTTGTAAGTTGTAAACAACTCTCTCTTAGGAACACAATGATATGCCGCTTCTGTGTCAACTATCCACTCAATGTCGGGATTACTAACATGATTATAATCACCATGTGTACAAATCAAAGTAACTGAATCACTATCTGAATTCATTACTGTAATATTGCCATCATCTGAACTCTTATCTTTCTCATCTTTTCGCTTTTGCTTTAAGATTTTACAGTTTCGTTTTATATGACCCGCCTTACTATAATGGAAACGTTTCACTTTACCTCTAGACTTGGATCTATGTTTAGACTTACCATGACGTTTTGAGTCCTGACCTCTGTCGATGTTTCTACCCCTATTCTCTGTGACTAGAGCTTGATTTCCAGGGTCTACATCTTTTCGCCTTGCTTTTTCATTAAGCATACTGTCTTTTACCATCTCCAATGTCACCTTATAATCAGGAGCTGAATTAAGAACAGTCACAACTAGAGTATTCCAGCTATCTGGCAATGAACCCAAAAGAAATAACGCATTCATTTCATCATCCATCTTAAGCTCTATAGTAGTCATCTGATTAAATATATATTAAAAATCACTCAAGTGCTTTGCAACAGATCGTCTATCCTTGTACTGTAAAGTTGTAATCTTTTTAACAAGCATAACTTTATTCATACCTATTTTTCTCTCATACAATGCTGCCAATTTTTCTCAAACAATGTGAGCATCTGACTCCTGCACTACATGATGGAACACGCTGATATCAACCCATTTTTCTGATTGTAGCCAGCGTCTTTCTACCTAGCTTCTTCCAGCTTTCATCTTTCATATCTACTGGTTTAGCTGAATCACCTAATACTGGCTCATACAAATCTTTGCAGTATAAATGATCCTCCATCATAGGCTTTCCAAATTGAATAATTCGATGCCGTCAATTTTATCATGGAACCTGTATCACCATCCATGATCTCAAACAGAATTTACTTCTATCCTGGGTTACTTTTGTATCGATGTCTCAAAATAACCCTTGCTCTGATACCACTTGTTGCACCTGAAGCAATAATCACAACAATATAGAAGTAATAGACAACAATCAATAATCAAATACGCAGGAAAAATAAAGCACACCAAGATTTACGTGAAAAACCCTTCAGTGTAGAGGAAAAAAACCACGGGCCACCAGAAAAATCTTCATTATCAAATAATAGTTATACAAAGTTCCTCTCTAGCTAAAACTAAAGCTAATCAACAACTAGAGAAACAATTGAAGAAATCTCATCAAATAAGTGACTCAACAAATACATCCTGGATTTGTTTCTAGAGAGCTTCAAACCCGATCTTCACCGTTCAAAATGTAAAACTCTGAATCATAAACCTCCTGACAAGGTTCTAACTCAATCGGACCACGGATCGACTTCCATTTAACCAACTCTCCCTTCTCTTTTTTTTCTCTCTGCTTTTCTTGGCTTTTCTTCTTTCTCTGCTTGATTTTCGACACACACCTAAAACAATCCCACCTCTTTTTTATTAAGTAGCTAGGGCTCTGTGTAAAATAAAAAATCAAGGCCCATAGCCTTTACTTGATCCAAAATCACTTACATGAGACTGGACCCCATTTTTCTAACAAAATAAAGGCAGTGAAGAGTTTAGATTAAGAAATTTGCATAAAGACTTGCCAATCTTAAGCAAAAGCACATGCAGGCCATATTTTCTTCATATTTTTGGTGATTGTGATTTGTAAAGTCTCAAAAGTAATAAAGGAGTGCATTCCCCAGGGTGAAATGAAAAGTTGACACACGGCAGCTTTGGGGAAATGATGCATATACATCCAGCAGCTACAGCTGAATCTGGACCCCAATTGACTGATTCAGGAAAATAATTAGGCCCCATGCACACCTAAAATGCTTGAAGAACAATAATAGCAAATCCATGACTATTTTTAATCAGGATAAACTGAAACTGGAAGATGTTGGCAGTGATAAAATGAACATGTCTCCTGCTTAACCCAACATGAGTTAAAATGAAAATCTCATCAACTGACCTTCCTAATTAACGTAACACCTCATTCCAGGCCTTCTCCTTACCTGTTTCAACCTCAAAGCATTGATTAATGATTCGAGAGAAATTTAGTTTTAATTTGAGCCTCTAAATAGATAGACCAATTTAGTGCATAGTGCAAAGAGAATTAAATTCAATTTTTGTCACTAAAGGTGTTACTATGTCAAAAACAATGGCAATGACTGCTCTCCCCAATGAAGACATGTTCAACATTTCATTTCAAAGAAAAAAAATTAGCAGTTTTTAAGGCATTGTTTGTTTTTAAATCTTTTGATGAAACCATTCATAATCCCATAAGTAATAAGAAAGTATATGAACCCACGTTGGGAGGTTGCTGATAGGAGTTATATTGAATACCAGAAATTAAGTGTTCTGTCAGGGAATCAATTTACAGCAAAAATAATGGTGCCCGGGAAGAAAACAGGAAGGAGGGAGGGGGAGCCCTGCATGAGTACGGTTGGTGCCTTATAAATTTCTGACAAACAAGTGTTGTACCCCACAAAACACAGCACACTAACTCCCACGCCATCTCTTTCAACAAAAGTGCCTGCTAAGCTTACCTTGTATTTCACAGGAAGTCAGGGAAAGGCAAAGGAGTTTGGGATTCCCAATGTTTTGATTGCCCCTGATCCATCCCCTTTCAAACTTCCCACTCCCAAAACCCCTCTGGGCAGTGTGCTCACATGATTGTTTGCTTCCAATTTGATCCCTCCACCCACAGGCCCCCGAACCCCCATGAAATAATAAGGGCAGCCGAGCCGACGATGCAAGTTTAATAAAAACTTACATTGGGCTTACATGATTCATGTCCAGCTCAAACATATGGGCCTTTGAATTTGAATGGTCGCTTCTTTTGGCCTTTTTGGCACAATAAAAAGAACTAGCTTCGTGACAAGATGGTCTAGGCTGCGGCCACTCTATGGAATTTATGCTATACGGATAAGACTTAAGACTCAGGTCAGCTTCTCCCCATGGTAGCAGCTAGTTATGTGAGCCCTTGACGGCACTGACAAGTGATAATCTGATAGTGAAGTCCGTGAGGATCTTTTGCACCTTTTAAAAAAGCTTTCCTTTGGTCTCTGGAATTGGCTGCATATTTAGCTTCATCTGCGTTGTTTTGTTGTTTCTGAGTTCTGATGCCAATTGCCTCAGTTGGCTTTTGAAATCTTACTTTTGTCTGAGGAATATGTCTTTTCTTTTAGCATTTCAAGTACTTTTGGCTTTTTTTTTTTTGTCTTTTCCTCTCAGTTTTGTCTAACTGTAGAAACCATTGGCCAAAAAAAAAACTATAGAAAACAGCAGAGGACATTCCCAAATCCCAATCCCAATCCACCTTCGTTTAAAAGCCCAGATGAAATATCTTGGGCCACCAACTCCAATATCCACTTATATAATAGTTCATAATGAAAGGCCCATTTAGGTTTTGTTTAATGGCGATTGCGGATCTTTAAATTGGGCTTCTCTTTGTATAGTTGGCCACTTTCCATGACATACTTTTATTGGATGATTGGCTAAGTAATATCAAATATATGTAATGTAATGTAGCGTATAAAATGAAAAAAAAAAAAAAAAAAGAACTCGAAATGAAGGGTATTTATCCATAGTAATATCTTTTCTATTAAGTCGGTTGTTGTTTCTTAATTTTACGAGTTTCTAAGACAAACAAACATAACACTAACATCTTCTCAAATCTCAAACTCCGTCACGACACCACTTGTTTACTTCCTCTAAATCACAAAATCTACGAATCTCTCCCAGAATCCAGTGAAACCCACATGCTCTCTTCCTAAAGCTGCCTCGTGCGTGTCCCACTCGGCGCGTGACGCCGACAACCCCATCCTCATCTGATCCACCGGTTTGCAATTAGCGGCTGATACTATGCCACGTCATGAGTCGCACAATTACTGGCTACACCTCGCTACATGTTGGCCGAATATTCCATACCTTCCAAACTGAATAATTCTATAGCTCTCCTCGCAACTTCCAAGCCCGAAGTTAACCTTTTTCTTATAAAAGGCTTCTCTAATTCTTAAACTTTGATTATTTTTTGCTTTGATTCTATAGTTCAAAAAATTTTCTCCTCCAAACAAAATTAAAGTTCAATCTTAATGGCTGCATCGTTATTCGGTTCACTTTTGTTGTTCTGTTTGGTTTCGTCTTCGCTTCAGCTTTGTTTTGTCGATCGTTTCTTAATTTCAAACCCGTCTCGTCCTCAGATTATTAGTCAACCTTGGACCTGTTTCTGACATAAAACTAACGTAAGAGAAGTCATCACCAACATGGGAAAACGTAAGATTTTTTTCCTAATTTCTTTTATTTTCCTAAATTAATTTGATTAACTTTTGTTTTTAGGGTTTTTAGTTTTGTAATTATTTTATTATCTTTCCTAATGATATGAATAATTGTAGATTAGTGATTGCTTGGTTAAAGCGCGTATGAAGAATTTTCTGTTATTTGTTTTGGGGTGTGTTTGTCTTTGATTTTGATTTAGGTTTTTTTTAGCTTAATAAAAGGAATTATTTGAATTTGGCAGGTAAAACTCAGCGTAAGAATGCAGCGATGTTAGATAATGACGATGATAATAGTAGTGTAAGTTCATCGTCAACCATGCGGTCTGATCAAATGTCGGTGTCTGGTACTGAAGAAGTAGAGTTTAATAAGGATAGTTTACTTGATGAAGCTGTCGATGCTTTATTCGAAAAGAGGTTAGAATTATTTATTTGCTTTTTTTTTAAATAACTTTTTGGATGAAAATATGATGCATTTGAATGGTTTCATTGTTTTCTCTTGTGAAGGGAACAACAGCTAAGGTTGTTGAAATTAGTTAGGTTTTTTGAGATTTGCAAAATTTTGAGAATAGTTTAGGCTGAATTGCTGTTTTTCCCATTTTTTGATGAAGGGGTTCTACTAGAGAGAAGTCCTTGGCTGTGATTATTAATGCTTTCAATTGTAACTTGCAGCATCAGTTCTTGGAGAAGAAGTAAGTGCCTGTTATGTTATATCTTTCTATCTTGGTCATAAATGATTTTTTTTTATTGCAAGAATTGCCGAATGGATTAGGAGTATGGTTGCAGGTGTAGCTGAAAATGTTTCTTATGATTCACAGTATATGGTTGAATACTTGAATCTATGTGCTTATGATGGTCATATTATTGTTTTGGACTGAGGGTCATACTATTATTTTGGACTGTCATGCAGATTTGCTACTTTACTCCATCAGTGTCTGAATTGTATCAAAAAGGGGTCCAGCAAAGAGATATCTTTAGCATCCCATGCCATTGGTTAGTCTTGAATGCTTTTGCAAATGCTTAAGCACAAATGGACAGAAGAAAACACAAGGCTCCAGTATCGACGCTGATAATTTCTTTTTGTAGGTTTGCTGGCTCTAACTGTTGGCCCAGGAGATAATGCACATGAAATATTGGAAGAATCAATCACTCCTCTTTCACAGGCTTTTAAATCTGGTTCTGAATCTTCGAAGATAGCTTCGGTATGTAAGAAATTGAATAGAAATTCTTTCTACCTCTAATATTTGTTGGTATTATGATGCTCAACTGTTTGTTTTTTTTTTTTCACATCATCTGCTTTTTTAGTTAGTGGAGTGTTTGGCTATCATCACTTTTGTTGGGGGGAATGATGCAGAGGAAACTAATAAATCAATGCAAATTATGTGGCAATTGGTTCATCCTAAACTTGGTTCTAATGTAAGTAAGCATGCCTGATTTTCACTAATTGAAAATTATCTGATAATGTTTTGAGGTTCATGTATTGCTTGGAACTTGTTAATGGAAAAATATGATGATGTATTATTAATGCATTGTTGGTTGCTTAGGATTAATGAGTTCTGTTTAACTTGTAGGTTATTACTGTCAAACATTCTGCAGCTGTAATAGCAGCAGTTGTATCTGCCTGGTCCTTCCTTTTGACAACCATGGATGGACGGAAACTCAGTCCCAAACTTTGGCTAGAGTGAGCAAACTCTTTGGATCATACTTTGTTCATTTTTATACATGATAATTTATTGTCTTTACAGTTCCTCCATCGCTATCTGTCTCAGCTAAACCAATCATTGGGATTTAAATCTTTGAAAAGTAGGTCAAAGATTTTTGTGAGATTTAAATTATGCTCCCACAATATAGATACTATTGAACTACAAAGTAAAAACACAAAGCTGGGCAACTTGAATGGGCAAAGAGACTGACTGGTCTTGGTAACTTATGCAGGTCGATTACATATCTGTCTAATATGCTAGATAAGGATGACCGATCTGTGCGCATTGCTGCTGGTGAAGCAGTAGCTCTAATTTTTGAGATGGGAAGCTTAGAGAAGTTTGTAGCTGAAGCTAAAGGTTCCAATGATGGCTCAGTTTTAGAAGGAAATAAATCTAAAGAAGGATTCTCACATATACAAGGACTGAAGGAAAAAATTCTGAATCAAGTCAGAGACCTTTCTGTGGAAGCTGGTGGTAAAGGTTCTGCCAAGAAAGATCTTAACAACCAGAGGAACTCGTTTAAGGATGTTTTGGAGTTCCTTGAGGTATTCATATTATTATCTTTCATTTCCTTGAATTTATGATTCTTGGGACTTCTCATTCTAACGGTAATTTACTTGGTGATGCTAGAATGGTTATTGTCCTGAGACATCGATTAAGATTGGTGGGGATTCATTACAGACATCAGCATGGTCTCAGTTGATTCAGGTTACACTTCCTCTTCTAATTCTCCAATTTATTAAGTTAGTTACATGCCATGAGTTTTTATAATCGTGTTCTTATATTTCAATCCAACAGTTGAACTTTTTGAGGCGCTTTCTGGGTGGAGGCTTCACTAAACACATGCAGGTTGGTTCCTTTTAGAGAAGTTGACATCTGTTGGTGCAAATTGCTTGCCATTTTAATTTGCTTGTTGATTAGATAACAAATTTGGTTCTTTATACAGGAGAATGAGTTCCTTCAAGAGGTTTTTGGTTTCACTCCAAAAAGAAGGAATCTCCTAGGCAGTGAACATATATCTAACAGTGAAAAGGTTGGTTCCTACTTTATTAACAACTTTTATATGAATCAAAATATTTCTGTAACTATGCTAGGTTAACTGTTTATCTGTTTTTTTCCCCTTTATATTTTGATTACCATTTTAAGCTATGATTCATTAGGCCATCATACCTCTTTAGCACTTTAGCCAGTCTGTGAGGTGTGAACAATTCATTGTGATAGATCACACTTCTAATGAAAAATGCTCTGTGAATTATCATTTTTATATTTCCCTACCTGGTTTGCAATCATTTTGATATATATGATTTGGCTTTACCAAAAGGTATGAAATTATATCGATATCTTCTGTTTCTGTGGTACAGAGAATGTATAGATCACCAAATTCAGTCCTCAACAAAGCAAGAACCCAGCAATTGAACAAGCAGCGGATGCTATCTCAGGTAAGTGTCTCAAGGGAAGTTGATTTAGTGTTTGCAACCAAATCCACTATGAGTGAATTGCGTGGTTAATGCTTGTTCTTCTTGTATTCAGGGTAGAAACATTGGGCACTTTGCTGTCAATGCAGCTGATGAAGATTCGTAAACTTCTGGAGGGCAGGAACCATTATTAAATGTCTTGCTGGCTTTTGTTGTTTTATCATCAACCAATTTATTGAAATCAATTATGAACCAATTTAGTTATATTGGCGATGGCTTCGTATACAGATAAAGATATTCTAGTTGTACGTGTGTAACGTTGATATACTCTATTTTAAGGCATCAATGAGAAGTTACTTCAGTCGTTCTTTTCATGGGATTGAAATTGGTTACTGTTTTTCTCGAATAGCTTTCCTTCTATTTGTTTATGTTTAAAACTTACCTATTACGGTTAAGACTTAAGCTGGTGATCTGAATTTCCCAGCGTCATAATACTAAAGCGGCCAAAGTTTGATCAACAGCCTATGATCATACCATGATATTTTGATTCGTCGGTCCAGGTTTCTAACTGTTTGAGCGGGGTACCAATACTCTGAAATCTGAATCAACCTCCTTGAATGGATGGAAATTGATGGGTAAACAAATAACTTACCCATAGTGAAAGGCTGAACTTTCATGGGGATTTCTATTCTCAACTTCGCAAAATGGAAGTCGAGAAATGTACTCTACAATTTATTTGCAGCTTCATGTAGAAAGAATTCTCGAAATAGATTTTAAGAAAAGTTGTGTGTGGAGTAATAAGTCCATTTGTATGAAAAGGAAAGGGTATCCCTTTCCCATGTGTACCTAAAAACCAGTCAATCCAGAGAAGTGCTTATGCATGGCCCGATCCTTCCTGTAATTATGTCTTCCACCACCCCTTCTTCCCCTGCCCCTATAATTTCCCCCGTTCCCTCTCTCTTCCTCTTCAGTGTTGTCAGGCTGGTTATGTTGCTCCTCATGGGACTCTCTTTGTCTTCCTCCACCTCTTTTTCCTCTGCCCCTAGGGTTCCTTGCATGTTCTCTCCCTCCCATTTCAGACATATCAGGCTGGTTGGTTTGCTCCTCCTGCTCCATCAGCTTCTTAACTGCACCAAGAGGAAGGTTGCCACCGCGTCCAAGGCCATGTATCAACTCTTGCTGAGCTTGGGTGACTAATGAAGCTTCATTGGCATTTGCAACTGCAACTGAACCTGCAACCTTATAACTATAATTCTTACCATCCTTGACATAGTATTGAGGCTTCTTTCTTGAGCCCCATTTTGAACTGGGCGTAGATTGACCAAAACTTTCAGGTTGCAGACCCCAGGTCTTCCCCAAGTCCAAGCTGATGTTGTCACTTAGCAGCTCATTTTCCTCCAGCCCAGACTCTGCAACACTTAGACCCAGGTCATCAAAAGAGTCATCATATTCATCATCGTACTCGTACTGAGAAATCAGAGCAATTTTTCTTGATGAATCCTTATCGTCTCTGGTATCAAGAGTAGCATAATCAGGTGAGCCATCTCTAGACTTCCTAACAAACCTCCCAACTGAAGATGAGGATGAAACTGATGGGCCTTCAACCAGTTGTCTGTTAACTACAGGTACTGTTGTAATTGAGGATACTTCTACAGTTTCAACCAGTTTCCCTTTTCCTTTATCATTCCTGCTCAGCGTTGAAGCAGACTTGGGCACTGGCATTGTCTCCAGGGAAGTGTCCAAGGCCTGCAGATCTTCATGAAGACTTCCCTCCAGAATCCTCTGAATAACCTCTTCTGGATTTTGGTTATAAACTTCAAGGCAAGCAGCTATGAACCCTTTGCCATAATCAGGAAAGAGATCTTTTACTTGGCTGATTTTGGATTGCATAATTGCTGCATCCTCATCCATCTGTACCTTTTGGCTTGTCACAGGGGCTGGTGTGGGGGGTTTAGGGGGTTGCTCTTTAGCAATGTCCTTTGTTGAATACATCATAATCCCAGATAAATACTGAAATTGTTCATCATCCAAGACTACCCACCCTGCAAGAAAGATGTTGAACACAAATTACTCTGTGGAAGCGCAAGCACATTTATGAAAGAACAAGAATAATGAAGGATTGTTGAGCAACAACATAGGCACACAATTGACATCCTCAAATGCAGAAGTATAATGATTGGATGGATTTGACAAAAAAAGGGTCCAGTTCACAAATATTAAAGCAGTACATATCACTCTCCACCATGTATTAAGATAACAATTGTCCCCCTTATCGAGTAACAATAGATATACACTATTCCACCTAGAGAGCAAAATGTATAATTGTAATGAGAAAAATATATATAATTCTCTAATATTATCAGCATATTCATAGACATAAAAGAGCAAATATATAAAGTTGATTCACCAAATGGACCTTAATGCTAACAGTGAACTGCCCTTCAGCATGGTTGTTACCAGCCTTGCGTGGAGAAGCACCTAAGTCTAGGTTCAAGTCCCTTCTTCCTAACCACCCATTCTCTTCCTCCAATATGCTCCATTTTAATAAATAAACAAATTAAATATGAAATATAAATTATAGGATTTAGGCAATTTGGTTATAAAGGCGGTATCTCAATCTGAAGTAAAAGGACAATTTATTTAATGCACTGACCAGTATTCTGCAAATTCTCAAGTTTGCTCATTATATTGCAATTCTTTTCAACATTCTGAAGGAAAGTATCCCATTTCTCATTCTCTTGAACTTGCAGTGAAACTCCATTTATCTCCCTAAAAGTTTGAACCAAAATATCTGCTCTTATGAATGGATCTTCTACTGTGGCTGGAAACATCTTTGTTGCAGTCAGGATAGGATGTCCACCCAAAAACACTTCATCACTAAGATAGCAAATATTGAATAGTTTCCAACCGAATTTGACTATTCTAATAGACAACATCTTCAAACTTAAAGCAATATCTGTTAGACTTGCGAATTCTCCAGATTTAGTACTGCTTCGAAAACCCCGTTGCAAAGATGGAAGTAAATTATCATGCAGACGTGAAAGAGTTGTGAGCAATTCTTCATTCCCATAACTGCAGAGATAGAGAAATTTTATATAAAAAATTGGATCAGAGCATAATTTCCCATGTAATTTGCGAGGAGAAAGGGAAGGATGGGACACGACCACATAGAAGTTTCCCACATAACTATCAAAAGAAAAAGGTTAAAACAATAACATCAGAAAGTAATTAGATCAATTTAACAGTCAAAGTTGAAGTTACAATACAATGATCCTCAGTCAGTTAAGTTAGGTTAAGCTCATTGCAAACAACCATCCACAACCAACAAACTTCTTGCAACATCAAGGGTTCTTATTGTGTAAATAACAAGTGTATACTTCATAAAGAATAGAAGTTCCAGCAATAAAAGAGGTACCTCATTTCAACAGGACAAGAGAAAAAAACAGCTGCAGGTCTGTATGCAGTAACAAAAGCATCCATAGATACAATGGCATCATTAATAAAGTCCATGACCTGTCCCAGGAAGTAGACAAATAATTTTAAAGCTCCACTACCACTAAGAAAATCAACCTGAGATAGGACTCAACCAATGATTCAGGAGGTCATCCTAATATATTTACAGGTTCCAGCTTTGGTTAAGCCCCCCCCCCCCCCCCCCACATTGACAAAGGTCTATCATACTCTGTATTTATCGGTTTATTTATTCATTTTGAAATGAAATGATAATTATTTCCTTCCAAATACACATACTGGAGATCCTTTTTTCAGAAGAAAATTATCCCTAAAAACAAAATAAAAATGCCATAATATCTTCCAACTGTGAGTTCAGCGCAACACTGTTCTACCCGTGGCACCAACAAAATAAAATCACTAACAAAAACAATAACAACAAACCTCCAAAAAGTCAATATGAAGCCGATCATATCCATGATCTCCATGATTTCCAGAAGAAAAAAGAACCTGTCCAGTATTAGCAACACATACATAAGCAATGATGAAAGTCATAACTAAGTAAATAACTACTACAGATGAAAATAGAACTAACAGGAGTGCAGAAAATGTCTAACATTACATTCTGATAAGGAAAATCTGTTCAAAGCAGTTTAGAAAGTACCTCCAAAGATGTGCTGCAGCGTTCATGCATTGTATGAACAATACTCAAGAAATGAGACAACACTCCAGTCAGATTATCATGGGTTGTGGGCTGAGCTTTGAGAGCATTTGCTACCTGAAAAATATACGTTAGAGAGAGAGAGAGAGGAGCTTGGGAGGAGGCAAAAAGGAGGAAGAAGGCAGTCAACTTAAGACATAAGAGTATATCTCCCACCATACTCAACTATGAGACACACGCAGACTAATTTGACATAAAAGGGTAAAGATATGGAACATTTGAAACATCCAAGTACAATGCATTTATGGCAGAAAAGTCCATGGCCCATTAACAATTTAGCTATTTGTTAGGACTACTTAAATTATAAACTACAGAGTAATTTTTATCTCATCCTTCTTGATTGGCCTTGAACTCTGACTCTGCAGAGGTGGTATTCATGGCAATTTGACTTCTAAAGTGACCATTGGAGACATTTCAAGGATCAATAAACAAAAACATCTCCTTCTGACAATAATGTAAGCTTATCAAGCATAAATCTAACTCTCACTGAAAGGTTCAAAGGAAGCAGGAGATGTTTGGTCTCCTTAGTTAAGCAGAGTTACTTGCAGGAGAATCTAAACAGATATTCTTCATAACACCAGCTCACTTATAGGCCTTAAAAAGCCAACGCATGTAGAGAAAAGATATCAAGTCTTCAATCACTTTCTACAAAAGAATGCTTACCAGCAATTTGGTCAGATCATCATTTTCATGACCATATATAGCACATATGTCGAACAACTTCGGCAAGTCAAGCAACTTCTTTTCCTTCAAGATGACTACATGCAGAATTGGTTAACAAAATGTGCATACCAAATATGCCATACAGTAAAATTTAACAACAATTTGGGGTAAATTAGATTGAGCAACACCAACTACATTTGACCAGACTAAAATACATTTATCCTCCAATAATAAGACAAGGAAAAGAGACAACCCACCTACGTGGTCGTTGGCACTAAGACTATCAGCAGCTCGAGCACCAGGATCCCTATTTGAAGATCTACAATAGCAAGAAGGCCTTTATCAATTTATCACATAAAAGTGAATACGAAGGAAAGAGTTAAAAAACTTAAAAACTCACATTCGATACAACAGCATGAAGACACGGCGGCTTAATTCAAACTCTCCAACAATAACTCCAGCAACGATCCCTTTCACACCCCGATGAGGAAAATCGTACCACCTGCTCCTGAATTGCAAGAAGCAGTCCAGGAATTCATGCAAAGATGCGTCGCCAGCCACTGATAAAAAAAAAAAAAAACTAAAATAAATAGCAGTTAAAATACATTAAAACCAAAAACACGATCAAATAGCAGTTAAAATACCCTGTTTCCAGAATTCTCTGGGGCTGAGCTTGAGCAAGCGAGACAACTCCCTATTTAAGAGATCAACTACTCTCTGTGATTCCACTGGATCCAATCCTCCTTCCTCAGCGCCGAGGCCGGCCGCCACGGCTTCATCTTGTGGCAAGTAATTTACGAAATTGCCATTGGCAGGAGTGGATGGAGTTGCTCTGTTTGGCACCCAATCCCCATTCTCTCCCATCCGAACACGGCTGCTGGTAGAATCTGAGGATGCGGCTGCTCGACTACTGGATGACGGAGCATCGTATTGTTTGGGAAGAGACTGCCTGAGAGAAGTCGAGAGGGAGGTCGGATTAGGGTTTTGATTTTTGGGGATGTATTTCTTCTGAGATTTGGGGAAATTATTTCTGTAGTCGCCGTCTTGCCTGCTGCTGTTAGTGTATCTATGAGACATTTTTTTCTTCTGTTTTTGCGTCTTATCTTCTCAGTGTTTGATGACGGAAGAGCGAGTGAAAGACCTCTTAGAGCTGTTGTTCAATTTATAGGTGTCGCTGACAGCGTATTCCCGAAGGGTTTTTATGTTCTGTTCATTTTCCCTTTCTGAATTTTCTTTCTTGCTCATATTGACATTCGTAATCACCAAGAAACCATTTATTATTAACTTATTTATTAGTAGGAATTATAATTAGGATATGAAGAAATTTACAACGTGATTGTTAAAAACTGAAAGTGCCCGTTATGGCCCAAAAAAAAAGTGCCTATTGGCCAAGCACAAGTCGAGCCATTAAGGTCAGTTATAATTTCTGGACTTTGTGCAATGGGCGTTTCAAATTGTACCCACCCCTTGCTCTGCTCCCCTTGTAATGTATAAGGTTCATCCATGTCAATAAAAAAAATATCAATTTCCTATGCTAACAATAAAATTCTGCATTTTGGCACATTAAAAGTAACGCAGAAAACATTGTTTTGGTATAGGATTCTCATCAAATCAAATACTATCAAAGGGAACTCTCAAACCAAACTAGATATGATTTTATCCAACATCAACTCCTCAAGTTTAAAACTCAAAGCTTCCCAATGTGTAGTACCTGACAAACTAATAAGACTATCCGAGGGAAAAGCATTTTTGTACAATGGAGGACGGAGATAAGAAGCTTCATTGTTACTTTCTTTGGGTTCTTACCAGAGGCTTTTATGTGATGCACGAGAAACCGTCGACTCTCAAAGAAACCATGTCATTCTCATTTTGAAGCTCCATAGAGCGGATGGAACAAGGGTTTTTCTCTATTATAAGACACGACGCTCATACCCACTCAAAGTTTGTTTCTTTGGGCAAAACCAAGGCAATGAGGCAGTCAGATGGATTAGGTGCAACTGAAAGCATAGAACACGCATCTTGTGAGTAGGGAAGAATAAAAAGAAGCCTGGACCACATGGATTTCATTGCTGGAATCTTAATCACTCCTGCACAGTCCCTCTGCTTCAAGTACGAGATAAAATCCTGAAACTGGGAAACGAAGTTGCAAGAATAAGCCAGATTATTATTTGCTTTTGTCATATAAGCATGAATAAATTGTTTTGAAAAGAGCACTTTTGGCAAAGATTGCTTCAAGCTGAAGCCTAGTGACAGCGTTAGAGAATAGAGACACCATCTAACTGGGGTTGGCAGAAGCTTGAACATTAAATCTTGTGCAAGAAACAAAAAGTAACATAAAACTATTTAGGGATAAGTTTATAAACGTGGGATAACTTACTCCTTTATGGTCACTTGTAGAAGATGGGATCAAGCAACAAACTTCCCTCTGCAACGCATAAAAGAAACACCAATGAATACATTTGAAAACTGGCAGAATATTTATGTCAAAAAAAGAAAGAAACAGGAAGAATGTTCAACTCAGCTTTTCTGCAATAATAATCTTAAAAAAAAAAGGGAAAAGATTGGGGACACACTTTATGTGGTGGGGTGTTGGTGAACGTGGACTTCACATGCCGAAAATCTGTGCGTTTGGTCATGTCTAATTTGGCAGGCCATCTGCAACAGGCAGCAGAGGAGAAAGTTTAATAGAAATTATTCTCTACACCTGATAAATATCATGATCAGATAGAAATTAAGGGAAAAAAGGGAGAACAAAGTTCATACTCAGCAGGTTCAGAAATGGCATTTGAATATTTGCAAAGATCAGACTCTAGTCTCTGAGCATAAATTGTGCAATAATGAACCCCACTCTTACATAATGCGCCCCGCCACTGATACTTTACACACTGTTCAGAACTTCCCATATCAGTTGATTCTGCAATAGGTGGAAGGGGAGGGGGAGGAGGAGAATTAGGTGGAGGAGGAACCAAAGGTGGCAGTGACTGTGGCAATGGTGGTGGGGATAGGAGGAGGTGGAGGTGGAGGTGGAGGTAGCATTTCAGGTTGAGGTGGCATTGATGATAAAGGTGGTGGGACAACAGGATGTGGAAACATCTGCTCAAAATGCTGCATTGGAGGTCCCTGCATCTGAGCAAGTGGAGTCACAGAAGCAGGTAAAAAGGGAGGTGGAACAGCATTGCCATGAAAAGTATTAGGCACAACCCCAGGTGAAATTGGATTTTGAGGAAAATGGTGATTCAAACCTCTGGGATCCCAGGAACTGTTTGGAGGATGGTAAACAGGTCGCATAAATGGAGGTGCCTGGAGTTGTGGCGCTGGTGGTGGAGCAGAAAGGCTCTGTGTTGCTACAGGCATACATGGCATGCTCCCAGGTGCAGAATGCAGCTCACATTCAGGTTTTTTATAATTCCATACTTGTCCAGAGGCACCAGAGACAACAGCACCACCTAAAATACAGTTAGTAATATACAACTATGCTGAAGAGGATAAGAGCCAGTATTTATAACCATTCGTTAGTATAAGACATTACCTCCTTGTGCAGGATCTGCTATAAGGTTGTTGTCATAACCATCAACTTTTCTCACCCCACCTTCAGGCATATCTGTACAACCAGAAGTGGGCCAGTTTGACTGAAATGGATGTGCACCTGGTGCTGCAGATGCATGATTATCCACCCTTAACCTGGGAGATACAAGTTCCATTGAGCTGCTAGACATGTTTGCTGAGTTATTGTTTTTGATGTCAACATGGATAGGCAGAGCAGCACCAGACCTTCCACTGTCAACATGGGACATAGAGACATTAGCTGGCCCAGCACTAAATGGTGGCATATGGCCACTGTCAACATGGATAGGTGGAGCAGCACCAGACCTTCCGTTGTCAACATGGGACATAGTGACACTAGCTGGCCCTGCATTAAATGGTGGCATATGGCTACTTTTTTCTTTTCGATGCTGCCTGAGATGTGCCATTACAGCAGCAGCTTCTTCAGGAGTTTCATATCCCAGCAGCAATGCACATTCACAAGTAAGATCAGTAACCATGTAAGGACCCTTGTAGACCACTTTCCTTGATTCATGCAGAATTTCATCCCTAGCCCATTGACTCGAAATGTTTCCAACATAAACATGAGAACTAGAACCAACAGCGACACCATTCACAGCACCCCTGGTTCCCAATCCTACATCCATGAACATTACTCGCCAAGGAAAACAGCCACGGATATATTCCCTAGTCCTTATGGCATCAATGATGCTTCTGTACTCAACCAACACAAATCCTTTAACTGGAAAAAAGAAAAATTGCTCAATGGGAGCAAATCTCTCAAGCTGAAATCTTATATGGCCTTCAGATGCATCAGACCCTAAAGATCCCAACCATAGCTGCCGAGAAGCTGAGAAAATACCCATGGCTGCAGGATCACCATCAAAATACCATGCGCAAGCAGTTTGAGATGATGTTGCAAAACAATTATTGGGTGATGCCAAAGCATTACTTACACCTCCACTAGAGGATCTCAAGGCAGAAGCAGCATTGGAATTTGAAACTTGATTCTTGTCAACAATCTTAAAGTGATTTCTACCTTCAAAAGAATTACTCCTGAAGTCCATTGGTGTTCTTGTAGCAGGTGAAAGCATCTGATGGCTTGATAGGTCCCCAGGAACTGAAGACCTGCCACCGGATAAATCCCCATGGTCTTGCCTTTCAAAGTCCATGGACCTTGAACCTCTACTATCATGACTAGAACCAGCATTCAAGTAGAGATTAGTTTCAAGGGGAACAACATGTGGCTTCAGATATTGATCAGATAAATTTTCAACATAATTCTCATTGCTGGATTTACCTCTTCCAGATGGGTCACTTGAGGTTTCATCCTCATCACTGGCTACTTGACTGGCTTCAATGTTAATATGTTTCCAAAATGATTCAAAGATTCCTTCCAAGCTAGATATAAACTCTGGCACAGATTTAGATGGAGATAACTTACACAAATTCTTGTACTTTACAAACATCCAACTACTCAATGATGGATTTCTACCAAAAACCTGAATAAAAGGATATGAGATGCCAACAGGAATGAGCAATAGACAAACATAAGGAAAATTTAGAATAAAAAAAAAAAATTCATACACTAAAGGGTAAATAACCATTGCTTTTGTGTTAGAAATAAGAGTAAACCACTAAAATCCATTAAATTAATTTGATAGGTGGAGTAACCATGAAGTATTACCAGACCCAACAAAGAGCTCTTCAGAACGAGAGATGCATCTTCTGTAACATTGCCACTATCTGATCCTGGTGTCTCACCGCTAAGCTCACTACCTTTGGTGCTTGTTCCAAGCGAACCTGTACCAGATTTAGGCCCTATATCTATTTTATCTAAACCACTATCATCAAGACTATCAAGCTTGCTTGTTGCCCATCTCAGAAAATACAGTCCTTTATCAGCTTCTTCAGTTGCAGATGATTTGAAGAGCTCAAAACAGGCAGAAAGCAAATTCTTAGGACAACGGAAGAAAATCCAGATTAGAGTCAGGGCACGGAATTTGGATAACTTAATTGACGAAGATTCATCATCATCTGAAAATTTTTGCTTTAGCTCAGAAAATATTTCATCAGAATCCTTCATTTTGCAAATATCATCATCAACAATCTGAAACAAATCCTTTCCCTCAAAGGATGATACGAAAAAGGAGAGCACATTCTGGAAAACTGCTAAGCAGATGCCTCTTATAACTGATGATGCCAGTGCCTCTTTAGAAGCTGTGCAACAAATATCAGCTAGACCAAAAATGGAAGCTTTAGAAGTTTGAAATGCAACATTATCAACATCTTCTCCCCTACTTATCACTGCCAAGCTAGAGTTATGCATATCAATAATGACTTTTGTAGCAGCTTCAAGCGCTGTTGGACAGTATGAGGCATACCGAGGAATGAAGTCAGCAACAAGACGCTGTACGCTTGTACAACCTGCAAAGAAGTAAAACAACTGTTCCTAAAAGAATTTCATTACATAATTATGAATATTTCATTGCATCCTCTAAAGAATTGAAGCTCCATTCAAATCCAATCAAATTATTATATTAATTCAACTCCTTGAAATCTATTCATTAACTAGAATTCAGCTCATTTAGATTTAGGTTAACAAAAAGGGAACTTTCCCTCTACTGTGATTCTGACCAAACATGTTTAATTCTATTACTTTTTCTACTTCAATACATTGAGGATCAAAATTCAATGTAAGTAATTAACAGGAAAAAGGAAGGGAAAAAGAGTAAAAGAAGGTGACCTTTAGAAGCAGTTATGAGAGCTAGGTAAGCTTGTTCAAGCTCAGGCATGTGCCGAGCATCTTTGCCTTTCAGGGCAATACAGGACTTGATCCTCTTGTAATTCTCGTAAACAATTCGAATCTCGTCTCTGTTTCTCCTTCTCACGAGAATCTCCTCTTGAGACAGCGGAGGTGGAGTGTTTGGCGGAGCTACGGAGGTAACTGGTTGCTCAACGGTCTCCGGCGGCTCAGGTGGAGGCTCGTACAGCCTTCGCTTCTTCAGAGGTTGTTCGGAAGATGCCATCGCCATGGCCGCGGAAAGGAAGAGAGAGCCGATGCCGAGTGGAGCGTTGTTTTCTCTCTCGCTATGCGGAGTGAGAGAGTTTTGGGGGGATGTGAGTTCGACGGAGTTCTGGAATTTTTTGAAATTACGTTCGTAACCCTGTGTGTTACGGCCCAACTGTTGCGAACTTACCATCAAAGTGACATCTGCCATGTAAACCATCAAACTTTTCTTATGGATCTTTTAGGCTGGGCCCAAATTCATGATAGCTTGCTAATCCCTATTCGTCGGTCCAATGAATTATAAGCTTTTTTTTTTTTAAATGAATTAAGTATAAAGTTTTAATTTAATTCATCAAGAGATATACAATAAAAATGATTTAAATTTGGAATAATTACCCAAATAAAACTTAAAACTTTATTAAACAAATTGAAGTCAAAACCTTATTATTACTATATTTAAAATTATATATTATCCAGTTTGGTGCTCAGTTTCATTTCATGGTTCGAAAGCAGAAGCATTTATTGAATTTCTGCAACTTTGACAATCCCCATAGCACAGGCATCTGCGAGCATGTGCTAGGGAACATTCAGCTTTGGAATACAACATACAAATTAGAAGAAACATATGGGATAATTCATTATAAAAAAAACATGGATTACTCCTTGTGGTTGAAAAATGGAATTAATTTCATTCGAAATTCTCAACACTACAATGTATAGAATTATTTTTTGTTTTCATTTGTTAATTATAACTAAGAACTCCTGTGCAAGGTAGCTCCTTCCCAGGGTCATAGAAGTGTGGAGATCTTCTTGTTGAGACCGATATCGATGCCATTGTAGGCAATGGGAGCATACATCCATAGATCATCAGAGCTTAAAAGCTGCGATGATGCAGAAAGGACAATATAATATTAGAGTTAATGACTCGAAGCAACCCTTTAATAATTTGTTTTAGGATTTTATTTAATCCCACTTTGTCCTTACCTTAATTTGAAGCTGCAAAAACTTCACGTAGTCACGTAGTGAACAGCCTCTTCAAGCATTGTGCTGATATCAACCTGTATTATCATCAATGAACAGTATATGAGTTTCACAACCTAATTATCATTTTGTGTCTTAAGCTCTTAACTATGACATTTGCTTAATTAATTACCTTTGTTCCATTGGGGACAAGGTTCTGTAAAATTCTCAATCTCTCATTAATCCTCTCTCTTCTTTTCTGCAGTAATCAAGCACAAAAGATTTAGATATTTCGCGTTCTGTAAATGACTCATGATTGCCTGGCCAGCTGGTAGGAAATTTCTTACCCTTGCATAGAGGCTTTGTGGATCAGTTGCTGACCCTCTACTGGCTCTTGTCTTTCCATTCAAGTTAAGAGCTTGAGAAGCTTTGGAATCTGAGGTTGCTACCCCATTAGCGTCCTGAGAAACATTGTCATCCTCTGAACTACAGGTTGTGCTAGAACTCTGTCCATCCGAACCAATGTTACTATTTCCTTCACTTCCATTTAAATTGATCTTGCGGTTCTTTTTTGAGTCCTGCACATTCTTATCAACTTTTGGTGCCTGCATTTTCAAACCATGAATTAGAACTACTATAATTAATGAAGATTTTATACATATGCTTGAGAATAAGAATATATAACGTAGTGGATTAATATATAGCTTAACATTCATGTTTCTCTTACATCTTTTGAAACCCGAGGTCTTTTCTTTGTGTTCTCAGATGAATTGCTATTGATTTTTTCCCCTTCAGCATGCAATTCCAGCACATCAAACTTCCTCTTGAGTAGCAATTCGTTGGAAAGCACAACATTAGCTGCTGGATGGCTAGCATCAAATTTTCCTAAGCTGTCAGTACCCATATCTTCAATGACATTAACAATACTGCCTTCCAATGTAATGTCTGGGAATGCTGCGGGAAACGAGTCGGTAATTTTATCGCCAAGAGCATTGGAAGAATATAACAAACTGTCATTTACCCCAGTAATGCCCATTTTGGCTTCGGGATTAGGACAAAAAGTCGACGGGTTTAAAAAGCTCAATCCCTCGTCATGCTCCATAGGAAACGAAAACTGATTAAGAAGTTGCTGTGTCAAGTCAAGTTCTTCAGTAGAAAACATTGTGTTAAAGGAATCCAACTCTTCATCAGGAAATGCTGCAAGCGACTCCATCTCTCTTGTAAAACCTTGGAGAAAAATTAGGAGGGTTTTGTTTCTCTGTACTGCTATACTTGCTAATTGAAGCTCTCAAAGGTGCTTGAGGTGAGCAAAAACCAGATATATATTTATACCCCAAACCATAAAGAGAATGCTAGCAAGGATTGACCTACATTAGTTTATTGGTTTCTGAATTCCCAATCATTATTCTGTTACTAATCCAGGAGTCCATTGTGGGGCCAAAACCAGGCAAAGGACAACTCATATGATGGCCAAGTTCACGCATTGATAGATTAAATTAACACAAAGGGGTTCAACGACCCTTAAACACCTTGGACCTGATGATAAAACTGCAATTAGAATGACTCAAGGGTCCAAGAACAATCATTGAGAAGTGACTAATAATGATTAATTAGTGATTAAACAGGTGAGATGATGCAGTGAGACTGAGGCTAAGGCAGCGTGAGAATGAAGCACACAGAAGGATGATTAGACTACTCTTTGTATTTTGAATTGTCAGAACGTGGGAGTCTTCCCTGGAATATAATAAGGTGGAATGTTAAGCAGATTAAACAAAAGTACTGAAGCAAAAGGACGGCCAGAACGTGGGAAATGAGTCTGACATTCTTTAAAGTTAACTTAAAAATCCGACACGGTAACCACCAAACTCGTTCCCTGTCCTAAATGGCAACTGGCAGGAACCTAACAGTTGTTGCTTTTCTTTAAGCCTTTTTAACTTGCAATGTATGATTTGATCAATATTATACGTTGGTAAGACTGGTATAAAGTCATCTCTTTAGAACTTAGTTTTAACATTTCAAGCCATTAAAGGCAAATTCATATGCATCAAGTTTGCTAATATTGCAGCCTGAAACCAGACTGTGATCAATTAATGAGTGCAGATCAACTGCCTTAGCCAGGAGTTACCGGAGAAAGATCAAAGAAGAGATAATTTGAAATATATAGTATATTCTACATTATCTAAGCCTGTTAATCACTCTCATGGCCAGTAGTTGCAACAATAGCATGCACCTGATGAAACGGTACATTCTAACCATAAGCCATGTGAAAGTTATAATAAAATGCAAAGTGTGTATATATATATATTCCCCAACTGATCAAATCCCCTCACAGCCATTTATTTTCGATTCCCTGAACAAGGCCATAAACAAACACAAGACATAGAGATAAGTAACTCGTGAGAAATAAACAAACCAAGATTCCCTGAAAGCTGAAGCACAATATCGAGCTATTTATAACAAACTCAATATGATCCCGGCTGTGATATCTGAGTTAAGGAAAACTAGTAATCCAAGGTATATATAGTAATCCAATAGATTACCTGAACAAAGCCATAAACACACAAAATTATTGTACATTAATTCGCCCCTATGATTCTGCCGAAACCATCGTTAATTAGACCATTTTTTTGAGTTTTTTAAAGAAAATTTTTGTTCTTGTTTTAAAGGAAAGTTCGATAAGGTCTTTGATGTTCTTTGGAACTTGCAACAGCCATTGCACGACCTTTCAAACAACAAAACTCTGACATGTCTGATAGTTTAATGGAACAAAATCAAGACAGACATAGCCGTAGTGGGATTTTTAACTTGTCAAAATCTGATATTATTCTTCAATGGAATGTAGAATTAGCTGTTCCTCACTTTCCACCAATTCCATGAAAATCACACCTTTTAATTTGATATTGCTTTCCAAAGTCTTCCTTTCTTTTTTCTTAGTTTTTGGGCATCGAAAACATGACAAAGCAATATTGGACAGCTTGCTTCATTCATGTCTCATCAAACTACCAATGACCATATAATTCTACTCCATCTTCATCTACCACCCATTGGCTACCTGACTGCTCTTCGTTCCGCCACGTTTCAATCTGCTACATTTCCCACACTAAAAAATGCTGAATCTTCCGGGTGGTCATTTAGTATTTGAAGTTGAAATGGATGGATCTGTTCATTAAAACTAAAGATTTAACATTCTATTTACAGATCCATTTGCTACATTCCCACACTAAAATATGCTGAATTTTCCATTACCAAACATTACTGAACACGATTTTTACGTAAGTTAAGCAAAAAAAGGAAAATGTAGGCTGAAGAAAGTAAGATGAAATCATATTATCAAAAGTTTAATTAAGAATTAAAAAGGTTAGAAATTAATTATTACAATGGATTAATTACTCCTAGTAAATACATCGAATCATAACTAGTATTTACTTAATTGCTTCCATTCAGTCCTTCAACATATACAAAAGCAAGCTGCCGACTTCATTTGACAAAAGAAATTTTATTTTTGTAATTAAGAATTAATCAGTTGTATTAATTAATGTAGATTTAAGTATTTTACATATATTAATACAAAGTGGGACATTCTCCAAAAGAATGGAGTGTGAAAATGAATATTAATATATTATCTCTTTGAAAAGCCATGTTAATATGGGCCATCCTGGTTGGTAAGACTCTGCTTTCTTCAACATAAAAGTTATATGCATGAGTCAGTGTCTCTTCACACTTACAATAAATTTAATTTATGTTCCATTTTAGGTTATGCTTGGGTCAGTTGAAGTTTTTACAAAAAGTACTGTTTCAATAGAAGTATTTTACGTCAATATAATATAAAATAGTGTTTGATAAACAAAACATGTAGGTTTTGTAAAGTGTTTGATTTATAGCGTTTAAAAGGTCAAATTGTTCTCTTGCAAAAATTAAAAATTTTAAATATTATATTTGCTTTTGTAATTGATAAGGAGAACTTTAATTTTTTTGTAAATCATATATTGTTTGATTTTTATGAGAAGTATTTTGAGATTAGAATTTGAAATATATCGTATTGATATAGGAAAATACGAAGTTTTTAATATGTTTAAAAAAAATTAAATTCAAGTATAGTCTAAGACACCCATGATTGTATTAAAAAAAAATTCAATTAAACAATATTGTTTTCGTGTTATTGATATATACGTGTGTGTGTGTGTATATTACATAATTAATCTCTACAAAGCTTCCCATATGGTTCTTCTCCGTATAGTTCATATATATATATATATATATATATTATTGTCATGAGAAGAAAGAAAAATCTACTTCAAGTAAAAAAGACAAAAACAAAATGGCCTCCCTTAGAATGTTTAGGTATACTAATTTTTGACAATATTAGTTTTTAAGAAAAAAAAAAAAAGCTTATATATTCCCTTAAAGAATTGTGATTTAGTAATTTTTAGACACTTGTCTTATCTTTTGCTTATAGTTATTAAACTACAAAGTCAATGCTCACTGAGTTTATTTTTCTTATAGGTGCATATAATTATGGTTAAAAAATGATAAACTAATAAAATGTCAACTTTTTATTGTTAAATATAGTATATTGTTTCATGGGAAATATGGAAATTAATTATGATTAATCAAACAATGATGAAATAAAGGGATCACTATACAATTGAATTAGCTTTTCAGGGCATCTTGTTGTTTGTTTACAAAAAAAAAAAATTATAGTTTTGCTTCCTTTAGCATATCTTTTATTTTGAAAAATGAAAAAGAAAGAAGCTTGACAACAAAAGGGTTGGGAAGAGCATGCCGCATGGGGGGAGAAGCTATAGTTGAGTAGACTGTTGAAGAGCATAATTGTAGTTTGAGCAAAATATATGGTTATTCCACTCACAGTTATTTCCCAACATTAATTTGCTCTAAAAGGGATGAATAAAGAAAATAGACCATGTTTTAGCTTTTCCTTGGTTCCCAAGGCCAAGGATTTTGAGGTTAGGCAAAGAGAAATGTGAATTCAGTTGTCCAATGTCAGGTTAAACTTTGTATGTTTTTTTTTTTTTTAATATTTGAAGTTGTTATAATAAAATCTTAAATAAAAAATTTAATTCAATTAATTCATATAATTATTTTTAAAAATTAATATTAAAAAAATTTATAGTTCAAATTCCGACATCTGCTTTTTTTTTTTTTTTTTATCTTTTGTAAAAACAATTGTTAGTGATTTAACGTTTGATCAATGGATTAGGAATTCAACATTTTACCAATAAATTTTGGTGAAACTTTATACTTTGATGACCATGAACGTATACCTTCCTGCATGTCATTTTATTCATACTTTGATGCTACAAGAAGCTCAAGGCATGGCAGAAAACTAGCATTAATTAGATTCAAAAAACCAAAATTTTTGGTTTATAGCATAAAAGAACATGTTTCTTACATCATTTACAGAACAAAACTGTTTTCTGAAACATCTCTGTCTCCTTTTTAATCTTTTTTTACTTAATCTACTTATTCCATGAAGAAACATAAGACTGCAAAATTTCATGTTTTTATATTGATACAAATTATGATACGTAATTTTTATGTAAAATATAATATAAATATAAAAATTTTAATATTTTACATGATATAAATACACAAATCACCGTATAAGAGCAACAAAATCAATAGTCAATAAGTTGGTGAATTCAGCTTGAAAACACGACAATGGCATTAACAACAGAATCACTTGTATCAACAAACAATCCGTTCAATGAAAGCCACTAGATATAGTGCTCATAATATTACAAGGCAATCAACCATCCTTGCAAGCAGAAATGCAACATTTCTGGTAAATACTCACCTACAGACTTTCTTGTCAGAGAAACTGGGACGAATACCGTCGATACCTAACTTATCACAGTTCTTAGTTCAACCTAACATTAACTTATTAACCAAATATAGCCCTTTTATTCAACCAAGTAGTTTTGTTAGGCTTTGAGACAAAGTTCCAGCTATATTGCAAACTCAAAAAGGCCAACAAACAAGCTCTTCCACCACAAAACTTGAGAAATCAAGTGGAGCTTACAAGAACAAACAGTGGTGTATCTCCTAGTCGTTCCCTGCCCTGAAATATAAATCAAGAAAGGAATAAAAACAAAGCAAACGGCAATGCATAACTGTCAGTAGAAGAGTATAATATACTTTGCGCTCAACTCGTAGCGCATGACAAGTCAGTAATTTTAAAGCTCTACCGGTTGATACAAGACATTGGAAAAAGATATATAGCAAGAACTGAATGAAGATGCAGTCAATAGTCATAGCTATTGGCTTACTGTCAATACAAGCCCAAATTTCCAACGTGGAATCATATCAATGCCGCTATGTTGTAGTTGAATTTAATATTAATAATAATGATTTATATGGAATTTACTGCCATAAACTCTGCTAGTTTTATTTTAAAAGAAATGACATAGGTCCTATCCTAAAAACCTCCAATGAACAAAAAAAGGCAAAAACTAGTGAATAAATGCAAAGAATAAATCAAGCTCTTTTAAAACCCAGCATCCCGTTCATAAAAGAACTACAGTTGTATTAAATATGACATTGAAATTATTACATCTTTAAGAATTTATTGTCCAGCCTAACATGTTTTGGCATAGGCTCAAAAAGAAGATCAAATTTTGCAATATGAAACTAGAGCACAGATGAGATTCATTCCTTCAACAAGTATGGCGCCAATTAGTTCTAATCACCATAAGCAACATCTGGCAGCCTTTTCCTTTTACAATACTGTAACACCTTTTTTTTTTTTTTGCCCTTCTAAAGCTGAATTACTATTCTAAATACTTATCATTAGCCCATTGATATGCCTAGCTACAGCCATCACCATAGCACATTTATAGACATGTTAATAAGCTCCACCTGTAGTTTTATTGGTCATAATAGAGTCATAATATGAGTGTGTGTGAAGCTCAGCTATCACAGGGACTGATTTGGAAGGTTAAAGAAACAGAAGCTTAATAGCTAGTGATTGACAGGCAGCAGGTAGCTGTGAGATTAGCGACACATACCATTAGCCCGAGTAATTCTATAACACAAGCACACTCCACAACATGCACTCCAACGCGCTCTGCAAAAAACAGCCATTCATGTAAATAGCAATGTTCTAATAAGATAACAGGAGCAAGCAGACACTCCAATCCAAGAAGAAGGCAATCTTAAGGAACTCTCTTGTTCTCCTGCCTAAAGTCATAGGTCTGCTTATAGTTGACCATGAAAGTGATTGCAACCAAGCAAAGTCACTTGCAGCATATTGTAGCATATAAAGGAGAAAATAAGTAAGATCTCGACATTCATATATAAATGGAACTACCAAGTAGCCTGATTGCAGCACACAAGGTTCCACCAGTGGCAACAAGATCATCAATTATCAAAGCATGTTCGCCTGCTTGCACAGCACCAACATGCATCTCCATTATGTCTGTTCCATACTCCAAAGAATACTCCTCCGATATAACCTCCCCTAATAAAGATCAAAACATTCAACAGTTAATACAGAGATCATTGTCCTTCATACTGTGCTTGAATTTGTTGGAGAAATTGGCAAATTAATGGATGAACATAATGCAAGATTATCAGTACTGAAGAACATTACCATAAACGTATCATAAATCATTCATGAAGTATATGATGATAGTATACATTAACTATAATAGAAAAAAATTTATTTTAAGGAGCCACATATGGTAGAGCTAGAGTAAATTAAAAAAAAAAAAACATATAATAGTTAATCAAATCTTCAATGCTAATTACAACTTGAGGCAACAGAAGGACAGAATTCATTTGGAGATAAAATAAGAAGCATCTACCAGGCAACTTATTGGGTTTCCTCAAAGGAACAAACTTGGCCCCAATAGCCAATGCAATAGGCGGACCAAATATGAATCCCCTTGCTTCTACACCTGCATTTTTGCCATCAGTATTACATCAGAAACAAAATTACATACAAGATTGCTACATATGAAGAAAAAATAGAACGGACCAACATTATAGTAAGAGAAAAATCAGACGATAATGGAGTTCGATCAGTTTCCAAGAAGCATTACAATGTCAGTTGTTAGTTTCTTGAACTTATTGCTTGGTAACCAAGCCGATCAAGTAATTTTCAAGTGTTCAAAATAGATTGATACTATGTATTAAGACAAGAAATTACCTGCAACAACAGAGATATTTTTCCCTCTGTACCTCTCAACAAACAAATCAATAGTATCACGAAATGCCCTTGTATCAAGAAGCAAAGTTGTTATGTCTTGAAACATAATCCCTGAACAAAAGGAATAGCAACTCAGAAAAATCAATATAGGAAAAAAAAACAATCCATAGCAGAAAAAAAAAGAAGAAAAGAAACAAAAAGCAGAGAAGAGTGAAACGGTAGTTTACTTTACCAGGTTTGGGAAAGTCTGGGATGACACGAATCACAGAAGAAATTTTGGAAATCCGAGGGTCTTGTTCATCTTGAGACGCCATGCTTGGTTGATTTGTCACTGAGTCACTTGCTGCTCAAACTCAACAAAGTACAAACCCAATCAGATACTTGGGATTTTGTTTTGCCAGATGAAAAAACAGAGACAGTATGTGTGAAAGGGAAAGACTAACCAACACAAAAACCCAAAAATTAAAATAAATTAAATTATAAAAAAAAGCCGACCAATATCCATTTATAATTATTTGACTAGACTGCCCCTGGCTAAAATTCTTCTTCCTATAATAGCCCTTTGTAACAAACCCTTCTGACTACTGGGTTTACCAAACAAACAAAAGACATTACCAGAGCAGACCAGAGGAGGGAGGGTAAGCTGGTAATTTTGCAACCGAAGTTCCGGTAACTGGAAGGAAGAGGAAAGGGCGATCCAGCCGCGGTTTGGTTTGGGGAACACGGCGTTGACAAGCGGAGTGGTCGGTGTTGAAACTTGAGGAGAGATTGGATTTAAAGGAGAGAAAATTAAAGGTCTTTGTATCATGTTGCGCCAGCAATGACTATATAATAAAACAACAAAAGCAACAGATCAACGAGTTTCAAATGTTAAAATAAAATCTTTGGACGGGGCATACGTGCAAATTTAAGGGATTGTGAAGGGTAATTTGGTCTACAAGTGAATATTGATGTGCGAAAACATCCATCAAACTGTGATCTACTGTGAACAACTCTTACTCAGTTAAACCACTATAAAAAGGCCTAGTGAACATGCGTTTATAGAATGAATAAGAATTATTAATTATTATTAACAATTTTACATATATTATTTAATTAAATTAAAAATAATACATTAATTAATTATTTTTTTAAATATCGACTTAACTCTTGCCTAATGCTGAGAAAAATCTCCTATAGAAAATGTTGGAACTTGGGATTAAACTTAGTTCATATTAGATCTACTTTGTTTGAGAATTCACATTGGAAAAGTATATATTCAAATAAAATAAATTGAACCATATATTTAATGTTTTTGAAACTGAGGCATTAATCAAACTGATAAAGGTTAAATTTGCGTTTGATTTTATTTAATCGATGGTGTAAATTAAAAGAGGTTAATATGTATTTTTCTATGATATATCTTCACACACCCTAATCATTTTTACTTTATAAAAATACGAATGCAATGGATCACATTTTGGTTTGTTTACTTTTTCACTTAACCTTTTATGGGTTTAGGACTCTAGGCCCGCAAATCTGACCGGTTCTTTTTTATGGGTTTTTCTTTTGGTGGTATGTAATGACAAAAAGAAACCTTCACCAAATCAATTTCCGGATTGGGTTTCGTTAGATGGGTTTGATTAACGGGTGCATTGGCATTAGTTAAGAATTTGTTTTAATTATTATTTTAAAAAATATTTTATATTTAATGCATTGTTTTTATCAAATTTAAAAAAAGATTGCATTAATTACATTTTTTCCTTTAAATATCACTTTAATCAGTATCATTAAGCGTGCTAACATTTTTCTTCAATCATTTCTTTATTTCTAGGCTTAGGTAAATTAGTTACCTAAAACGTGATCAAATTTCCTGTATGTCATCAGTGAATCAACCAATTGGCCAAGATTTTCGCGATCTGATGTAGGTGGGTGTCTAAAATTAGGCCAGACCTAATTATAGTCCAAGTTGGCAGGGCAAGGTCTAATCAAACAAGAGGCGTGAAAAAAAGACTTTAATAAATAATAAAATCGCAATTTTACATTAATGTATATTGCTTCGAGTAATTAAAATTATTTATTTATTTTTTAATTTTTAATTTTATAAATAAAAAAATAAATGATAAAAAATTTTATTTTTTATGAGATTCAAATCAATTTAATTTTAAATTAATTAAAATTTAAAATAATTATTGTACATCAAAATTTTCAAATTAAAAAAAAATCACAATCTTTTTAACGCACGTGCTCTATCGAAAAGAGTTTCAACTAAAAAGACAGTGATTGGAAATGACTGTGACAGTTTATGCCATCTTCCATTGAACACTCTCTCATCCCCAGTTAAAAAGTCTTGGGCATCTGATGCTTTCAAGCTCATATTTTGCATATACCTCAATTCATTCAGTACAGTTAAACAGATGTCACTTTGGCCGTTGAAAAAAAAAAAAACATGTCTTTCATTTTCTTTTCTTAACCAACTTTGCAGTGACTGTTTTTTAAAGTATGTGATAAGTTCAATGACTTGTTTTTTAAAGTATGTGATAAGTTCAATGACTCTTCACCAACTGCTTTGGATGATCTAAAACCAGGAACCAATTTGTTGTTATTTGCTGTAGTAGCCTTTGTTTTGCACCCAGGTTTTGTAGGTGCGCTGAAACTGAACTAAAAAATAAAGATATATTTCTTTATGCAAGAGATGACTTAAGGCGGGCCTGCCCTTGCTGGTCTCTGACGCCGCCATATGTACTTTCCCATGCTTATCTTGCTTTGATTAACTTCTTACACTAAATTATTATATCCCTGATATTTTGTTTTGACTCGAGGGAAACAAGGATGATAACGGGTTAAGTTATGATAAATTTTTGTTAGTTACGAATTTAACCTGATTTTATAATTAAAAAATTTAAATTTAATTTTTTTTAATATTTAAATTCGATTCAATTTTATATAAATTATATTTGATTTGATTCGATTTAAAATTAATAAAATATTATTTTTTAAAAAATAAAATATTATTTTTTTAAATTTAAATATAATTATATATAAATAAAAATAAAAAAATAAATTTTAATATAATATTGAATCGGATTGAATTTGTCTAAAATTTGAATCCAATCTGACCCAATCTAAAATTTAAATTTAAAAAAAAAATTAAATTTATGTAATCGAATTGAATCAAAATTTATTAAATTCGGATTGGACTGTCAATCTTAGAAGAAAACAATCTTAATTTGCTTTTGGGTTAATATGTAAAAAGTCTTTTTATTAGTTTTATATTTAGAGAAATAAAGTTTTAAATTAACATTTTAATTTTTATTTCTTCAAACATTTTGTACTTGAATTATTACCGTCAATTAAGATTAAGTGATTATCGTAATTTAAATATTTAAAAAAATTATGTATATTGTTATAAATGTTCAATCATCAACACGTTAATTATTATCATATTTATAAAAATTTTATACTTTTTTTTGTCCTTGATTATTTTTTTATTTTTAAAAAATTTTAATTACAAATATACTTTTAAATTTTTTTAAATTTTTATTTAAATATTGATGTAAAAATTATATGATATAATCATAATTAAACATTTATATTACGGTTCATGATTTTACTAAATATTAATATTAAGCATGCAAATTGATTAATGATGTTAAATTAAAATATCAAAATGTTTAAAGAAACGAAAGTTTAAGTGTTAAAGTAAGATTTTATTTTTTTAAAATATTAAAGTGAAAAAATATAATATATGAACTGTTTTTGTATTTAATATTTTACTTCTTGGTGAATCTCACTGTCGTACAGAATATTATACAAGCGCAGGAATGGAGGCAAGGTTGCAGAAGAAAGTAGTAAGACCACAAGGTTAATTTGGAGTCATTAGATTTTTTTGTGCTTCGTAAATTTATTTTTTTTCCTTTTAAATAATTGGTTCGTTTAATATTTATATCCTCACTCACGATCAAATTATTCAAACATCAACATTTATATAATTTATTAATAAAATATTAAAATTTCAATTTCAACTATTTAAATATAATTTTAATAATGTCAGCTTCTAGAGAGTCAAATGGGCATAACAAAATCTATTACAAGTTAGAATTAAGTCTTTTTTTTTTTTTTTCAATTAGCCGACTTTCTCCATTTTGCATAGTATTAATAAGGCAAAAATAAAGCAACCAAATTGTGGTTTTCTGGTGAATAGAATTGTAGTAATTCAATGGATAAGTTTTGGTTACTTGGTCATCCGTTTTGTTTTTATTTTTTACTTTTCTAATAATACCATCCTCCACGACTTTCTCCCAAAATGAAATATATAAAATTGTCAAAGTTTCCCACTTGTTCGTCAATTCAAAACACTTAACTAACATGTAACATGTGAGCAAATACATATTTTCAGCCAAATTTAACGTGAATCCTAAGTCTATAGTTAGTAACTAACTAATTGAAGCAAACCCAATTTTTTTTTTTGTTTTATTCAATGTTTGATATAGACTGATTAACTTAAAAATTATGATAATTTATATATGATAATTACATTACCATCTTTAGCAAGAATTTAATAATTTACATGGTAGTTATCTTATATCTTCTAAAGTAATTAAATAAATATTTTACAAAGTGACATAATTTTCATTAAAAAATTAAAAATTTTATCACCAATATTACTATTATTTTATACATTATTATCTATAAAAAAAATTAAAATTATTTATAACTTTTACAATATAATTATTTTAGAATTTCAAATAAAGTAATACTTAAATTTTAATAAAATCAAATATAATAATTTTTAATTTATAAAAATTAATTATTATTAATCAAATAAGGTGATTTGAAGTCATGGAAGATAAAATCACCTACAATTAAATTATTATTATAACTTTAAAAATAATATCATCAGCTACTTAAACAAAAACTCTGCCTCCAATCAATTTCATACACATTATTGTACTACTTCATTAAAATATACAAGGTCTCGTGCAAAGGAGTATGTTATATATTATATTATATTTATATCAAGAGAGAAACTTGTTTATGGGAAGCACTCCAGGTTGTTTTCCACTTCTAATTGCCAAATTTATAGTCTCATTAATCATCAAAACCGTGTGGATCTTTTGAAACGAAATTTTATGCGATTTTGTTCACATTGATTATTAAGGATCTACTTGAATTAATGGTAAAATTGATTTTGATAATATTAAAAATAATAATAATAATAATTATTATTACGAATGAAACAAATTTTTTTAATTATAAATAAAAAATTATTAAAAAATTTATATTAAATAAATTATATAAAATTTAATATTTAAATTTAATCAATGATATAATAAATTCGACTACATTATATTAAAAATGTGTTACGCCTGCTAAGTTTAATATTTTTCACGAGAGACACATGCACTATAGCTAAGACAGTAAAGACTTCATTCACGAATTTGATTTCCGAATCATATTCACAGGCCAATGCCATAGAAGGAGTGGACAGTGAGGAACAAACTCAAACGAATCCAAATCCTTAATTCACCAAAATGGTTTAGAAAGTTCTTGTCCATGTGCACGTACCAGAGACTTTTCACCGCCTTAAAGAAAGTTCCCCGTACGACCTGGCAACTGCTTAAAGCAGATTCTACTCGATGGATGGAAGATGGATTGGAAATGAGTAGGCCTCCAATGACAAGGAAAAGTCTTAGCTGCAATCTGGGGTATAGCTCCGGCTGCTGCTTTGAAAGAGGGCCGGCCTGGCCTGCACCGCGTTTTTGGGTGTTGGTGTTTGACTTGGAAGCTGTCTTCCTTGTTCCAAGTCTTTTCAACACTGGTAGCTTAAAAGGAAGGACCACACTGTACTTCCTCATCAGTTTCTTACTATTCTTTAGATTCAATCTCATTTCTTTGACCAACTAGTCTGAAGAGGAATTGCCTCTTAGCCACCAAGAATACTCAATTAAACGTGCTCCATTCCCTTTTCTGTTGTTTATTTCGCCCTCGTACCAAATAGCCAACCATTTGTCTAATATTATATCGACTTTAAGCTTTACTTTTTCTCAATTCTCACCACTTGTCACGCAACTTCCCCTTCCCACCACTCCCCTTTAAAACCCCCTCCACCCCTCACTCTCATTCTTCAACTCACAATTGCCTCTTCTCTCTTAAAAAACTTCCCTTGCATCTCTCTCTCTCTCTCTCTCTCTCTCTCTCTCGCTCCATTCTAAAGAAGAAAAGCTTTCTTTTTTTTTGTTGTGCTTTTCGGTGTTCGAATCAGATGGCTTTAGAAGCTCTTAACTCTCCAACAGCTGCTACGGCTCCTTTTCACTTTGAGGATAGCAACTTACACTGCCTGGAGTCATTTGCCAAGCGTAAGCGTTCAAAGCGACCACGTTTTGACCATGTTCCCACCGAGGAAGAATACCTCGCTCTCTGCCTTATCATGCTAGCACGCGGTGGTGGAGCCACCTCCACTTCCACTGCCACTATCCCACATCGCCACCGCTCTCCTACTCCAACCAACGCACCACCGCCAGCACCAGCACCAGCACCGACCTTAACAGAGCAAAAACTTAGCTACAAGTGCAGCGTTTGCAACAAGGCCTTTAACTCTTACCAGGCTTTGGGTGGCCACAAAGCCAGCCACCGTAAGCCTTCAGGCGGCAACGATGACCAGTCAACGTCAACAACCACATCTGCGACAGCCGGTGGAGTCACTTCCTCCACGTCAAACCCAAGCGGTAGGTCCCACGAGTGTTCAATCTGCCACAAAAGCTTCCCAACAGGCCAGGCCCTGGGAGGCCACAAGCGATGCCACTATGAAGGTGGGACTGGGAATACCGGTAGCAATAGCGGCGTGACGAAATCTGAAGGAGTGGGCTCAACCAATACCATGAGCCACATCAGCCAGCGGGACTTTGACCTGAACCTACCGGCTTTGCCAGAATTCTCACCGGCTAATTTCTTTGTTTCCGGCGGTGATGATGAAGTGGAAAGCCCACACCCTGCTAAGAAGCCACGCCTCTTGATGCAGATGCCACCCAAGATTGAAGTCAACTAAACAATTTCTAGAATTTTTTTTAGTTCTATGTAGGAATTAAATTTTAGGCCAGATTCGATGTATTTCTTTCTTTTTTCTTTTGGTTTGGTGAGAACTTTTTTTTTCTGTACATAGCACTTGAACAATTCATCAGTCTCAATTGCTACTGTTTTTGTTAATTCGATTCAATTCAATTCATTTAATTCCTCTTAATACTTATTAAGTATTTATCTCCAGCTTACTGTCGTATAATTTCCATACGCTTATTCTAACATATGCTTGCTTAACATGCGCAACAAAAGAGCCAGTTGCTGGTGGCTGGTGGCTGGCAGAGGTTGTTGAAGCTTCAGTTTATAGGGCAGTTTGGCGTATGAAAGAAAAGGATGGATGTTTTTAACAGGTAGTTACAGTTACAGTGGCAAAAACTAGCTACAGGCTAAATGTTACAGCCCATGAACATCACGTGCATGTTCCGTCTTTTATTGTTTTGTTGGCCTAATAATTCGTAATTATTAAGTAGTTTATAGTTATTTGGGGTCGAGGCGAGTGGGATGCAATATTGGTGACGATAAGGGATCATTGGTGTGGATAAGAAGATAGGCTTGGGGTGGGGGGTGATGGGGCCGTTGGGAAGTTTGTGTTTTCTTTTGGCATACCGTTTTCGTATGGGAAAGTGATTAGGATGACAAGTGGCTTTTGCTTAAGGGAACTTCTTTTCTTCTCTTCATTTTTTTATAACTGCCATGCCCTCTCTTCTTACTATTTATTGATTGTATTTGTTTACTGACCAATGGATGCGATGGTGATTTCGATTCCCTTTCCTTGTTCGGGTTTTTCTCTGTGATGCCACCATTTGTCTACACCATCTGTGAAGGCTTAGTGCTTTGTCTAGTAGCCATGATAAGTATAATTAAGGCAAGGGCCAGGAGAGTTAATTGCTTGTTTTGCTGTCTTCCATATGTCACTAATTAGCTATCTAGGTGTTGATTTTATGTGCTAGTTTAATTTTTCAATTTTAATAAGGTTGACATTAGATCTCATAATTTATGTATTCTTATTGTATAAAATATTAACAATTTATATATTTATATTGTATTTTACACAAAAATTATATATTATAAATCATGTCAAACATGAAAAATATGAATTTTTTTTTTAAATTTATTAAATTCATGTATTTTTTTGTTAAAATTTTAAATCGTATTACTTTTATTTTTTACATATTATTTTTATATTATATTATTATATCGTATTTTAAATTAATATATAAGAGGAAAATAAATGAAACAATTGGCAATGAAACCAAAATTGTACCCAAATTTGGGTTGTCTTAATTTGCTTCTGGCAGTTTTCTTGGAAACTCCCATACATGGTTTTCTAACTCATATCAAATATAGTAACCAAATGTACAATGCATGCGAATCTTCATCAATCTTAAACACTATGCATATGCTTTTCATTTCTTTTACAAGTTTCAGCTTTGTTTGTCTATCTTTGAACGGTACACCAGCCGGAATTAAACAAACTTTTTCCAGTTTTTACATGCAAAATTTTTCAACGAACCTTCTTCTTCCAAGTACCAAAAAAACCTTTGAATTTGATTTGTCTTATAGATCTTTCCAAAGTTCACGCTACCGCGAAGAAAACTGCCAGGCCAACGCATTACCTATGTGTTTTGTTGTCCAAGTAATCCCCCACCAACTAAACAAAGAAATTTGCACACAATCAAAAGTTGTGACGACCCACATCATCTATCATCAGTCGCCTGATCTTATTGGCGATCTGACATTAATTAAAATACTTCATCTCCGACTGATGATCTGTTCACACCTAGCTAAGATAAGAGATATAATTAAGCAGCTGGCTCTTCATATTGTTTGGCTAAGTACGTACGCAATCTTTGCCATTTTCACTTCCATTTGCTGGAATGAAAACCCTATCAAAAGGAATTATGATTTATTTGAATGATAGTTGAAATTATTTTCATTGCATCATCATACAGTTTTAGAGTGGAACCCTTTTTAATCAGTGCGAAAGGTTTGCTTCTGGATCGTACTAAAACACTGAAGCTTCTTCTCTTTGCATAAAGGAATTATATATGTTTGAAAGCACTGATCATATCAGCGCAAAGAAATACTTTGATGCATAAGAATGTGATTCAAAACTAAAATTAAATTAAAATGAATGACGAAGTCAAACAGCGTGGAACAGTCAGGCCTTTGCTTTATATGAAACTTACTTTTGTCTATCAAACAAAGTACAAAGTAGATAGGCCCGCCTTTGATAGATGCATTTTTGGTCGTCGTCTCTCATCCTCTTTGATAGTCGGCCGTTAGCTCACAAATTACTTATTAATTAAACTATACCTAGGTGGTCGGCAAACCGACCATATATAAGTAAAATGGGGATTATTGTGATAATGTCACATGGCTTTGTTTAATCAGCTTGATTAACGAAAGACTATACATAGCAAATGCAATTCACCTATTTGATAACTAGCTAGATTCATGAATTAAATATAGTATTAATTTTGTTTGTTAACTAAGATGATATTGCGAATGAAACTTTGACTTAATAATACGAAGGGATCATAAAAGTTTAAGATTTTAAATTCAAAATTTATTGTGTGTGTGTGTGTGAATTTATTTTAATTTTATGTTAAATTTACCCAATTATATAATAATTTGTTTCTTTCTTTCTTTGATTTAATTCGATGATTTTTATATTATGCATATTAATAAGTCAAAAATGACATTTTAAGCCTATCAAAATTTGTTCTAATATAAATTACGAAAATAATAAAAAATATATAACTTTCAAGTCATTACCTTCCATAGCTATTCAAATTCAAATACTTATAAAATATCTGATAACGAGGGACATTTAAAATATCTGATCACATGGCACATGCACTGATAGGATGATGATGAGTGTCATGGCATATATCACATATATAATTTAAAAAACAACTTAGATTATCCTTTTTCATGTTGTAGAGACTACTATCTGCAAAGAACATTTGACAACAATGCACGTAAAAGTTTATAGTAGTCAATTATCTTTTTTTTTTTACGAACTTGTGATGGTTATAGATAGAGAGGAACACAACTTCTAGAGGTTCTGACCAACTAAATTTCCAACTAATTAAAAATTTGTCGTCAGTTTGCCAAAAATTTTAAGGAAGAAAACATAGTTATTCCATGTGTCAATGCCTAAAATTTTATGTTTATCCATCAATGCCAAGAAGCTTCTTTTCTCCAAGTTCTTTGTATGTGATAATTTGAACGTACGGTATGACTTTGAGAGGACGTCGACGGCGGTCTAGTTTGGTGGCCAAAGACCATTATGGCTTCAATTAGTAGATGACAACAAGTCATAATAGAAAGTTCTTTGCTGACAAAAAGTCAGAGAAATTAACCCAATCTAATTAATGGGTAAGTACCCTCATCCTAGTCTTTCTAACATCCAATCTTCTACCAGCATTCCATTAGCCTCTTGGAGAATATGGTTGAAGCTGGCCTCTTGTAGTTGGACTAATTATCTTTATCAAGATAATTAAGTCAGGGAAACTGTGGTCCTTCTCAACCAACCATAGCTAAGCTGAACAAGAAAAGTTTTAGGCAAGTTGTTGAGCCCAAGTACAACTCTACCTCTACACATATATTATATCATATTTTCATCTATTGATTTTTTTAATAATATATAAGATTAGGATTTGTATAAAGAATTTACGTGCATTCAAAATTTTACCAGTGAAATATTTTGACAATGACAAATCAAAAAGGTTGGACAGTTTATCTTAATCTGCTAGTTTGAAAATCCAAAAGTGAACCAGATTCAATGCAAATGCAATATCTCTATGCAATTCCATTAACCATCAACTTTACAAGTTCTTTATATTGAGTGTATTTGCACCATTCAAAAAGATATGGATAAAAAAAAAAAGGTAACGTCCATTGTTGAGTTTGACTTCTAAAGTCGGACCTCATTTTATGCAGTGTTCAATTTGCAATTTCATGAAGTATTTTTGTTTTATAGAAATTAAAATCCTCTTATAAACAAAAATTTCAACTCATATATACAGTTCTGCTATAAAATATCTATAAGAAATTGAATAAAAATGAAATAGTTTACACTTCTCTTAAGTCAATTTTTTTTTCATGGGATTTATTTGAAGAAATCAAGCAGAGCCTTGATTATAGTACAGAATATTCACACCTTACCAGTTCTTGTTCTTGTAAGTGGAATTAGTGGGGCTGGGAGTAATCTTTTTGTTGAAATGCCAACTGCTATTTTGAGTTAAATCTTTATATGGGGGCTGGACCACTGCTGGGCCATTGATGATGGAAGAAGCTGTAGATTAGTAGTGCATTTTGTTGCCCATTTTGGATGTAATCAGACCAAGTGGATGATACGTGGCTTCCACGTTTACCATTAAAAAAATGCTACAATAGCAGACGCTAAAGTACTCTTTTTTCAAGTCTGCAAGTTGCCTTCAAACTTCAATGTGGAACGGGAACACGAATTCAGAGACATAATCTGATGTTGTCAAAGCTGAAGCTGCTGCTATCAAACAAACACCTACTCTTTTTTTTAAGTACAAATTGAACTGAACTTCCCCTCCCCCAGGCCCCAGGTTCTGCAAAAAGTACATCACTCCTGACTCTTCACGGCACATTAAAAAACCCAGGACACGCCCACCGTGGGGCTCGAACCCACGACCACAAGGTTAAGAGCCTTGCGCTCTACCGACTGAGCTAGACGGGCTTGTTAGGTCGGAGGTATGGCTTTTTCTTAATAAATCAATAAAAAAGGCATCTAGAGGCCCAAACCGAGCCCAAGTGTGAGGCAGGCTTTGACTGGGCCAATTGCTACTGTTCTTTTCTGGTACGAAGATGCCAATACGCCCCCCATCTGCTTCTAATCATGGGCAGAAATTTGAAAAAAGGAAGATATTATTATATACCATAATATTAGCTTTCATCTTGATTCATCAAGAGACAAAATCCTTGGGAGGTTCAGCTGATGGAAAGAAAGTAACCCAAGTTAAAGTTCTATCGTTTCTACCTCGGGCAATCACTGAAGTCTGAAATAAACAGACTCTAATCCATCTCATCTATCTATACATTATACATATATATCATCGCAACTTAAATAGTACAAACTACTACACAATAGAATTAATTCCAAAGCAAAAAAAAAAAAAAAGGCAATGGTACTTTGATGAGACAGATTTGTCTACTTTTATAGTATTCGACAAGACGTATACTAAATATACTATAGTGGACGAAGTGGTCTTTAGTGTTACATCCACAAAAACGTACTGTATGCAGTATGCTGATAATTTGCCAAAGGAACACACCACGCTTCATTGTCCACCATTGAACTTGCTCAAAAGACAATCACTGTACGTAAAAACATGAGGGTTACTTTCCTCTGGAAGCAAAGCTAAATGAATGCCAGAAGTTTTCTTGTACTAAAAAATTGTGGTCTGGACTCTGTTCTCTGGGTTCTAATAGTCAAGTTTTTTTTTTTAATATATATATATATATATATCTTAATCGGATATACAGAAGGAAGACTGAATTCTAATTAATTAAGGAAGAAAAGATTACAACATGTCTCGATATTCGATTTTGGAATTATCACAGTATGGTAAAACTATTGCCTTATGTATAATTCAGTATTTTTTTTATAAAAAATATTGTAATTTTTAAATAAAAAAATTATAAATATTAAAATTTTAATATTAAATTTAATATTATATTTTTTAAAAATAATTATATGATTTAATTAAATTAAATTCGATCGAATTGTATAGTTGAGTATTTAAGTTTACAAAACTAGTACATTAATTGATAATATTTAAAACTAAACTGGATGGTTTTCTTTTCATTTATTTATGACAATCAAGACCACTACTGATGGATTTTATGCATTATTAATAGAATAATATTACTGACTTATCTATAATCAATAAAAAAATTTATCTGTAAAATTCATTGATTATCGATGAAGAATTCCATCTATAATAATGAATTTTCTGATAGTGGGAGGGGGTGTTAGATACAAAGTTTCTTAATTAAATTGCTCAACAATTATGTCACATTAATTAATTAGTATGTACTTAAAGAAATGCAGCCTCCAAGACTTTACACTTCATTTAGGCTGCGCATGCATTAACCAATTAAGATGATGCAAAGGTAGACAAATTATTCTTTAGAATATATATATGTCATAGAACATCCAAGCCATACAATAGAGAAAGAGATTATATATAATATATAGTTCAACATCAAGATAAAAAAAAAAAAGTTTGGCATCATTCCTACCAAATGCATTATTAATGAATTTTTTTTTATATACTAGTAGAAAAATTATTATTTTTTCATTTAATTACCTAGGTCGACCCATGCGAAATTGAAAGAAATTATATTCATACTCCAATTGCTTGCCAATAATATGCTAATGAGACAAAAGTTTGATGTGCACTAAAGGAAAAAGGAAACTATCGTATGAATATAAAGTCATTACAACGTGGATGCTGCTTTCAACCAATTATTCTCTTGTTATATGACATGAAAATAGATTTAATAATTCATATATTTATATCATATAAAATATTAAAATTTATATATTCGTATCATATTTTATACGAAAATTATATATCATAATTCGTATCGATATAAAAATATAAAATATAAAATTTTTATTTTATTAAATTTATATATAATTATTATTATAACTTAAATAATATTATTTTTATATCATATTTATATTATATTATCGTATCATATTTTAAATTATCAAATTTACATTAAAGCTTTCAATCTGACATTGGTTACAATTAAAGAAAAGAATCAAAACTACTCAAAGGCTCATTCATTCCCATATCAAAGACCAGTAAAGTTTGCTCATGGTGGGAGACAGATTTGAAACTTATTAGACCTCGATATATCTATGCAACTAATAGTATTTAGACAGCTAATGAAAAGAAAGAAAATATATTTGGATTGAGCTAGCTAAGAACTAGCTTGCTTGTCAGAAAAATCAAAGTAATTATATTCCTACCAACCAATATGTTCCATTGCTATTACTTAATACTTAAAATTGATAATTCGTACTAATGGGAAGCAGAAAAAAGGTTGAAAAATTGGATGGACTAAACCGATCGAACGATCCACATCAACAAAAAAAGATGGAATCCAACGGTGCACATGAAAACAAGAACAGTAAAGGAAGCGGAAACACGAAGCCGCTGGTGCCCAGAGTTTGGAAGATATTCCTCCCCTCGATTACCCTACCACCACGTACCTACCGTCATCAAAGAAAATAAAAAGAAAAGAAACCCTTAACCTAATCGTGGTTAACTTAACTCAACCCTTATTCATCACGTTTATTAATACACGCCCTCCCTTCGTTTTCCTTCCTTCTCATGCTATACTTTTGCTTTGCTTTGATATTTCAATTTTCAGCTTCACTCTTTTCACTCACTTTCTTTACTTGCTTGAAACTTAAGTAATCTCCGATTATAATTTTTTTTATTTAGATTAGACAGTGTTTGAAACTTAAGTAATCTCCGATATAAGGATTATATATATATTTTTTATTTAGATCAGACAGTGGTTAGTTGAGAAAAAATGAGCTGCAATGGTTGCCGAGTGCTCAGAAAGAGATGCAGCGACACATGCGTGTTACGGTCAAGCTTACGTTGGATCGAATCCTCCCAAGCACAAGGTAACGCCACCTTATTTCTGGCCAAATTTTTTGGCCGAAGTGACCTCCTCTCTCTCATCTCCGCCGTCCCCGAACCTCAACGCCCCGGTACCCTCTCAAAAATACTTGATTTTCTATTTACATTATTGAATATTTGTTTTATTTTTTACGTATATGTAAGAGTTTTTTTTTTTTTTTTTTTGGATTTTTCATAGATTTGTTTCAGTCTTTATTGTTTGAGGCATGTGGTCGTACCGTTAATCCGGTGAACGGAGCGGTGGGGCTGTTATCGAGTGGGAACTGGCACATTTGCCAAGCGGCGGTGGACACGGTGCTTCGAGGTGGAGATTTACTGCCAATTCCTGGGATTTTTGCAGGAGTTTGGACGCCGAATTGCGATGAGTCATCTGATCGTTTCGGTGCCAACTCATGCAACTTCCAAAGCCGCTACGCTCAGTCAAAGCCTTTGATGACGATGATGATGATGGAGAATCAATCGGCTTCAATGACATCGGATCTTAGCCTCTCTTTAACGACAAAGTTTGGTAGAGGAAGACGTGGAACCGGAAGACGGTACGAAGAGGAAAAGAAGAGAGACAAAACGATATCGTTTTATTCGGAGGAATCGCAGATAACTACTTTTGAAAGTAACGGAACCGAAGGAAGCCAAGAGAGAAAGATTTTGAATCTCTTCATTTGAGAAAACTAAGACTAAAAAAAAAAAAGAGTATTTTTTTTATAAGCCGGCGATGTAGTGAATAATGAAGAAAAAATAATAAGAGTTATAAAGTTTTTTCTAATTTTCTTTTTTAAATTCGAATTTTAATATTTATTTATACTAATTATAGAATCTTTTTATTACTATAATCTTTAACCAAAATTGAGAAAATATACTAAGTTAAAAAGCAAAGCAGGGCTGAAGCTCACATGAAGTCGGCTGATTCTTGACTCTGTGGTCTTATTTCTCATGGAAGATGAGCAAAAGCATACGAATGAGAGAAGAAGGAACAGAAAGGGAACTTTAAATAAAGGAGAGAAAGAGAAGAAAAAAAAATGGCGGGTTGGGAGAAGAAGGAAAGGAGATGGGTCCCAGAGTTTATATTTTGTAAAAGCAAAAAATGGTGCCGTGCACGTCAGGCTGCCCCGCCCCCTCTACCACCCCTAGTCCTCCTCCATTGGAAGTGGGTTCCATGGCATCACCCATTCTCTTCTTTTCTTTATTCACAAAAGCTCAGTGATCCGAAAGGGGTCTCCAATTAACCAAAAAGCAAAGCTTCTCGTTCCATTCCATCGCTTCGCCGCGTCTATTTGCATATGCTGTGTAGATCCCACGTGAGTTTGTCTTCACTTTTATCACATTGGTTTTCTTCGGACATTGGATAGCCCCACTCAATTAACCATCACTAAAAGGACCATAAAGCATTTCCCTCAAATTGTCCGAAACTAAAAGGAACTGAGGGAAAATTTAGCTAAAAAATATGAATTTTATTTTTAAATCAATATTTTAAAAACATTTAAATACATCAAATCAACATAGAAGAATATTTTGTTAAAAAGAAATTAAGTTTAAATAAAGTTTCATAACACTTTTAATTGTATTAAAAAAAAAGAAATTTTGTGTCCTAAAATCTCCGAAAGAGCGGATTCTTTTGCCAGAAAATTAGAAGGAAATAGAGATTAAAATAGATTTGTAATCTTATCATTTAGTAATTCATAATATTCGTATAAATTAATGTCTAAAACTGTTTTGTTGTCTTCTCAGTTTTTAGAACATAGAAATTAAATTTTCTTTATTTTTTATTTTTTCTTTCTTTGGTTAATTAATAATTAATCAAGCAATTCGCTTGTCCTTTGATAATTTAGATTTAGATTTTATATTTGCCTTGTCAGCTAGCCATATGTTTTGCCTATTGCGACGTCTTCAAATTTCTTTTACCTTCTGAGCGATAACTTGATATGAAAATCGATGGAAAGAGATGAATGGAAAGGAAAAGAGAAAATGAGAAAGAAATCCTCGTCTTTTTAAGCTAAAAGTAGATAATTATTCTTAAGTAAAAAAAATTATTTCTTCATTTATAAATTGATACAATGATTAATTAACATGATTGTTATTTAAGAACTTTTCCCATCTAATTTTTCATTTTTCTTGCCAACACACATGGAAAAAAAAAAAAAAGAAAAGAAATTTCCTTCCATTATTCTATTTTGCTTAATTGTATTTTTCCATTTTTCTACCAAACAAAGAATAGAAGGTTGGAGTTACATGTAGTTTTCACTCTAACCAAATAAAGAAAATTGCAGGACAAAGAAGATGCGCATCAGAAGATTATACATCATTCATTATATGAAAGCAAACAGCGACAACTTAAGAACCATTGACTAAAATTGGAAACATCATTCATACATATTTACACACTTTCCTTTGGCCTATAAGAAAAAAAAAGGTTACCTATAAAGCTATCTAACACCACAACGAGAATAATTTCCCCAACCTACACATCAAATTGCACATAAAGCAAAATTTCATGTATAAAAAAAATAATAATAAACAAAGGCCAAATTATCACTCTCAAGCTTGTAAAACCAGACGATCATTGAAACCTTTCTTATTACCTTTAGAACCATAAATTCGGATCAAATATAATGGGTTGATGTCGTGTTAGTGTTAGAGGAAGGCACATGAGCTTTACAATTTTGTTGTCAAGCTAGAAGGCAAACGATTTGCCTGTAAAATGTGTGTTCTCAGGCTAAATTCCTTCACCTGGTTCATTAGAGAACAGTTAGGTTAAAAACCAGTTATATATGGCAATTCCTATAATAAAACAAAACAAATAAGATATTTACCTGCATGGCTGCAATTGTTGACAGAAGTTCTTCGCACTGATTGAGTAAAGCAAATTCATTTGCACTTAAATTTCCAAGTTCAGCCACCAAAGAGTTAACTTTTGCAACCTATCAACCAGAAAAAGAATAAAAAAAAGAAGAAGATAAAAGCATAAAAGAACAGACACCAAAATTGAAAAAATCTGCTCTTATAGTGGATAAAAACAATTTCACAGGTAAGATCCATTGTCATTAAAGCCAGCGAGTTATAGTCTATCATTGTCATCCAAAATTCAAATGGAAACTGATTGCACAAACAAGCCACTAAAACTAACATCAAAATCAATCTCATCAGCAGCTGTAGATACTGCAATAATTTCAGAACTTCACCCTTTAGTGATCATAAAGAATTTTACAGAAGCCACTGTCTTAACTTATGACAATCCAGTTAACTAAAAAGATCATGTGTCAGACAACAAGCTCTAAGGCTTAAGCTTAAACCAGAGGTCAACCTTTGACATTATGGCACATGTCACGTGATGAAGATCATAACTTGTTGACATGTGTTACATGCATTTCTAACTGTACAAATCAATTGCTGTTTTTTTAGTCAAGTAAGAAAATATTCTACGTAGACTACAAACAGGGTAACCAAAAAAAAAAAAAGTGTTGGTTTATTTGTTGATGAAGGCTCTATCATAGTTACAAATACATGTAAAAAACTAGCAGGAGCGACTGATAACCTAGTGATGTTAACTGTAGTAGGGATGGTTATTTTCATTTCACTGGGGCTAACAAAATCAAAAACATGCCAGCCCACCATAGTATAATATAAACTCATCATTCAAAAAGATCAGGAACCACACTAAGGCCACAAGACTTAAACCTAGGTCTTTTATACAAATGGAGAGTCATGAAATCACCATACTTTTTTCTATCATAGCTAATCTTCAAAAGATATTTATCATTAAATGCAGGAAAATCTCTTTACATGGTCAAACCATTTTAAATACAGGGCATGGTACCCAACAAAGAAACTAATTAGTAAATAAAAGAGTACTTAGCCTCAGACAGGGAGCAATATTTTACTATTACATTATTTTTTTCTAGTTGCAGCTTCTCTAAAACTAGTTCTTAGGAAAAGAAAAGTTTGCAAATGAAGGGACAAAGGCAAATATAAAGTTCACACAGAAAAACGAAAATGCAGTGAACATGAAAATTGGGGGGGAAGGGGAGGGGCTAAGGCTGGAGAAAAAACAAAGAAAGAATTACCTTTGATAATAATGAGCATATAGAGGATGCCATTGCCTGCATAACATCAACCACTGAACAAATAGCACCCTTCAATTTTGGGACATCAGCCTGTACAAATGAAGAGCCAAGGAAGATGTTTCTTTTAAGACCAAAACAGGTTGATGCATTGGCAAATGAGATGCCACAGCTTGAACGAAATTGACAAAAGTCGGGAAAAGGAAATTACCCTTGCCCCACAAACAACTGGAAGACGAAGTGTGCTAGCCACCAAAGCTTCAGTAGCCCCAGACAAAGAACTGCAATAATCATTGTCCAGGACAGCCCATTCATCCAAAAATATCTTCTGCACTCATCAATTGAAAATAATATAAAAATAGTAGTCAATAGATGAAAAGGCATTGGATTGCATGAACTGAAACATGTAATTCAAATAAGATATTTGAAAGAAATGACAACTAAAGATGACAAGAATATAAATTTCAGTTTTCTTCAGATAAGCAGCAACTTCACATAGTATATTTGTTCAAGTTCCAATTTCAAGAGCAATTAATGAGGAAGAGAGACAGCCAAAGAGATGCAGCAAGACAGTGATCTACACTTTTAAATCTAATTGAAAAGGTAGACCAGGAAATCTAATTGATTAACTTGTGATAATTGAGTTAAGATCAACAAAATGATAAGAAAACATCCAAAACAACCCAAGAAAAAATCCACAATGGAGAGATGGTTCTTACTTGGCCCTTGAGGATGGTGTTCATTTTCAAGTTTTGCCTCAGCAACTGTAACTCAGTTCTTTTGGCTCTAACAGATTCTTGCAGTTTTGACGTAGTTATCCATGCATTATAGAGACTTTTCTGTTACATAAAACATGATGACAAAAGGATTCTTTGTCATAATTTAATTAATCTAAAACGAAGATAATAAAAAATGTAAAATGTAAGTGACCTGAGAAACAATAGGACAGTTAAAAATGAATTATCTTACACAAAAATGCAGAAAGATAATGAAATGAATATAAATCACATCAACCATTAAAAATATGAAGCAACTCTTATTTCCCCTGTTTCTCCTTTCTCAGACATCAATGGATCATCAACAATAGCTGTTTCTAAGGCACGCATAATCTGCAGTCTCTGCTTGCCTCTAATTCAATCAAATTGTTCCCATTATACTGAATTCCCTATTTGACTCATTCCTTAAAGCAAGAAGATCAGCCACTAATGAGCCAGCCTCTTCTTATACATTCAGCTCAATCTTAATTTGAAATCAAAATCTACTGAACTCACATCTCTCACACGGCCTCTACGTTTAGTGTGAAAGCTTGACATGCAAAGCAGGCATGCGGTCTCCTTTCATGCAGGCAGGCTTCATTCGCACAAATTAAACATAACATAAATTCATGATATGTAACTCAGCATCCCATTACAAAGGTAAAACTTAGCCATAATACTTTACAGGTGGTGGTACGCAACATTTAATGCTGCGAGTTGTACTGCCAAATTAAATTAAAGGTGAATTCCTGTCAATGTTGTAATAGTAAAGCATGCAAAACTGAAGCATAAAAAATGGACAGCATAGTAGCATACATCAAGCAAATATAATGGTCAAACGCAACAAGAGAGAAATTCAAAATCAATTCTTTAAGGCATACCTCTGCATTAGACCTTTGGGAAGATAGAGCAGCATCTGCCCTAGCATTAACAAAACGCCACTGCAACAACCGGTTATGAAGTAGTCTCAACAAATAAGCATCGGAAACCTTATTCTCCCCAATCTTACCCATCTTAATAACATCACCAGTAGAGCTCAAAATCGACGGTGTATTAACCAAATTACTACCCAATCCATTCCTCACTCTAGAGGGACTCATTCCCCTCAAAGGGGACGAAGTTGAGGAGGCCCCAAGCTTACTCGGCGATGCAGGCCGAACTGGCCCACGAATTGGCGATAACTGTCCTCGGCTGTTCACTACACCTAATGGAGACGACAGAGGACAAACAATTCCGAACTTGTCTGGTGCAACTCGCTTAGAGTGCGCTGTATTTTTCTTGCAAACCGACGAGCCAGAATCGGACCGGCGTAACCGACTGTTAGTCTCTTGCCAAAACGGGGCCGGAACCATTATCCCCTGAGGCCCACGTCTAACGTCGCCGTTACCGTTACAAGAGCTAGTACTACCAGAAGAAAGACTTTCAGTATCAGAAGCCACGGGATCACATTGAGCCTCAGAACCAACGGCTATAACGGCCGTTAAATCTCCATTATCATTCATTGAATTTTTTAGCGCCCTAACTACATTGCCGTTAACAGATCCGTTTAATCTCTTCCTCTCGTCGGTGCAATCCATGCTTCTACTCTTTGAATTCGGTTGCCTTAACCTCGCCGGCCACCGCTCCGTCTTTGAATTCTCTGTTTGATCTGTTCCTCTCCCCGGAGTCGTCGTTGCCACAGTTGGCTTCCGCCTCTCCGGCGTTCCTTTCCTTGCCGAGGTTGGAGATTGAGCTGATTTAGCTTTGCTAAACTGATAGGAAAACGACTCTCCCTGAAACGAAACCGATAAGCTTCTCGTCGAAGTGAAGGGCGACTTCTGAACAGTGGATAATTCACTGTTGTTGTAACCGTTACAGGTTCTCGATTCCATAGAATTATTAGGCCGCGGCGTCACCGCATATCTCCGTTCCACTGATTGCGACCGCTTGATAGCCGATGGAGTCGCGTGCGTTGGAGTGGTAATGGCCTTCGAATGAGAAGAAGTCCTCGAAACCAACGGCGACAGACACCGTTTGGCCGAAGCTACGAAAGAAGAAGTCGATGACGTGGAAGAATTAGAGGAGGATGATGCCGTGCACAAATAACGAGAATTGACATCACAAAATTTTTGACGGCGCAGAGCGATGCCATTGTCGGGTTCGGAAGGCAATAACGGAGGGCGTGACGGGTGTTGGTGTAGCTGTTGCCCTCCTCCGTGTTGTTTGGGGTTTGCCGTTGCGGACACTGCAGCTACCATTTGCGTGCAGTCACAAAATTCAATTCCTAACTGATCCTTTAATCTCACTTCCTTCCCAAACACTAACCGTTTCTATTATGAAGTATTAACCCCTCCCAAAATTTCACTTCCCAAAAAAACTTAAAAAAGAAGAAATCAGAGTTTAGAGTTAATTAAAAAAATCCAGAAATTAACAGATTTTTCATTTTTTAAGCTTGTAGTTGGAATTTTCGGAGAGAAGAAAAATTAAACGACCATTGCCGACGAGACCGTGAGAAGAAAAGCGTGAAGCAGAGAAGAGAGTTAGCAGTGACGTGGATGTTTAGCGAGATTTGCGAGCATTTTTGTGATCAGGGATAGGAAAAAAAGAATAAAAATTTTTTTGTATTAGTTAGTAATTTTAATTGTTTTTCGAATTGAAGAGGGAGGATTGTACTCACTCGCAGGGTCTTATAGGGATTGGGACTCGCTTGGTGGAGCAGCAACGTGTTTGTGTGAGAATAATATTGGAAAAGAATTACACGTGGAGTAGGGACAGGGAATAAACGAGGGGGAATCGTGAGGAGAGGAATGTAAAATCCTGAGAAAAACGTTACGCTTATGCGTGACGCAGAATTTAAATTCTTTTAGGAGAGAATTGAAAAAAATAGGCTTTTAAATTTCCTATCCAAGTTTTTTAAAAGAATATTCAAAGATGCTTCATAAAGAAAAAAAATAAAAAAGAAGTGAAAGAGAAATAGAAGTGTCCTTGAACCTTTTAGTTAAGTGATTAAAAGTGTTCGTGGGGATATAAAAAAATTTGGTTTTAAATTAGAATTTTTTGTTTTATTTGTATTAAGATTTTATTTTTTTATATAACAAAAAAAATAAAAATGAAAGAATGAATATACGAAAAGCAAATGATACTAAACTTTGCTTAATTATTTTTTTTTCGAAAAAAATGTCAAGTTTTCTTTACTTAATTGCTAAAGGGTAGTAGCATCAGCAATCAATATAACTATGGAGCCCAAGACCATATGATTAAAAGCCTAACGAACTCAATCTACAAGACCTTAAGGAGAAAAGTGACATTCATCGTCAACCTTTGACTTGTTCTAACTCCAATCAACTTTGATCTCATTCCTAAATCTGTCTTAGGTTGGATTTGAAAGCAACTGCACAATGAAATGCATTTAAGTTTTAAAAGTTTTTAATAAAATATTAAATAAAATTTCATTGAGGTACATTTGATAAAAAAAAAAAAGGCCAAAATTTTCATTATAACTTCAAAATTCAGTATAATTTTTTTTTTCAAATCACAATTATAATAATTTTTATCATTATTTTTAATTTTATTGAAATTAATATTATTGTTCATCTAAATAAATCTTTAATTAAAATCTTCAATATCTTATATTCATTCCGTCACTATGAGATGGTTTGGATTCGAACACTATGATTCTTTTTTTTTTTTTTTTTTCCTTGTGCTATATGGAATGCAGCCAATGAAACTCTTTGAGATCCACATTCTATCTTTAGAGTTAGATGAGCAATCTATGTCAAAAACCAACTTCTTTCACCCACCTATAAATGTTTTATGTATTACCTTAATTATGTTCTGATCTTTGTACTACATGTCCCCTAGGTATAAATGAACATTAACATTGATGAATAATCATTTTGAACCATTAAGCCGATAATACAAAAGTAGACAATGCTTTTCCTTCCCACGCTTTTACATTAAGCCACCTTTTTGCTTTTTATTATCTTAGTCTTAATATGAATTCTCCACATGAAATGAAATGCCTAGTACTTTCACCAACTTGCAGCTGCGTAAACAAGTGGGAAACAGGTGGTTGACAAAGCTATTTTCTATTTTTAATCTACCCCTAAACCACACCCTTTGCGCCCAATTTCCATGCTATTGGCTTGGCCTTGGCTCAAAAAAATTTTCATTGATTACAATGTTAGATCTAAAAGAGTCAAATAATGAATATTAACTCTTGTTAACACATTTTGTTGCTTAAAATGTTGAACCTAGAAATCACAGCAAATCATAAAACAAGTTTTAATAAGTTTTCTATATTGAAATATTACACTTGAATTCATTAGTTCTGCTTATCCGGATGTGTGTACGCATGCATCTGTTGCCAATCGTTGTCTTTGTCCGTCTAATTAATACATAGGAGATTGGTTTCTTTCGTGGCTCATGTTTTCCACTTCTAGCCTGGAAAACATATCCAACAAAGTTACGTTAAATCAAGTCCATAACGTATTTAAGCTATATGAACCCAGGCCTTTGTGGTCCTGAAGTTTTTGTTATATGTATCACTCAAAGAATATGTCATGGAAAGCAAATTTGATTCGATGAACTTCACAAATGGAAAAGAGAGCCAAAACTCCCAAAATTCCAAATCAGAATCACATTTTTGAGACACCAACACATGCTTCCATGCCCTCCAGTTCAATTCCATCCAAGGACCACCCCTGCCTCAAAGAAAAAGCAAGTTTCCTTCGCTGGCACTCAATTTCCTAAAGCTCTCTCTTTTTGTAATGTTACTGTCAACAATGAATGAACTATTCCACTATTCCAATTCTTATTTCAATCTATGAAAGCATGTTTATTCCATGAACATTTTGTTTTAATCCTTAATGTACTATTACTTTAATTTGCTTACGTTTTGTTAAAATTTTTTATCATTTGCATATACTTGTACCCAGACCAGAGATTACTATTCTATTGGTTGTTACTAATGAAAGAAGAGAGGCTAAAAAAGCCCCCACTTCCCAACATAAAGAGAGCAAACACATCATAGTTTATCATTAGCTAAAAGCATGTATCTCTTTCTAGGTTGCTCCATTGCTCCGTCCCATACTGACTGCATTGTCCAACAGTTCATGTAATCGTCCTCTCCCCTACCTTCCTCACTGCTTTATAATAATATCGGTTCTTGCCACTCTACCCCCCCATCTGTCCCACAATTTCTCAGGCATCCAGGGTTAAGGGTTTGATTTGAAGCTTTTGTGGTACAATGGTAGGCCTGTCGTTTGGGCGATGGAAAAATTATCAGAGTTTTTCCAGTTTCCTGTTTAGAATAAGAAGTGGGTCAGTTGTAATCAGACTATCAAAATGAAAATCGATTTCATACAAACCAGAGTAGTTTGTCTATATCTGCTGTTATCATATCTTTTAACTTTGCTTAATGAAACTGTTGCTTGTAGCAGAAGCAGAAAAAAAAAATTGTTCCCCACTGAAGAAATTAAAATTTTCTTTTTGGACACATAAAAAACAAGACCTGCTATGATTGGTGGGATTCCTGTTGAATTGAAACAATATGCTTAAAGTTAACTCCAGTGTTTTTCTCTGCATGATTTAGCAGTTGTAATGGAGAATCCAACAAACGAGAGATTTACAGTTCTCCAAAACGAACATTTACTAAAACATCAGTTAAACATAGTTATATTTTACCAAATCAAGGTTGTTTGGTTTTAAAGATTATTCTGAAACGTATTTGTTTTCCTCTTATCATTTTCCTCTAAGACAGCAGATGGATAAAGTTTAATCTCTTAATTTGGTCACAACCGACATCTGCCAAATAACTACAGGCGCTAGAAATGTCAGTTAAAATCGAAACTTTATTAACAAATGATGATCAGTAGGAGATCGAAAACGTCCTGCCTTGAGCATCACTTCATTTAATAATTGAAGTTAAAGTTACTAATCCTTATTAAGTAATGTTTTTAAACTCGAGCATATGGTAGCTGAAGCCATGCCAGGATAAATGATTCTTCTATGGTCCCATTGCTTTGGTGATTATGATATCTACTTTCCACTTTGCATAAGCCATAAGCCCAGAAAAAATGTAATGTGATAGCTAGCTATATAGGAAAGGACTGAATGAAAAGAAGTCGGCACTTAGGTTAGGAAGTTTTCACTTGGTGAGATATTGATTTAATTTGGGTCATAGTGTTTCACTTTGGTGATGAAGGATTGGATGATATCAAGGAAAACCAATAAAAATGGTAATGAAATTAACTTACAGAAGAAGGGATAGAAGTGATTATTTTTCTGTGTTATAGTCAATGGGGTTGGTGATATAAACAATTCCACTTTTGTTGGCTTTCTGAGTTTTGGTTGTGGTTTGGTCGTCTTCTAACCGAAACCACTATTCCTGGTTAGCTTTAGTCTTTTGGCTAAGCAGGCCCACCAAGTGTGACAGCATGCTTGTTTTCCATCCATGTTTGTTGCTAGCTTTGTGATAGTTGCCTGGTAGCTCAACTCCAGTAACACTCAGGCAAGTTGGAAGCAATTCAACGTACCGTTAGTCAAAATGTTGCCCCATAAAAAGTCAGGTAGCCTTAGCCTTCCACATCTAAAGAGCATTGTAGTAGGTGAAATATTTAAAGAGTTTGTGGAGCATAGGATTTCAAGTGTTTCTCAATGATTACTAGAGTGAAATGGAGGAAGCTTGCTAAAGCATTAACTAACAGTATATGCAAAGCAAAAAAAAAAAATGTTAACTAGCTCGGTAAACTTCAGTAGTTGAACTAGGCTCTTGGCGAAACTCATAGGCAGTGAAACTAGGACTCAAAAGAGTAAATCCAGACAACAAAATTGAAACATATTTTGGTAAATTTTCACGATTAACAGTACCGTAAATTTTTAGTCATCAATACAGGCCTTGCAACTCTATATGGTAGACAGGTAGATTTAAGCCAAGCTGAAATTCCATGTTCTATGTAAACTTACCAAAAGATTCTACCTAATGAACTAGTTATCATTTTTTTTTTACCTTGTCCATTATTCAAGAGCCTGGAATCGGTATGAATAGCAAACCAGACCACAGGTAGAAAAAAAAATAGTACCGTTGTAAAACCAAAAGAAAGCTCTGCATAATAAAGGAAGGAAAAAAGAAAAGTGACATCAAGTGATCAGGTAGTGGAACTAAGTACTAACATGGGTTCATGATTTTATGCAATGATTGCATTGAATATTTGTTACTGCATATCATGAAAGTAGCTTTTGTTCAATGGAAATAATTCAGAATATGAACTAAAGATAGATGCATATACATAATTTATGACGCAAATGAGTAGATTTTCTCCTGAAAGAGTTTCAGGGACACTGAAAGTAAACGAGAATGATAAATTATACAGGTAAAAGATTACTTGAAGTACAAATTGGCACGGTCTGGTAAACTTGATAATTTACTACTCCATAATTTAAGAAACCAGGCAAAACGTACAAGGAATAGGTTTGGGGGGCTTTTAATTGAGAGAAGAAATCAGGACAGAGGTGCATTCATCATAATGGGTTTTTGTTCCAGCAAGGAGACAAATATTTCATTTTCAAAACTATGCTGACAGAAGAGTCTCGTTAGAGCAAATGCAATCTCCATCCCATTGATAGCAAGTGAGCAAGTGAGCAAGTGGAGAACACCTCAAGCCAGATCGATGGATGAGGCAGACGAGTAGCACAGATGTCAATACAAGATGATCAACTACGGTTATTGATGTTCAATAAGTAGGAAAATTACAGCTCATATTTTGAGAGATCAGATTTCATCAAGTTTCTTTGACCAAGCACCAAAATACAAAACCTATTAATCGTTTATTTTGTGCCAAACACATACAACATAAAGCTGCATAGATAGGCAAGTTGAAGTTATTGTCTGGATAGGATACAGAAAACAAGCTGGTTCAAGTATAAGATGATTAGGATTCTTCAGATGATAGAAATGACTTTTAGATGGCTAAGTGGAACCACCACTCTTTGGATGACCCGGAGGTGGAGGTTTTGGTATGTATGGAATAAGAGGACTACCATGCTCAATAGGACCATGTTTTATAGATGCCTTTGAGCTTGGAACTGGATTATTGGGATGGTAATCTTCCAGATCCACATTGCTCTTCTTTTCGTTGGTTGGATTGTAGCCATTCAGCTGCAATTTCAGAAGAGAAAATGTCTCAAAATGCAATAAAAAAAAGGTTCATTTTGGCCATGTAGTGAATGTACCTTCAGCTTCCTACTTATTCCTGTTATACTCCTACCATCACCATGTTGGGAAAACTCCATACCTGGAATGACATTAAAGAAACTGGACGCTATTAGCATACAAGACTCACTGATTCCTACAATTATATATATCCGGTTGCAGCTATTTTACTAGATTTACCAACACTGCATTAACTTTAGCAAGAATATTTGATCATTATCTAAGCAAAGAAGAGGACATATTAATCAGTCAATGAAGAATCATTGCTAGCATATCATGAATTGCCTTGACAGCCAAGCTGCAATTTAGGCTATAGGATTACTGGCATGATCTAAAATGGACCAACCAAAGCCGACAAATTGATCAAAGAGTTACAAATACGATGGAAATAGAGAATAATTGCCCCCATAACCAACAAGCTAACAACCCAATAAAGAATGAGACAGAAAGCAAAATATCTCTAGGCAAATTAATTGAAACAACTAATTATCATAAAAATTGGCAAGAGTGGAAGGTAAATATAGGTTGAAAATAAAGATTTAAGACAGTTGACCTAAATTATTGACATACAACAATATAACAAGGAATAGGAAATCGTGAGGTCATTTTCTGTGCACAGCAACAAGCCATGTGCAGTTATATCCGATGGTTCAAAAACAATTGCTTAGCTAGAACCAGAGTTACCTAGTTGGTTACCTCCCCTACAAATTGTGAACTGGATCGCACGATCCGAAACATGGTATAAAAGCAATTTAGTTATTGACCTAAATTATTGACATACAACAATATAACAAGGAATAGGAAATCGTGAGGTCATTTTCTGTGCACAGCAACAAGCCATGTGCAGTTATATCCGATGGTTCAAAAACAATTGCTTAGCTAGAACCAGAGTTACCTAGTTGGTTACCTCCCCTACAAATTGTGAACTGGATCGCACGATCCGAAACATGGTATAAAAGCAATTTAATTATGAAAACAAACCTAGGAATTTTCTCTTAAAGGACAAATGAATTATGTAGACCTATTGATCGAAGTGAAAGAAAATAACAACTTAAAACATTTACCAGTAATGGAGGAGCTGGCGGAGAATGTTTAAGACAAGCAAAGCTGTCCCTACCACAAAAAAGATAACCCAAACCACAGGAACCTTCATAATGTCAATGTTATTGCCAGATGGCAATTTGCCCTCTAAACGAAAGATTGTATTTGTCCTTTGCAATTGCACCCTTGAAAATACCTCCAGAAACCCCTTATATGCGGCAACTCAGCCTATGAACATTTTCTTCCAACCAAAATATATTAAGAAAAAATAAAAAGAACTCGGAGTCCCAGTTTTCGTCACCCCAGATATGAAAAGCTTCAAAGCGGACCAGAAAATCCGTGGAGATAAGGGGATGAAGTAGGAATGACCACTGTCCAGTGCCTAAGAACGGCTCATGCCATACCTTTGAACATGTAGATATAAAAAAAAGATCTCAATAATCTATGACTTTAATGGAGGGTAAGTGAATGATGAAAGAAAGCATGTGATTTTCATTGTCTGATCTATCATGGCTCTAGGGATACAGAGAAGGGAGTAATTGCCATTGTCTTTTCAGGGGATGGAACAGTGTTGCGGTGAGGAATGAATGAACAGACTTTAATACGGCCAAAAAAAAAAAAAAGATGTGTGCTGGAATGCGAGCTGCTGGGTACGTTTGTGACTGTGGAACCCCTTTACCATTTGTTTTCTGCCAACTGTCATGCACTTTGTTTTTTACTGTTACACCCCACAGTTTGCTTGCCTTCTCTCAGACACAGATTCACAATTTTGAATCTCGTTTGCTGCATTTGATATCGGAGGCTGTGGAACAATGGAGATGATGAACGTGGAAAGTGATGATCTTGGCGACTTGGCTTCTTTGATATAATAAATTCTGGAGTTATTATTTCTCTTCATGCTGATCATAGCCTATGCTGCCAGCTTGGTGTAGACATCGGTTTATTTTTTTCGATTTTAAAATATTTTACGTTTAGCGATCTCAAAATTATTATGACATTTTTTATACACAGGAGAATCAAGCAGCAGCCAAGGAGTAAAAGCGCATTGTGGATGCCACCAACTAGCAACCTAGCAATTATTGAATTAACACCGAAATATGATTCAAAATTGCATTAGTGGAAGAGAGTATGGTCTCAAATTCAAAGAGTACTTGGTTGGCAAAATGAGATTCCTGGAAAGTTAGGATTAGAAGAGGGTCTTCAAGTTTTGGTCTTTAAATGCTACCAAAGCATTAGCGTAGATGAAAATTAAGGCCTATTACATCAACAGCAATTCTTTTGTTATAAATAATTACTTCAAACATGAGGAAATTGTCTGTCTGAAAATGACTTTAATATTTGCATATATACCTGTCCACTAACTAACAAAACTGAACACAGCTTTCACATCCGTACACCTTCTTCAGACAAAACCTCCATCAATATATGTAGGATAAATGGCTGAGTAACCACAAAATCATGATCTCAAAACCTTAAACCCTGCTTTAAGACAGAAAAACAATATTTACAGGTTTTGCAAATACGGTGCAGTTTATGGGGTTTTTGGTGTCTGCAAAAGAACAGTTCCAGCCTGTGAAGTCGGTTTAGAATAAGGGGCATCTAAAGGACCCAATAGTAGGAAAGAAGCTTTACAATCCAATGGGCAGAAAAGATGGGCTTAAGCCCATAATATAGTTTCATCCTTAAACAAACAACGTCGTACGCGGATGACGGCATCATTGTCTTCGCCAGGTGCCTCGTGCCGTTTCCTAGCCGTTGGGACCCGTGCTTGGATCCAATGCCTCTGTCGATAGTGACGGCAAATCTGGTATCAATACCTGACGCGGTGGTGCCTTTCTCTCTCCCACGTGGAGGTTTTCAATTGGTTAGTTGTTTCTATGTATCGTACAGCCGCGTGAGGGTGTCTTGCGGTTTGATACCGTGTAAATAATATATTAATATTTATAAATTATTTATATTTAATTAAAATAAAATTTAAAATAAATAATAATCAAATTAAATTTAAATATTTTTACATTTAATTAAATTTTATATATTTTAATTAATAAAAATCTCATAAATTTAAAATTAAATTTTCATCAAATATAAAAATTAAATTTATTTTTATATATTAATTAAATTTAATTAAATAAATTTAAATAATATAATTTTTATCTCAAATTAAATTCAAACTCAAAAATAAATTTTAAAACGAGCTCGAAATCGATTGCACATTTTAGCAGGAGGGATTATTAATTTTGTAGAGCCGTCGGGACCCGGGGGTAAATAAATGTTCGAGTGGTAAAAATAATGAGATAAAGTAGAGGATTGAGAAAGACAGGCCACGTCATACCTGGAGATGAACAGGTACAAACTTGCATGAAACAAAATCACAAATTGGGCACAAACTCTTCAACACTTTCACCTGAGATTGGCGCCGCAATAAGAAGTCAGACCAATGCTTTGCCGTAATCAAACACCAACATAACACAACCTGAACTTAGTTATATATGTTAAAAAATAGGAAACGGGCCATGCTCCATTTTCAGAGGATTGACTCAGAAGTAGCCAACAAAAGTCTTAAACAAGAGCAAGTTTCCATTAGAAAAGGTAATCAAATGAAGGGTTTCAAAGCCACACAGAGCACGCCAGTAGCCAAAAAAGCAGTGCTTGACAAGTGCAACACTATAGACCTTAAAAAAGCCAACAAGGTTCAAGTGAGTCCATTTCATCCAAGAAGATTACTCAGGTGTTCAGCTCAACAGAATCCATGAAATAAAAATGGTTAGATCCCTACGCTATGTTGCCCATGAAATAATTATGTCAAGATTTCAGACCCTTATTTGCATAATTCAAAATTTTGTATGACTCAATTTGGTTCGAGAAAAAACGAAAATCTAGGGATTTACTTCGGATGTAAAATCAGCAGCAGCAAAGATAATCCAAGTTGTGACAGCTTTTGCCATAAGCGAATTGGATTCGATGAAGCTTTTACCATGGAGGAGCGAATGGCTATCGGAGGAGAGGCGATGGAGGCAGCGTTTGCTCAAGCTTTTTGAAGTGTTGCCGCTGCTGCCCATTTCTGGAACGCGCGCTTCAAGTGAAGAAACGGCTTGATCCTGTGTTGTAATCTGGGCAGAATTCGCCCATCAACCCATATTTATAATGGGCTTTGGTCCATTACTAACCGGGTCAACTGTTGATCCAAAAAATCAGCCTATTAACCCCGGCTAGTCCGATTAAAAACTAGGAACCACAGGCTAGGCCGATAAAAAGCCAGGAACAACATTGTCAAACGCTTTGCCCATTTTTCCATCCACCGTAAAAGCTACTCTCTCTTTTTCTGAAATTTTCCAATTTAAATTTCCATTTTTTCTTCTCATTATCGTTCCTTTTTTTTTTTTGTAATTTCAATTTCAATTAATGTACATATTTTGTAACGCCGTTGAATGAATCCCATTCACTTGCCGGTGAGGCAGAGGCAGCGACAGCTGGTTGCAGGAAAAGCTTGTAATGGACCCTTCCATAGTAAAGCTCCTAGAAGAAGACGAGGTTTCTCCTTTTTTATTTCTTTGTTTTGGGTTTTTCTTCTTTCTGCAAATATCTATGGAATTCGTAATAAGTTAACATTATTCATTCTATTTTCCAATTTGGTTAAAAAAAATTGGTAACAGGACGAGTCTATGCATTCTGGAGCTGACGTTGAGGCGTTCCAGGCCGCCTTGAATCGGGATATTGAAGGCGATGCGTCCACTCCTCAGCCGTCTGATTCAAATACCGGTATCATTTTTTTTAATTGTTTGCTTTTCATTTTTGTTTTGCTGAAAATTGGTTTCCAATTTGAAAGACAAAGAAACCTGATTTGGTTTCAAAAATTGAAATTCAGTAACTTTGTCTATTGAAGGTGTAAAAATCTTAATTAAGAGTGTCATTAGCTTTCTTTTATGTTAGTTCCAATTGTTATGAATTGCTTCTACCGGGAAATTCACGGATGATTGTTATGTCCTCGTTTTAAAAATTACAGCAGTTTTGTCTAAAGGAAGCAATCCAGCTTCCAGTCAGTCACTTGCACAATGGCCAAATACAGGGCAAGATGGGAACACCAACTTTAAAAATCAACAAGCTCTTCAAAGTGCACAGCAACAACAGCAGCCTTCGTCTGAAATGGAGCAAAAGCAACAGGGAGCTGTTGTTATGGGGAGTCAGCAACAAGTACAACAGCCAAATGATGTTCCGCAAGAAGGTAATCATCTACCACCACAACCAAAACAACCCCAAGATGATCTTCAACAAGGAGTAGCTGAAGAAGTTTCTGCCCAGGTTACTCAAAGGAACGGGGTTCAGACTACTGGGATTCAAACTACTGAAAGAAGTTCTATGCCTCGTGAACTAGAGAGAACCAATAGTCAAGACAGTGAATCACAATATGTGAAATTACAGAAGATGAGTAATCAACAGGCCAGTGGGACAGAGCAGCCGAATAATCCTGTGAATCGAGGAAAACAAGTTCCATTTGCTGTGTTGTTGCCTGCCTTACTGCCCCAACTTGATAAAGACAGAGCCATGCAGCTTCATACTCTGTATGGTAAACTAAAGGTGGATTTCTGATCTCAACCCTTTTGCTACAATTATCCTGTTTATTGAGTAATGGATGCAATAGACAGAATGGATTTTGCTTTGCATCTTTTTCTGATTTTTTTCTATTGTCTTTAACTGTTAGAAAAATGAAATTGCAAAAGACGGATTTGTCAGGCACATGAGAGATATTGTAGGAGACCAGATGTTGAGGTTGGCAGTTAACAAGTTACAAGTGCAGGTGATCACAAATGTCTTGTGTTATTAAAGTAAAAACTGATGCTTTAGTTAATTTAATCATTGCATGTTAATTTTGAAAACAAGCTAAAATAAAGATCCATACTTTCAGATGAGTTCCAACCAATTCCCATTACAGTCCCAGGTTGCAGCACGGCAGAATAATCCACGAATGCCATCTGTTGGTGGTGCTACACAGTTTGCTGGTCCACATTCGTTAGCTCAGCTGCACCAAAAAGGCCCTAACTCTCCTGCCAATTCATCTCATACCTCCTCTCCGGCAGTCCCCATGCAGACTAATTCAAGTTATTTATCCATTGAAAACAAGGCTCAAAAATCTCAAGAGATGGATCGCCAATCAGATTCTCGCTTCGGAGTGCTAGGAAGTCAAATTTCTTCCTCTAGTTCAACCACTGTGAATCAAGAAAGAGATCGTACTTCAATTCCAGTACAAGGAATTAACAAGCAGCAGCAACAACATTTGAATTTCCCACAAACTTCTTTTGCCATGTACGGGAGTAGTAATTATCACCCATACTCTGGGCCAAATGTTAATACTTCAGGTTCCTCACTAAAGCCGCAACCTCATGATTCACAAATTAGGCAACTTGCACATCATCAAGGCATGGGACCAAATCCTGTAGGAGGATCAACCCAGGCAATAAACATGATGAGTGGGCCTAAGCTTGAGAGGCAAAACTCTACTAATGACCCAAATAGATTGCAGGGTGGATCTCTTTCTCACTTTTCAAGCAGTTCAATTCCTTGGCAAGCCTCATCAAGTAAGGAGCAGAATCCTGGCCCTTTATCATCAGTGACTTATGTGAAACAGGAACCTGTTGATCAAGGTGCTCAGCAACAGCACAGACCTCATGTGTCTGCAACACAGGGATTGTCTACTGCACTAGTTGAACAGGGAAATGCAGTTACAGCTACTCCAAAGGATGAGTCTTTAGAGAAGCAGTCTTCTAGAATTGGCTTCTCAACTCCTACTAGTATGGTACCTCCTAATTTGGTTTCTCCTTCCATCACAACACAAATGGATTCTAATGTCCCGGTAATCTCATCTTAGTATATGTTTTCTCATTATTATATCTTGATGGATGATTCTGGATGCTTTTGCTAATGACGATTAGAAGAACCACTTTGTTTAAAAGTCTACATGAAAATTTATGCATTAAATATTTGTCATTTTGGAATGATGCTTTTTTTTCAGTTATGAAGTTTGTATGGACAGGACTTGCTAGGTATAACCAATTTGATGTCATGGACTGAATTGTTTGTCTGATACTCTGATAGTCTTGCTGGGGTTTTTTTTCTTTCTAGGGCCTTGAGCTATGTTAATGAATCATGTGCTGTCTTGCTAACTTGTTAGATTAAGCATTTTAGTTGTTCTGATTGTACAGTAAGCAAAATTCCTAAAATCTGTCCTGCAAACAAGGTGGTTGAAACATTAAATTTTATAGATGATGTTACTCTTGAATTTTATTTACTTTCTCCTTAGTTCACATATTTTGAAATTCTCTTCATAAAAATGAAATTTATATTATTTAGTGTTTTCCCCATTGAAGTGCATGCTTATGACTTTTTGCTTTCTTTTGTCAAATTTCCACGTTCTTTCTTTATGTATCAGTTGGGCTCTCGGAATCCTTCTGTGTCCACTACAGCTGGGGTCAGTGCAAGAACACCTCAAAAAAAGCCCTCTGTTGGTCAGAAGAAACCGCTTGAAGCTCTTGGTTCATCACCACCACTGTCAAGGTTAAATAAATCTCTCTGTTGATTTATAGCCTGGAATGAATAGCAAGGAACAATCAACAATCATTTGATTCCTTTTATTACATTGTTTTTCACCCATACTGAATGGGATTTCCACAGTAAGAAGCAAAAAGTGTCTGGAGCCTTTTCAGATCAGAGCATTGAACAACTGAATGATGTCACTGCTGTCAGCGGAGTCAATCTCAGGGTATGATACTTTATGGTCATCTCTGCCTAAATTTAGTTATTAAGTAGTTATTTAAAAGAATATAAGCCCTAAAAATAGAAGTCACATCCTTTTGACATTCTGTTATCAAATAGGAAGAGGAGGAGCAACTATTTTCTGGCCCCAAGGATGAGAGTCGAGTTTCAGAAGCATCCAGAAGGGTTGTCCAAGAGGAAGAAGAAAGACTTATTTTGCAGAAAACCCCTTTGCAGAAGAAACTGGCTGAAATTAGTTAATATTCCTTATTTCCTCATACCTCCCTAGTCTAAAGTTCTTTAATTTCATACATTTACATTCTGCTCTTCTTCATAAGCCATCTCTTTCTCACAAATTGATGTCTGTTTTTCTGTGTCTTCATGCAGTGGCCAAAACTGGCTTGAAGAATATAAGCAATGATGTTGAACGATGCTTGTCCCTGGTAAGATGCTAGCATCTTTGCCCTTTTCTTTATAATGGGTTTATATATGTCCTCATGTATCTGAATCTCTAGTGTGTGGAGGAAAGAATGCGTGGGCTCCTATGCAATTTAATCAGACTGTCAAAACAGGTCAGCCTCAATTCCTCTTAGTTAACATGAATTTTCTTTATATCTTTCTAATTTGGAATGAATCTCTTGCAGCGGGTTGATGTTGAGAAGCCTAGGCACCGGACACTTGTCACCTCAGATGTTCGGCAGCAAATTATGATGATCAACCGGAATGCTAGGGAAGAATGGGAGAAAAAGCAGGCCGAGGCAGAGAAGCTGCGGAAACTTAATGAAGTGGGTGCTGTTTCTATTTTGTGATATGATTATCTATAATGCACTAAAAAATGTAGGGAGGAATTAATAATGCACATGAATGCACCGACAGACTAAAGATTATGGCATGCTATATCATTTTTTGCTTAACATTGTATATGTTAAATATTTGTGGATGCAGCCTGAGGCTGAGACTGTAGTTGAAGGTGATAAGGAGAAAGATGACAGTCGAGTAAAAGTAGTAAAGGTATTATCAAAGAGTAATTTTTCCAAGCATTTTATGTTCCTTAATTATCCAAATAAAGGGAGTAACTCTCTGGTAATGTCCAGGCAAACAAGGAGGAGGATGATAAGATGAGGACCACTGCTGCAAATGTTGCTGCACGGGCTGCTGTTGGAGGGGATGACATGCTGTCAAAATGGCAACTTATGGCTGAGCAAGCCCGCCAGAAACGCGAGGGGGGAATGGATGCAGCATCTGGTTCTCCTGCAGGTAAAGATGTAAACTGCAGGCCTCTATCTGCATCTGGAAAAAATGCAAAGGACAATCAAGAATCAGAAAAGAGGGGCCCGCTCAGTCCTTTTGCATCTGGTAAGCTTGGTTCATGGCTAGATCTCTTCTTAATTTTAATTTGGATGCATTTAGCTGCTTAATATGTTGTAAGGTTTATCATGCATACCTTTGCATTAGATGGCACTGTTATGAATGCTGGTGTATGACAGAGCAATTTAGAATTGGTTCCTATTATGTTTAATCATATAAATTGGTAGTTACCAGGTTATGTGCTTTACACGAAACTGATTCAAGTATGGAACTATGAAAACAATGCATGTAGAAAACCTGATAGTAATATGCACTTGCATGTAATAAGGTATACGAAATAATTAGGAAATTTGATTGTTGATTTGAACAAATTAATTATGTGTAAAGCAAATGTACTTGTATGAAGTTGCTCCGACATCTAGTTATATTTCTGATGTGTAAGGTATTAATGCATTGATACAACCCAAATAATCCTATATTATGACTATCATACTTTGGTCGTAAGAGTTCAGAGTTTGTCTCTTTTTTGAAAATAATCATTCCTGCACCACCTGTTCCAACTGTATCATTAAACAACTTTTACTTTCTGCAGATTTTCTTATGTTACCAAGTTGTTATCTGGACTCCTCTCCCTAAAATTCTCCTTACCTTGCATCCAGGGGAGGACGATTCCTGTCTGTTCCACTCTATTTGCTTTGTTTTTCACTCTACTTTCTTTCAACAGGGGCTAGTAGAAAATTTGGCCGGAACCAAGGTGTCACGCCCCATGCTAGAGTGGCTCGTACTATTTCAGTTAAGGATGTGATTGCAGTCCTGGAAAGAGAGCCCCAAATGTCTAAGTCTACACTTATTTATCGCTTGTATGAAAAAACTGGCTCCGAGGCTGCTGCTGAGTGATTATGATGCACCTTTATATTATGGTGTGGTGTTCATGTTTTCCATTAGGTATCCGATTACAGATAATGGAATTTGAGATGTCTAGGACTGTATATTTAGCTTAATGGTGGAGAATCTTACAGAACATCTGGATAATTGGACTTTCTAGGTTTTTAGGTGCAGTATCAACCTGATCTTACCACGTTAACCAGGCTTCAGAACCAGGTTTTTAGCTGGATGATTTCATGTTTATTCTTTTGTAATTATTATATGCTAATATTATTTTATAATAAATTACGTTTTAAAGTTTGTGATAAATGTCGCCTTTCTCATTGTAAACTTGTCCTTTGTCAGTTTGTATTGATAGCAATGTGAACTCTGCTCTCGTATTAATTTTAATGCTCTTCTCTTATTATAAAGAAATAAGGAAGGCTTGCAGAGACGCTTCTCCTCACGAAGCTAATTATAGGACTTCAGCTCTCATGTAATTTCATCTTTTAATTTCCCTCTCTCCCTCTAACTGTTGTATTTATGGCAAGAGAGAATGTTCTTTTTTCGAGTTAGGCTCCGTTTGGATTCAAACAAGTTTCAGTGTAGCACGGTTGGGCCACTTTTTGGCTCAATCGCGTTGAAAGGGATTCGTTTGGATCCAAACTGACTGGTCTCATTGTGCGTTGCAGGGATCCAAACGGACTGGTCCCATCGTGCCGAGTGCCATACCCTTCAGTGAACAACTGAGCCATTTTTTCAGTTTTGTCACAGCCTCCACCGGGCATTCGACGTTTGCTCTCTTGAAAAGTGGCATGCACAGTTAAAAATTAGCCTAAAACATCAGAGTATCTTCCACCAAGCATTCTAGTGGATTTGAAACTTGGATAAGGGGAAACGATCAAGCTAAACTCTAATCTTAGAATAAATGGTTAAGAGTTGGGCAACAAGTTAGCAACTAGCTACCATGATAGCATGGACAACTTCAAATTGTGTGATAACTCATTTTTTTATTGGCAGTAACTTTTAACAGAAGCTTCAAATGTAATGATATTAACATAAATACAAGATATGGAACCTCAAGCTCAGTCTTGAAGTTCTATTTTTTCTTATTGGGTTGTGTCATTCATTTCTTAAGGTGAGGGAAACAAGCATACATGTCAAATTTTGGGTGCTTTGCTTCAGCATGTTCCCTGCACTTCACCTCCGATGTGGTGCATATGAATGTCTGCATGCAAACTTTGCACTGCATCCACCACTCTCCATCAATCAGTCATCTCATTGAAACCTGGTTCTCGCTTACTAGGATTGAAGAATGATTAACAAAATACTATGACAAGAAATTAAACTACCACAATCATGAATCTTTCAGCAGCAAAAAAGAAAGGAAATCTAAGAATATTCATTGACAATTTACCTGAATTGTCATGGCCTTTTTGTTTGACTCCAGCTGACTACCTAGATAACATAAAAAATTACTATAATCAGAGCTTAAAACTAAAATTTCAAGGCATAAAGTAAAGAGGAAAAGAAATGTTTACCTTTAACGGGTTTGTTCTTCTCCATGTGTTTCTCACGAGCCATCCTTGACTTCTGGCCGTTTCCTCCTCCCATAACGGCTTCTTCTTGTCGATCCCTCAGCCCTCAACTGCAACAAGTTTCCCTAAATTATGGGAAAACTGGTTTTGGTTTGCAAAATTCACAAGAGCTTGAGAATGAATGACTTGTATATATAGCCAACGTGTAAAGTGGGAGCCAGAAATGACATCATACATTTTTGTGCTATTAAATCTGAGTGAAACTTAAGGAAACTGTACCATGCATTTACTTGTTTTGGTCCACTGTTTTTCTGAACATTTGTTTGGCTTGGCCACATCTCTTATAGTCTTTCCAAGAAACTTCTTTTGAGACCGTATATTCTGCTCCCACATAATGCAAATTAATGATTATAGTTGGATAGATTTCATATTTATTCAATTCATTACTATTCATGATTTAAACTTCAAATATGTTAACCATATATTAGATTCAAAAGAAAAGGTTTCTGTTATCATATTAAAAATTCATTCAATGTTTCATGACTCAAAAATTAGATATAAACATTCCAAATTTGATAAGAAGAGATAACGGTGATGGAATGTGCAGTGGTCGGCAGTGAGGTCGTCATCTAGAATTCTAGATAATGCTAAACACCATGTTAGTCAAAAGGGCATGCAAAATAAGCGAAGGTGCATGCTTGATTTAGAGTTATCGGGGTAAGCCTAGTGCTTCAAACGTACAGCTGGAGCTCACTAGGAATTTCTTTGTGGTGGTTGGTGAGGTCAGATCGCCATTTATAAATCACACACCAAGTGGTGGACCCAAAACGAACTATCTCTTTCTGGATGAACAACAATCAAGGCTTCTCTGCAATTATTTGCAACTTCCAATATTTCCATTTCCTTTTGACAAATTTCATGAAGACTTTGAGTTGTTGTTGGATGGGAGTTTGGAAACTGCAGCAATCAATTGCCAGCTAGCTTCCAAATGGATATGCATCTGCACACATTTATTCCTTTTGTCAAGTTGGGATGTTCATAGTCCACCCCTTCTATTTCATGTGAACTTCAATTCTCATTAAATTAACCCCATGTGAATTGTAAGAGAATTCCTTTTTTTTTTTTTTAATTATAATCGTACATGTTTTTGGAATATAAAAATGATAGTGGTAGATTTTAGCATAAGTCATCAACTTTGACCATGACTGTTCTACATTTTTATAATTAGCACTTAATGATCTGGATTAACTATTCACAAGTAATGATTTGGATTCGGAAGATTTTCATATTAAGATTCAAATTATGCTTGTTTACACGAGAAAACATGTGTTTTTGTTGTGTGTTGAACAGGCTTGGAAGACGGTGACTAGCTCACTGGGCTTTATTAAATGGGACCTTAATTTCTAAGACCAAAAAGCCCAATTTTAAGTCATATCAAAACCTACCATAGCCCATAGGCCACCAGAGGCTGCCAGAAGGTCAATATGAGGCCCATTTACAAGTTTTAGTTACTTCAAGACCATGATTGTATCACACTTGCGTGACGGTTGCATGGCTTAAGAGCGAAGCACGTAACAGTTGCATATTCAGTTGAATGCTTATGTTCTATTATGTTATACATAAGAAAAAAAAAATCACCTTGTAAATTACTCAATTGACAATTCAAATATAACCTAATTAATAGTAATAAGTAACCTAATAGCCTAACTTAACTTGTCATTGTTTCCATTATGACATATTTAATTGTTGAAATTTTAAGATTAAACTCTTATATCAACTATTCTATTGTTAATATATATATATAGATGATTTTCTTGATAGGTTTTTAAGAGCTGAATTTTTACAAAGAATAATTATTTTATATATTGTCGATAAAGTTTGTAAGTAATTATCAAATGGTGAGTTCTTACTAAATTTTTATTTTCATTATTTTAAAATAAAATAAAATAATTATCAAGTAGGTTTTCTTAATTTTAAAAGTAAAAATATAAAAAAAATTATGAGATGAAAAAAATAATAATAAAGGAACCAAGTTGGAAGTCGTTTGTAAACAAGAAATGAAACATTGTTAACGCAAATCACGCTGCTTACATAATACATCAACATTTTTTAGTCTTACATTTTGAGAAAAAAAAAAAAACAAAAACCTTAAACACTAAGAAAGGAAAATGAGTCAAGCAAGGAAAAGAATTTTGAGATTAAATTAAGTAATTTTTATATTTGTAGTGTATTTTTTGTCAAATAATATAAAATATAAATTTATTGTTTTATAATTCATATTTATACGTTAATCATAAGACATATTTTTTCAATATTAAATTTAGTTATTTTTATTTTATATATTAAGTTTATATTATATTAGAATAAAATATATAAAATTATTAAATTTACACTTTTAAGGTATTAGCTTATTGATTAAAAAATATTAAAATTCTAAATTGTTATTTATTTCAATTTTAATTAATTAATTAATTAATAATTATAATGTAATTCTTAACTACAACTTTAGAGACTTAATGGAGGCAAACCAGTTAATACACGTGTCATTTTTGCGAAAGAGGGAAAACTCGTACAACGAAGTAAAATCAGGATGACAGTTATCCTGCTGAAGGGTACGTAAACTGTCGCCACGTCAGCTCCACTTTGGAGCCATATGTACGTTTTTTCTAAAAGAAACTCCGTGACTTAACCAATGTTGCCAGCCAATTAAGGGTCCCACTTCCTTCCCTATGAACGTAGCAAAAGCGATCCCATTTCCCCTTTCAAAGCTTTAAAATGCCGAATATGCTTTGCTGTTCTTTACATATATCCTTTCCCTCTCACCCTTCTCTCGCTCTTTTATTTATTTTACTTTTTTTTTTTAACCATTTTTTGCAAAAAAGGGTCTCTATATAGTTGATCGTTAAACAACTTTACTTTCATTAATTCCATATTTTCATCCTGTTTCAATCTTTGGGTTTTGAGTTTTAAGCATGGAGATTATCCTGGAGCTCTTTTTGACTGCTTTTATTGCTCTTCTTTTTTCTTTCTTGATAGCCAAGATTGTTTCTTTGGCTATGGGTGGTGATTCTGTTTCTGGGGTGGATGAAAAATCTTTGATTGATGTTGATGATGAGACTATCATGGAAGAGTTGGAGTTTTCTGAGAAATTGAAAGTTCAAGGAATCGAAAGTGAAAAGAAAGTTCAATTTGTTAAGGAACTTGTTGATAAGGTTGATGTTTTTGAAGTAGAACAAGCTGGGGTTGATCAGGGTTTTGAAAGTGAAAAGAAAGTTGAATGGGTTGAAGAAACTGCTGATAAGGTTGGTGAATTTGGAGCTGGAGAAAGTGAGGTTGTTGAAATATTGAAAGTTCAAGGCTTTGAAAGTGAAAAGGAAGTTGAATTTTTGCAAGAAACTGCCAAGAAGGTCGATGATTTTGAAGCAGAACAAGCTAAGGTCGGTGAAGCTGAAGCTGATGTGAAGCTTGATGATTTTGTTACCGAAAATAAGACTGAGAAAAAAGAAGTTGGGGAAATTGCTGAAGAATTAGAGGCTCAAAATGAAACCAAAGTGCAATCTGAAGAGATCAGCGTTGAGAAGAGTCAAATGAAAGGAGTTGGGGAAGAAGAAAAGAATGTGAAACTAGAGAGTGATGATGATGATTGGGAGGGGATAGAGAGGAGTGAATTGGAGAAGGTTTTTGGAGCAGCTGTGAAGTTTGTCGAGCATAAAGGAGATTTAGAAGGGGTGGGGAATGACGTTCAGATGGAACTTTATGGACTCCACAAGATTGCTACGGAAGGGCCTTGTCGCGAGCCCCAACCTCTAGCTTTCATGGTCTCTTCTCGCTCCAAATGGTAGCAAACTTTCCTGACCATCTATATTTGACTATTTGTTGGTTGATTTTTCTTCCTCTTTTTGCTCTATTTTTTGGTTGGTGTGGAATGTGGATGGTTAGACTCAAGTTACTAGGGTTTAAATGTCTGACAGGAAAAAATCAATAGCCTAACAGAATAGAGTAAAGGAATTAAACTTTGGTAGTTAGGGAGAGATAATATCATTTTGATACACTAAATTTTTATCCTTTGTCAAAACCACAAACTTGGGTTTGAAGTTTAAATAGTTTAGAAAGCAATTACGAAATGAAGTTAAAAATTGGAAACTGAAAGGTGTGGTGAATTTTGAGAAAACTGAGTAAAATAAGAAGGGTGGTAAGCCTATATTATTAGTCATGTTGTTTCCGATTGTTTTAATTAACCAGTAGAAGGGTAGTTGAAAAATACACTTGTATTTAATTAACCAGTAGAAGGGTAGTTGAATATACACTTGTATCAACAGTTTGCAAATTTGAGATAATGAATTATTCAGTTTTTTGTTCAGATTATAGATAATGCCTCATATAATTAGAGCTGTCTGAAACACACTTGAGTCAATGTGGGATAACACAAAATATTACAGTTTCTATAGTGGTCAAATTTGGATTGACCACTATAACTGGGAAGTTTTGTCAAACCTAGACAAAAACAGAGTGTAAAACACAGTGGGGCATAGCCTATACCAAATTACACGGTATAGCTTGATTGGTAGTTATAATAACAGGGTTGACAGCTGCTATGTATGAGTGATCGACGGCACTGCTTGCATTGTGCAAGGAATGCTTGGCAAAGGTTGGGAAACATGAATCCAGAGGTGGCTATGGAGCAGTATGTCGCCCTTCTTTCAGACAGAGTTCCAGGGTTTATAGAAGACAATTCTGATGTGAGTCCGTTGCTTTTCCGGCGGTGGCTTTTTTTTTTTTTTGAGTGACTTCTATAATACATAATATTTGGCAAATTGTCTTTTGACACAATTCTTTGTACAGGGAGAACATAAATTTGGGTCTACAGACCGAGGAGTTCCTGGTGCCATGGCTCCTGATATAAATTCATTTCCAGATCGACAGACCAGTTTTACACAAGAAAGGTGATTTGATGTTGGCAACCTTAGATTTTCTTTTGTGCTCATGTCATTTTTTATCCACTACTTTCATGTCCTGCAGGAATGAGGAATTGAAGTCTGTTCCAGGAGGAGTTGACATAAATGAGAACAGAATCTTTGAGAAGCAGGTATTATTTTCATTTCCCCTCCTCCCTATCTAGCTTATGTGGAATGAAAGATGTTATGAATAAGTTCAATGGAAAAACCGTTCTAACAGAAAAACGCGCACAAAGCACAATATATGTATGTATGCTCAAGTTACGAGTTTCAAATAGCCGACAAGTAAAGGACAATGCTGGATGTAACTCTTTTGATATTTATATTCATAAATCTAAAATATGTATACCACCAAGCTCTTAGGAAGGAAAATGATCAATACTGGATGGCCTACTAATTTACGTGGCGGATACACTTTCTTAGGCCATTAATAAACCATGCAAATACATTTTAAGGGTTAATACAAAAATTCTCCTAAAAATGCTAAAAACTCAACAAATTTCATCTAGCAACTTAAAAATCCTTTTATATAATTCTTTAAAAGCAGCTGAAATCTAGTAGTAGAAGATTTTGACAGGTCTGTAAAACAGAGTAAAGAATGATGACTGTAAACTGCCTGACTTACTTTAGAAAAGATAACTACATTAAAATCGTTCTTCATTCATTGTCCTTAATTTTTTGGGAGTCCAGTAGCTGACTTGCCCAAATGGAGATAGCTCTCGCTTGAACCATTATCCATATTTTGATAATGTCAGAATTTGAACCAGTGTTTGTGGTACTCCTGGAACTTAATAGCAACTTTCTAGGCATCTATGAGAGGTGTGATAACATGTAAACGTACCTCTTATTCTGGAGCTAGGTACTTGCTGAAAGGGCAAGTGCTTCCGTTTTTTGAATTCTGTCATTCACGGAAAGTTGAAAATTATGCGTTTTCTTTACTATTTGAGTAAATTTAAGTAGCAGTTCCAAGTTTTATGATTTTGGAAAGTTCAGATTATTGATGCAATTATTCCAGCTGTGTCAGTAACTATCACAAGCCTCCAAGAACCTCATTTCTATCTTGTTTTTAACTCAACATTTGCAATTGCATCCGTTAGGATGATTATCTCATGTGATTCTCTAGAGGGTATAAGTAATTTAAATGGAAACAAGTGCTGGATTTCGTTACTGATCTGAGTAACATCTAAGACAAAACTATTTGATTGCTTATTTTATCAGAATGCTGCTTCTGGTAAAAATAAAAAAGATTATATATAACTTCATTTATTATGAAATTTCAGGCCGAAGACTGATTAACATTGCCCTGACTTCATCTCCCCAACCACAGGGGCCATTCTCCTGGGTTTTCCTGGTCAGAAACAGGACTGTTATCAGCACCAAGTATAAATATCTGCCTAGACTGAATTAATCTATCGCACTGTTTATCTATAACCTGCTAGTAAAAATGATGTTGTGTGGTTAAAATAGTAACTGTTAATTATTCTATATTATGATGTAAATAACATGTGAAGCACCCATGTTTCTAATTACTCAAATGGCTGGCTGGTTGTGACTGCTCAAGTAAAATGCTAATGTATGCATTTAATCAAGTGTTCCTTGGTTCAATCCTGCCTCTTTTCTTTGGCTGGTAAACTTTTCCAAGATTATACATCAGTTTTTTTTGGGGGGACAAGCAAACTTTTATTCGTTGATTCCAAAATTTCTATAAGTGGCTGCTGGGAACTTGGAATGCCGTGAAAGAATGTCCAATTGTCAACATTGCATCCATATTTGACTTTTGTTGGCAAAACATTTAAAGCATATCTTATTTCTCCCTCAGTTTAACGTGCTCTCAAGTTTTTCACTGTGGGGGGGAGAGGGACCATTTTTTTCTCTGCATTTTAGTAATTGCTTTGTACGGTTGATGTTGACTGAAATATTGTAGCATTTAGGCAGTGCTTAGTCTGCTTCAAATTCTGGCGGTGGAATGTCAACTGCGTAGGCCATAAGGCTGCTGAAGGTAGAAGCTGTTGGTATGTGCCTTAAAAACCAAATCGATTTTGGTGAAATGTTCTCGTGGTGATATTTGATATCTTTCCATGACTCCATTACAAATTACTCATAAAAAAAATGCTCAAACAAAACAGAGTTAATTAAAAACAAATAAAAAAAGTCGAAAAAAGAATTAAATCAGAAGATCATGCATGTTAGTACGAGCTTAATGATAGCATTGGCACTGTTTCGGAAGAACATATATATATATATATATATATATATATGTGTGTGTGTGTGAAAGCTATGTAATGTAGCCTTACCAGTAGAGAGGTATGAGATGAACCGAAACGTGCTGGCTGGATCTGGTGATGTGGCCAATTCGCATGAACACAGCTCCTTCCTTTTCTCACTATGTCTTTCTGTAGCTTTCTCTCTCTAGCATGGGTTTTTCTTCAAACTTTTTTTTTTTAATTTTATTTTCATGATCTTTATTTCGATAATAAACTTTTCATCATTTATACATAAATTTCAATAAGTTATAATTCATGTAAAAATAAAAAATCACTAGTCTTTATCTCTCTGGGTACATGGATTTGCGCTTTTAGTTATAACTTCTTGATGGCTGACGATTCTGATGGGTTTGCATCTACATCAAACTCCCATAAGACGAATATTTTGATCAAGAAAATGAATTTTGGCAGTTGTGATGGCCTAAATTATGTTTACGTGATTTGATATTGAAAAGAATATTTAAAATTGACATGTATGTTTCCTCTATAATTTTTAATTTTATGGCAGATTTATTGATGCTTAATTTTGGTTGAAGTATTTGAATCTAATTTTATTTGATTGCTTGCCGATTTTGTTTGGTTTGCAATTTTTTTTTTCTTTTTTAAAGATTAGGATTTTAAGAACTTTTGCAAAAAATAAAAAAATAGATCTCAATAATTGGTTTGTTTGAATTTTGTTTTTAAACCATTTTTAATGTTAAAATAAATAAAAAAATTTTCATAATCTTCTTTTTCACGTTAAAAATTGTTTTTTTTCTTTTAAATTGGCACATTTTCACAAGCTCATGAGAAAAGGGGGCATTTTAGATAATTTGGTTTCTTCTTAATGGAGCTGACCAACGAGGCTGATGGTCAAAGGTGGAAAGGGTACATTTTGAAACAAGAGGGGGGTTTGTGTCTTTTGAGGAAACTGTGAGGTGGGGGGGGGGGGGGTTGGATTTCACCCCAAAAGAAGCTTTGGGTATCAGCCTCGAGTAAAGTTTGGGCCTTCCTTTGAGAAGCCTCGACTCTAGCAGTGAAGGCCTTTTAAGAAAATTGGCTGGCATGGGCTTGTTGAATTTGAAATTATTGACCATGGGGGCACTTAGACCCAGTGACTTTGCTTCTAGGCTCAACAAATCAAATAATAAATTCCATTTGTTGTTCCTTTTGTCACATCTTTTAACTTTTAATTATAATATTATAATTTATTTAATAAAAAATTATATAAAAATTCATCATTTATAAGTGTATATTCCACATAAATTTTTTATAAATCTCATATAATTTTGAATTATAATTAATTAATTATACTAAAATAATTGTAAGTGAAAATATTTTTTTTTATAATTAGTCAACAGATATACATTTAACATTTTTTCTTAAAAATTTAAAAATATGTTGATTAAGAGTGGATAAAGTTTTAACATTTTAATATTTAATTCAATAAATAATGCATGATTTCTTTGTTTAGAGAAAACGGTTTGAATCTCTTTCACAAATAAAAAAAATTATCAACTGACAATAAAATTTTTTAATTTTATAAACGATATTAAAATAATAATACATATTTTTAATTGTATATTTTAAAAAAATTAAATAAAAAAAAGTGAAAAATTTTAAATCATTTTAACTTTACTTGTAAAATTAAAAATTTTAATTATTAGCGCATTAAATAATTTTTTAGAAAAAAAAAATGATAAGATCTGATTTATTTAGCGAAAACGCTGGAGTTGTCCATAGCACCGTTGACAAATTATTTGAATTGGCTATCACCGACTTTCTAATTCGTAGTTTCCTAGGAAGTCATTGGCCCTTTTCTCTTCTTTATCCTTCCTAGTGGGGTCAATTTGTAACCTATTCTTTGAAATATTATTGAATCAAACCTCATTATTTTTGGATTTTTCTTGGGACTCAAGCAATCGGTACATATACTGTTTTAATTTTAATTTTTTTAATATTTGAGATTGTTAGAATTTTAATTTTAATTATTAAAATTAAAATTTTAATATTCTACTGTTACATTGCATAATTATTGATGTAATTTCAAAAACTTGATTGTATGATAAAAAATCTATATAAAGCAAAAGGGATTTCCATGTTCATAAGTTAATACTATTATTGTAATGAATATGGTTTATTCAAAAAAAAAAAAAAAAAAGAAGGTTATCTTTATCTACAAAGTTGAAAGGAACTAAAAACAAATGAAATATATATGAAAGAAATGGTGAAATTATCCTCATTTTTTTAACAGGGATGAGATATTAAAAGTTTTATTTTATTTAAGTATATATCTTTTTCATTTAAATTATGTCATGTAATTATTTATTAAAAAAATCAATTAATACTTATTACATATCATTTGTGATAATTAAATGATAATTATTTATTTTAATAAATTTAGATATATAAGGTATAATAAATAATTGATTTTTTTTATTAACGTAATTAAGTAATATAATTTCAATAGAAAAAAATATGGCAGCCTAAATTAACTGTTTTATATCATTCTTTTTCTAATATTAAGTATATGATTGAATATATTAAAGCAAAAAAAAAAAAACTTTTACACCAAGAGAAAGAAATTTATTAGATTTTGATCGATCTAATAGGAGATAATTATCTTTTATTTATCTCATATATAAAGAATTTCAAATACTGCAACACTAATGCTAGCTCCTCCTTCCTAGATGTAGTAGGTTTCTTTGAGCTAGGCAGCTAGCATTATCAAAATTGTTAGGTTTCCATGCATAGTAAGTAATTATCACAAAATGTGGAAGCATTTGGTTTTAAAAGGACTAATCAAACATAGCATACTACTATTTAGATGGGGATATTTTTTATATAATATATATATTGATTTTGCAGCACTTACTAATTATAATAGTAGTAATTATGAATTAATTAAATATGTAAATATTTTTAGAAATTAGAATTCGTCACGGATCAACTGACATGACTATCATAATTGTAAAAAATAAATTTTTAATTTAGTGATTAGAAATATTTAAAAAAATATTAAAAATATAATTTCGAATCAAGTTTTTTTATTTATATTAAAACTTTTTTTATTACATCAAAAGATAAAATTTTAATACAAATAAAAAAAATTGATTTGAAACTAAAGCCATGATATTTCTTCAAACGTTTTTAACTAATAAGATAAAAGCTTTGAGATAATTATTACATTATATTTTACTCAAAGATCCTCTTTTCCAAATAGAAAAAATAAATCACCGACTACTTGTGAACAGATAGCAATGCTTTAATGATTGAAGCTGTGGCTGGCTTGCAACTTACGCTTGCAAGCAGTTTTGATGGCAGTCAACTCAATTGGCGGAAAGAGGCCTTTAAGAAAAGCAATTAAAAGGAAGATGATAGCTGAATTTCAATAGTCAAAGATTGGATACTAAATTTTAGTTGGGAAAGTGACAGACAAGCAAACTCCAAGGAAATCGTGAGAAAATTTTTTACAATGTATTGTATTTGTGTATGTTTCCAAGCCTTCCCGGACTGAAACCTAGTCTAATAATTCTATGTAACTTTGAGCGGTATAACAATCTTGGAAAGCCAATTAGCGAACCAAAGGAGCTTAGAAAATGAAAGGAGATGCAATTTGGTCCTGTCAAATTTGTTAGAAAAATTAATCAAGGAAAGTTTAATTTGAATAAGGATTTTAAAATTAATAAAAAATAAAAACAGTTCATATTTAATTTAATTAAAAATTTATAATAAGAAAAGTTTGCTTTAGTAATTAAAGATTTCAATCTTAATAAGTAATTCTGTCCAAAAAAAACCTCTTAATAAGGAAATAAATAAAATAGTATTATTTGTAGTATATAGATTATCAGCTTAGACTTGGAGTGACATGGGGTGCATGGTCATCAGCAGAAGTGATTAAAGTTTTGGAGAAATAGACTAAGCAGGTGCAATATACTTTAAAAACTTATTTTCGTTCAGACAATAACTAATTGCAGAAGTAATTATTAAACGACACTGATAAAAAAAAAATTGGCTATGACTAGAGGGTATGGGGTCCATTTCCAGCTAATTGCCACTAAAGTATACTATCAGATAAAAGTGGGAGAAACAAAGCTTTCGAGTTTGTTGTGATGAAACATTAAAATAATTCCATCATATAATCAAAACCCCCCCTTTTCTATCAGCCTTTTGTAAAGGCCAGATGACTTAATGAATTGCTGATGTTCCCATCCTGCACAGAATTCCATATTCTCTTTTTCAACCCCTCATTTGTTGCTTTGGGATGGCCAATCCTTGACTTTCCACTATGGCAACCAGCAGCCTGGTAATGATAATTGCTTGGATCAATGAAAAGTTAGATACCCGGCAGCTTTAACCCTGAACAAATGGGAATTTAGTGGATTCCCCACCATCACCTTCCATATCATCATTGGGGCATACAGAGCGTGGGATTTTGGGTTAGAAGGCAGTGCTGATCTAGAAGAAAAGATAAACATATTCTAACAATCACCGTAATTGCAATTATCAGCATTTACTTTGTTATTTAGTACAGATTTACAACGAAAACCAATTCCTGATGTTTCATTTTCTGTGTAAATTTATGAAAAAAGACGACCTGATTTGCACCAGGGGTATGGCATAACAGTCAAATGAGAGATATTAATTTTGTGAAGATCTGCCAGCAGGATTCATGATTTTTAGAGACTAATATGAAGGCAACAGGCAAAGGGCATTGATCAACATGGATAATGAACAGTTATAACAACAACAAACAAAGCCTCAATAAAATAGTAATTTTTTAAATATAACAATAACAAATAAAGTCTAAATAAAACAGTAACTGTCTAAATTTAACAACAACAAACAAAGCCTAAATAAAATCTAAATAGAGTGATTAAAATTGAAAGGACCTTTACTTACCTGTTAAAAATGTGACAGAGTACCTAATTATTGTAAAAAATGGAATCTCCTCTGCACCTTCGATTTTTAATACCAAATCTTTGAAATTTCAGACTTCCTCCTTGAACTTTTCTCTCCATCCTATATCCACCGACTCAAGGTTTACATAAGAATTAATTTACAAGACCATTTCTTCAGGCTGCAAGCAATTTATATACAAGGTAGAATAAGCTTCTTAATCATGAGCATGCATGTTGAGTTTATCTCTTTGCTATTTTACTAAATAATGAAATTTGCTTTCATGTTAAAACAATCATAAATATGAACCGACAGCAGGATGAAACTTTATATAATTAATACTCAACATTCTAGCTTCTTAATTCTTGTTCTTTACCAACGCCCAACATAGCAATTATAATTTGCTATAGAATTATACTAGATTTAAGGTGTTTAACATTTTTTATTTTATTTTATACATCAATCATTGAAACAAGAAATTAATACTATTCCAGAAGGGTATATTTTGTAGGGAATATATTTGGAGTCAAACCAATCTCATCATATCGTAGACCCTCGGTGACCTATGCATTCAGCATTCAAGGAGAAGCGAAATTGCCTGTTAGGGAGAGAATATATTTCTTAATCCAACGAGAGATTTGCTTCCCTTCCCACTTTCATTCATCCGAAAAAAGAAACACCCGTCAATTCCTTGACTGCAGAGATGAAGCCAATGAAGTTCAAGCTACTAGAAATCATTCTATATCTGAATTTGTGTTACGCATGCGCGGTAGCAGAAGAGAAGATCCAGCAAGCCAAAAAGACTTACATAGTTCACATGGACAAATCCAACATGCCAGAGAGTTTCACTGATCACTCCCTATGGTATGACGCATCTTTAAAATCTGTCTCAGATTCAGCATCCGTGCTTTACCCATACAAAAACGTGATCCACGGCTACTCCACAAGGCTAACAGCTGAGGAAGCTGAATCACTTCGAAGACAACCTAGAATTCTCTCTGTCCTACATGAAGTGACATATGAACTGCACACAACTCGAACACCTGAGTTCCTTGGATTAGGAAAGAGCAGTGCTCTGTTCCCTACCTCTGATTCAATGGGTGATGTGACTGTTGGCATATTGGACACTGGAGTTAGGCCCGAGCTGAAAAGTTTTGATGATTCGGAGCTTGGGCCAGTACCGTCTGGCTGGAAAGGCGTGTGTGAGGTGGGCAGAAACTTCAGCGCGTCAAGCTGCAATAGGAAACTAATTGGTGCCAGGTTTTTTTCAAAAGGGTATGAAGCATCTTTTGGACCTATTGACGAAAGCAGGGAATCAAAGTCCCCGAGAGACGATGATGGACATGGAACTCATACAGCAACTACAGCTGCCGGCTCAGCTGTGCCTAAGGCTAACTTGCTAGGATACGCATCTGGAACAGCACGTGGGATGGCTTCACATGCCCGAGTTGCCATATACAAGGTGTGTTGGCTTGGTGGGTGCTTTGGCTCTGATATTGTAGCAGCCATGGACGCAGCTGTCGCAGATGGAGTGGATGTTATTTCAATGTCTATTGGGGGAGGACTATCGGAGTACTATGATGACACGATCGCCATTGGAGCGTTCACAGCAGCGGCCCGTGGAGTTTTTGTATCTTGCTCAGCCGGAAATAGTGGACCCATTCCAAGCAGCTTGTCAAATATTGCACCATGGATAACCACTGTAGGTGCTGGAACACTGGACCGTGATTTCCCTGCCTCTATTACTCTAGGAAACGAGGACCAATACTCTGGCATGACACTTTATAACGGAAAGCAGTTACCTCATTCCAAGGTGCCACTAGTTTATGGTGGTAATGTGAGCAATTCAAGTAGTGGAAATCTTTGTATGGCTGGAAGTTTGATTCCAGAAAAGATTTCTGGGAAAATAGTGCTATGTGATCGAGGGGGTAATGCAAGGGTGCAAAAAGGAGTGGTGGTGAAGGCTGCTGGTGGTGTAGGGATGATTTTGACAATCACTGATAGTTTTGGAGAAGAGCTAGTTGCTGACGCGCATCTCTTACCTGCGGCAGCTGTTGGGCGGAAGACTGGGGATGCAATCAAGAAATATATATCTTCCGATCCTAATCCAACAGCCACAATTGGTCCTGGAACCACCAAGTTAGGTGTTCAACCATCTCCCGTGGTAGCAGCATTCAGTTCTAGAGGTCCAAATCCAGTCACTCCAGCAATACTTAAACCAGACATTATTGCACCAGGAGTCAATATCCTTGCTGGGTGGACTGGTGCAGTTGGTCCGACTGGATTAGAGAGTGACCAAAGGCATGTAAACTTCAACATCATTTCAGGCACATCAATGTCATGCCCCCATGTCAGTGGGTTAGCTGCACTACTCAAGGCTGCTCATCCTGACTGGAGTCCAGCAGCCATTAAATCTGCCCTCATGACCACAGCCTACACAGCTTATAGAAGTGGTGAAAAAATGGAAGATGTTGCTACCGGAGGACCAGCAACACCATTTGATTATGGTGCCGGGCATGTGGATCCTGTTGCAGCCCTTGATCCTGGCCTTGTCTATGATGCTACAGTTGATGACTATCTTGGTCTTCTTTGTGCCTTGAACTACACAGCAAATCAAATTAAGAGCATTACGCACAGAGACCTCACCTGTCAGACAAGCAAAAAGTACACCCTGGGAGATTTTAATTACCCATCCTTCTCTGTTCCTCTGGAAGCCTCAGGCAAAAAGGGTGGTGCTGGCGTCTCAAGCACCATCAATTATACCAGGACCCTTACTAATGTTGGTGCCCCGGCGACATACAAAGTTTCTTTGTATTCACAGACCCATGCCGTGAAGATGTCGGTTGAGCCAGCAACGCTTAGTTTCAGTGCAGAATATGAGAAAAAGAGCTATACCGTGACATTTACAGCCAGTTCTATGCCATTCGGTACAACCAGCTTTGCCCGTCTGGAATGGTCAGATGGAAAACACATTGTTGGTAGTCCAATAGCTTACAGCTGGAAATAAACATGGCTACAATTGGGTTCATGATACTAATACTGGGACTGCCAAGTGCCTCAAAGCGCGAGTGAACTCCCTTACAGTATAATGAATCCGTCTTGTACTATCTATATTACAGCAAACTGTGATGGCAGAGCCAGCTGGTCTTAAAATTGCTCTCCAAGAAAATTAGGGGACAGTAAATTGGGTTTAAAAAAAACCAGGACAAGGTGGGGAATAATTGTACAGTTACCTACTGTTTATGAAACTGGCATGTGAATTTGGACTGCATTCCTAGTAATAATTTGTCTTAAAAATCTTGCACTCTTCTGATGTTCCTGTCTTTCATGATTCACACCATTGTGCAACATATGAGAGGGTTATTATTATCATATTTCTTTCTTTTTTATTTTTATTCTTTTTTCCATTAATTTCATACTTCATACCTACTATAAGAATTTTCGCAAAGACTTGCTGCCTCAGCAATCTAGCATTGCTGATCAACTAACCATCCTTGATCTGCCCCTCCACATTGCATCAAAACCAACAAAGAATACAAAGCATAGGATATTAATCACAAGCATCTAAGATGTTGCTGCATTTAATGTGTAGCATGTACATCGATTTCTTCAAGAAAATTTTGACTCATGATAAGTTTGCTTATAAATGAGTATTCTAAATAGAATAAAAAACGGAATTCTAACTAATTTGTCATATATTTCAGCCACAAAGCTTAACCAGACAAAGGAATTGGTGATAGATCCAGCACATACATGATGGACTAGTTCTTTTCCAATAACCAATTCTCTGGAAGATGTTCTCTGCACACAGCCAATCCAGCAACAAAAGCATACTGCAACGTCATCTATAGTCTGTCATCTTACATAATCCTAACCATCTGAAGTCAGGAAATGATGGAAGATGATATTGAAGTGTTTTTGAGATCAAAAATCCAAATTTAAGGGAGAAAAACAATTCTCATATCAGAAATATGAAATCATCATTCAGAGTCCTGTATAGACTGACAAACAGGGAGATAATAAGTATCAAGTTGCCAATATTTCTGACTAACACCTTGCCAAACTTCTTCTCCCAAGCAATCCTTGACAGGCAAGGGGACTAATTGTGTCGAGTACCCCAAATTCTCCAGTTCTAGTGAAATTAAATGGCAGTAAACAACATGGAAGAATGCATTACCTCCACAAAGCCCATTAAAAAACGAGTAGATTCCTCCAGGCTTCAATAACTTAGGAAGATGCTGATGAAAGTCTCTCAGGTCTTCATAATATTCTCCATAGGTGTCAAAGAAAATACCTACACAGGTTTTGCATACAAGTCAAGGTGTTATTTACATAGGTAAGTAGGCCTGTATAACACAAGGATACATTTTCATGATAAAAGGTTACTCTATGTTAGCAGGTAGCACTTCTTACAGCTTTTTACTTTGGTTTCTATGTTTCCAAAGGTAAGAACTAAAACTATTAGTAGTCAAACTCAAAAATTCTACTCATCCAAAGATACTATGCTACATGTTCATGAAAATTATAAAAGAGGTTGGTTGGGCGAAATTTCTTAATTTGATACAATAATGATGAATTAGCTTTAGTAGCATACCCAAAGTCAGAAAAACTGAAAAGTAGCCCAATGATATAATTAACTCAGAATAAGAAGAAAACATATCATAGCATATTACCAATTTTTCTAATGAAGTTGATCCATATCAGCAACTCAAGCATTAACTCTTAACTCAGAATAAGAAGAAAACATATCATAGCATATGAATGACATATGTGGTCATACATACATATGCATACAGATTGCATGGTAAAATGAATCTCAAATTACCATCATAAGATTCAAGCTGCGAAAGAACATCTTGCCAACGCCCAAATATTATTTTCACGTTATCCTTCTTGCCCCAACCAGTTCGAAGCATGCGTTCATAGACCTCTGGATGAGCCTCAACAATTGTGTGCGTAGCTGGACCATACTGTTGAATAGCTGTATCCACAAGACCCATTCCAAAACCAACATTCAGTATATTACCACCTCCAGAGCAAACAGCTTTTGCATGAGCTTCCATCAATGGTTTCTCCCAAGCCATCATAACAGCCTTGCTATCAGAGTCCATTAACTTATCCTCACTAAAAGTAACCCTATCTTCCAAGTAATCCCCTTCAGAATCCCCATCCTTTTTTGATTTCCTCGCGATTGTTCCCAAAATCAATTCAGCCTGTATTCCTGTTCAATTAAAGATACTTAATTGTCAATACATTATATGATTCCCTATTGAAATCTCCCCTTTTAATTCAATGGGTAGCCTTTCTTTGCTCTAAGTGGTTTCAATTACTTCAACGAATTATTCAGCTCTCTTAGTCTCTTTCATACTTTTAAACTTTAAGCAAATATTTAGACTAAAATCAAATATGGGTAAAAGATTATAAACAAAGTAATGGGTACCAGCATTGAGAAGGACTTCAAATGCTTCCTGGTGACCAGAGTCCATGGCGAAGTCGCCAGCGGACTGGTTAGATGAAGAAAGAGCGTTCCAGGGCGCGCCAGCCTCGAGGAGAGCTTTGACCACATGGGTATGGCCGAACTTGGAGGCGTGCATGAGCGGCGTGAGTCCATCGATGTCGAAGAAGGATACGTCGGCTCCCGATTCTACCATAGTTTTCACTCTGGCGACGTCGCCGTTTCTCGCTGCTTCGCAGAGTTGCTCTCCTTCTGTTCCCATGTCTGAAGGCAATGGAAGTGTGAAGTGAAACCCTGCTGCTCAAGCTCCAAAGCCAAACCGACAAAGATCAATATGTCTTTTTTAGAGTTCCCTCCACTAAGCTAATGTATAATTAGGCGAATCTCCTCTGAATTTTCTGAATTTGCAATTACGTCCTCCATGGGCCATGGGTATTGATGAATGTTTGACTGTTTTCTTTTTTCTTTTAGGGGGAAAAAAAAAGAGAACAGTGTTGCATGTGACATAAACGAAGTTTTCCTTTGGCAAAAGTTAAACTTAAGATATATAATTTTAGTTTCATGGATAACAAATCACAGAATGCATGATATCTTGTTTTGTTTATTTGATGCAATTTTTTTCTCTCAAAAAATCAAACCTTTGGCATTGGGATCATAATTAATTTTTTTCATGAATGATTGATATAAAATAATTATTGAACCAATGTGGCAATTCATTTTTATTATTTTGGGTTTGAATTAAAAACAGTAAAAATATAATTTTTCATAAATTTATTAATTTTAATATAAATAATTTTGTTTAGATCAACCTAATAAAATACTATATTGAGTAAAGTTTAAGAACCTTTTACTGCCTAAAAAAATTCTTTAAATTTATTTATTCAAGATAATAAGAGAAAAATAAATCCACATTGTTAAACCAATGTGTATGAAGCAAATTTGACCGGTTCCTTTTCCATTTTTGAAGCACAAATCTACCCTAAATAAGACAATGTATGAAGCAGATGTGTTGATTTGGTTTCATTTAATTGTAATTAATTGATTAATTAATTACTTTTAATCGGTGGGAAAAAAAAAAAGCCTTTCTTAACTGTCGCCAAAGAAGTTCAGGAAAAAAAGAAATCATAAAATGATTGATTAATTATTCACTGCGCAATACAAATGTTTTTATGGTTGATGGCGTTGTCGGAAAGGAAGATTACGTGTCTTTCATGAAGGTCGCATCACCTCTATTACCAATGTTATTTCGTACTAATTTGTTGCAGCGAGGACTTCAACACTTTCACATTTACCCGTTGACATTTAAAAATGCTGTTCTTTTTGCATGTAATTGAATACGCAGTTCTTTCAGCAACAATCAGCAGGATTACAACTGAAGATAAAAAGAAGGGACTACATACTAAGCTTGAGCGATATTCTTACGTTATTAATATTCTTGACCAAGATTTATTTTAAAGGAAGAAAGGCTTCTTGAGTCTGGCTTGGTGCATGGTTCTTGAGATTTCTGGTGATACTAAATCGCTTAAACCATTGATGAGCCTGTGGTCAGGTATCTGTAACTGAAGTAGGAACCAGCAACCACGAGTGGCACGAAGAACTCGACAAGGGCTGCGTATTTAGGCATGCGATCATCCTTGATCACAAAAGCACTCATCTCTTTCTTTGTGGGTTCCTCAGTTGAAGCAACCTGGACATCTGCGTCGTTCTTGAAAGTGTAACCCTGGAGAACGCCTACCTGGTGCTTGAGGAGCAAGTTTTTAGCCGAGTTGCTGTGACCGATATCCTTGAATTCCTGCGTCGCATCCTTCCCTGCTGACTCTAACAGCACCTCTTCTCCTCCTGGATGGTCTTCCAGGAATTTTGTCACGTTTAGTACCTATGAAAAATAGTCAGGTCTAATTATTACTACCAAGACAAATAATTATATATGGACGAACGTGATGAGTATTTAATTCGTGGGTGTAGATGAAAAGAGAGGGAAGGATTACTCTGCCATCGATGACAAGCCAGCAATCTTTCTTTGATTTATGTTGAGTAACCTGTGAGAGAGTGAAAACTGTGTGTTCAACCATTGTTCTTCCGATAAAGGACTGAAATCCAGCGACGATGCTTACACTTTGTCAGGGCGATCCTAATTTATTCTAGATGGGTAAAGCAGGTAGATATTTGGAGGTGAATGAAACGAGCAAGTGGGATCGCGTGAAAACTAGGGAAGGGTAGCTCTTAGCACGCGACCGACCAATCTTGATGAAGAAACAGACAGGAGGGTATGCACGTGCGGAACAGTAAAGATTTGTCTCTTGTCCATCTGGTAGCTGGTCATTGGTTAATGTTGTCGAGTAACTGAGTTCGTTGACTGAAGGTAGCGAATCAAAGGAGTGGGGAGTCAGGCTATCAGGCCTCAACACTACTCCAGTTCGATTGTAATAGGAATTTGCTGCAAATTGCTATATATTCATGAATTGGAGTCTCACCTAAAAGACTTAACGTTCTTTTATTGATGGCTTTGTTTATTGGCTTCCGGCCAAGAATTGTTGAAGAACAGCCAAAAAAGACGATGACTTTGTAAGGTACGTTTCTAAGCCGCTCCGCTACTTCTTGCTTTCCCTAGATCAGGGTTACAAACGGGACTCATTGCCACAGCCCACTAGAAGAATTTATTTCAGACCTTTAAACTCGTAACTCATCACCTCAATCCCTAACGGTTAAGATTAATGAACTTTAAATCGGAGGTTTCATATTCAAGTGGACGATTCAATTTTTATTTTGGATGGTAATATCTATGAAATAAGAAAGTTGTCTCTTGCTGTCCATTCAGAATACAATGAATTTTTCCAATTGATTTAAAAAAACAAAGAAAAAGAAAAAGAACTTTACTGTTGTAAGAAAAATCCAGCTTTCAGCTTGTGTTCAGGCATTCCTTGGCACACTTTTGTATGCAAAATTCACTATCAACGTTCCCTTCATCATTCTTCCTCCCCCTAAATCTAAGGTGGCCTTCTCCTAATCCTTCTCATAAGCATAGATGGCACCAAAATTAAAAGCATTCATGGAAGCCAACCTCTATCTTTGGAAAACGGGAACTTAAAACAGCTAATAACATATGAGCACTCTCAAGCAAGAACGCCACTAGCTCAGCAATCAGCATCTCAAGCACCAGCAGAGAAAATAAGAAAGACTAGAAGAAGCTCCAACTATACATCACCACAGACAGAATTTCACTTCGTAAATAGAAACTCCAATCAATTTCATCGATTCCTCCAGCTGAACTTACAAGACTCCAAACTGAACATTAATTACCTCAAATACAAAAGTAACCAGGATTTTCCTCCAGTCCAATTTGACTATTAAATGGCAAATGTGGAAAAATGCAATAGTATGACATTTCTAACTCATATCTCATTCTTTACAAGTCTGAATTCAACCCCAAACTGGCAAAAAATTACTGTGAAACACGAATTTCCTTGGTGCTTTTTGGTAGTTCTTTGAACTCACCATCCTGCCTTCTGTCCTCTTTGCCAAATTCTAAACCTTGGAATGTGACCCCAGATGATCTGTACTGACTACCATAGGCAGACCCAAAGCCCCATCCAAGGCCAAAGCCAACCCCACAGCCACCACCTTCACATAAAGAAGAAATACAATGTGAATGACTTATGATTAATTCATTATAGTCAATAAAAAAAAATTAACAAAGAAACCACTGGAGTTTAGTAAGTATTAAAGGAACACCTGCACCAAGCCCAAAGATACTCAAAGGCGTACCTGCAAGTGAGAAAAGAAATCACAAATAAAAGAAAAAGTTTATTATTGCATCCATAGAATGAGAATAAGTTATTCATAAATTCAGAATCATAGATACTACCATGATTTCAGAAAGTGCAAAAATTTACATATACATATCTATAAAGAATGAAGTAGCGGTGATTAATGATTACAAATTTCATAATTTAGCCATCTATAATTTTCCATCAAGGGAATGGATTGATCTACTGCACAACCAAAGTTAAAAGGTATACCATGCATCCCAAACCAGACAGGGAAAAACAAAAGAAAGAATTTTATAAGGTTTAAGAAAAAAAAACCAAAAAGCATCCTAAGTTTACGATTGTTAAACTATCTCAAAGCCCCACAACGATAGATTGACAATAATACAAAGCCAAGGGTTGAAAGTTCTAAACCTTCATCATCATAGCGTTCAACATCGTTATAGTTTTCTTACCAGCTAATAAAGACAAAAACATAACAGAAAGAAAGGGCCATAGATCGCATTCCCTTCATCAAAGAAAGATGATATAAAACTCAAACCTCATTTCAAGCAAAGAGATGAAGAGTCTGAGATGAACAGGAAAAAAAAAAAAGAAGCAAATTACCAATGCTCAACAAATTGACACATTCTGATCTAGTGACCTTCTAACTATCATGATTCAATTACTTGCCAAATAAAATACCCACGGGCAGCAGTAGAATCATCACCGAATAGTTTTATAACATCTCAAAAGATATCTTCAGTAAGCTAAGACTGAGAGATGAAGTGATGAACAAAAATAACCCTCACTAACTGATGATGAAGAGATCATGATTGGTATTTCATTCTCATCTGACATCAACAATTCAATCTAGAGTCTTATGTCTAATATCAACATGCAACTAAAATTATAATCTTCAAATGACATCAACAACCAAGGCGAAAATAAAGTCCCTACGACCATGCCCCATATCTCACAAATGATGAGAACAAGTATTTTTTTAACCACTCCCTTGGATCAAATAACATGACTAGAGGGACACATAATCCATTTCCAGTGTTGGATACATATATTTCAGCCGAAGTGAAATCTTTATGCGTGAAAATTAAAAGATAATTTAAGCTAAAAAATAAAATCTGAAAAAAAAAAAAAACAGACCTCCAAAACCCCATCCAACTCCGAAGCCGCAACCAACACCAAATCCTGATGACAAAATCGAAGGAAAACAGAAAAGAAGATGGTTCAAAGACAAGAAATTTACTTGGAGAGAATATTAAAAAGAAATATAAAAATAAACGTGGGCATACCAAGGCCAACGCCAAAACCATTGAAGTTTGTAATCATTTTGACTTCGTAGCTGAAAAAAGCAGATGCTATCAAACTGAGAATTGATTGAAATAAAAAAGAAAAAAGGTTGTGATTCTGTGAATTATTAGGTAAAAAATAGAAACTACAGTTAACTAACCTTACTCAACTGTGAGAAACAGAACTGTTGTAAAAAATTACGTGGTTGATCTTCAGCGAAAAGTACAAGAACTGGAAAATAGAATCACATTGGTAATCTTTTTGCAAAGAAAAATGTTTAGAGCTTCAAATGACAAAAATGCATGCTTTTTTCTAAAAGCAACAAAACATGTAACCTTACCCATCCCCCCAAGGCCCAGAGCTCAGGGGCGGCCCGGAGGGCCGGAGTTGTACAATAATTTTCTTGATAGATTTACCACCGTCGTTGGGAATCGAAGAGCTCTGCAGTATTTTCACAAACCAAAATATTTTCGAGTAGCTTCATTCAGATGACAGTGGGTAGTTTGGAGGCCTGGAAAAGTCCTAAATCCTAATAAAAGGACTCGAGGGTCTAGCAATATATCTAAGAAGAGCAATAAATTTGGGTCAGGCTGATGGGCTAGGGCTACTCTCTGGGCTTTCTTTGATATTCGCTTGGGACAAACCTTACACCTAATCCGAGCCGAGCGTCTTAATGATAATGGACGATTGCTAATCTTATTCAGGGCCTTCATGATGACTTTAACGGATCTTTAGCTGCGACAATCAAGAGCTTCAATTTTGAAGTTGTCATAATTAGGGCCGTAAACGAGTCCAGCCGAGTCAAATAATGAGAAGTTTGAGCTTGAGTTCGACTCATAATTTGGGGTTTGATATTCGGTTCGAGCTCGATCGAGTTTTATTTTTCAAGCTCGAGCACGATTCGTGATCGAATTCGAGTTACTCGAGTTCGCTCGATTAAGCTCGATTAATATGTAAAAATAAGCTCGATTCGTATACTCGACAAGAGTTCGATTATTCATGCTCAAGCTCAAACTCAAACTCGGACTCGAAATATTTTATTAATTAAAATAATAAAAATATATTTAAATATAAAAAGCTCGATTAAACTCGTAAGTTACTCGAATCAGATATAAAAATATTCGAATTCGACTCGATCGATAAGTCAAGCTACTCGAGCTCGAGCTCAACTCGACAATAATCGAACCGAATTCGAATTTTTTTCGAATCGAACCCGAGTAACTTGCGAGTACTAATGTATCATTTACACCCCTAGGCATAACTACCGCCCCAAACTTATGAAAACAGATTTCACATATGTTGAAAGATAAATGTCAGCAACAATGATACAGAACACTAATACTTCAAAATTTCGACAGAAACAACCTTTGATAAGATGATTAATTCCGGAAAATAAACAACTAAAACATATGGTAAAAGTACTTAACATAGTAATCTGTGTTAAGTAATCTATTTGCTTCATGGTTGCATCTCAGTCTATAACATCAAAATGCATAAAATATGAAATTTGATCTTAAAGTGATTTACAATACACAGTATATTGCCCACTAAGCTTTATCTAGTCGAGAAGTTTTTATTGCATAATTCAAGCTTCTACAACATAAAGAATAAGGGATCATTATAAGCAAAAAGAAAGAAAAAAGAAGAGGGAAAACCATACAGCATTTCCCAAATGCAACAAAAGCTTTTCTTGGAAGGTAAGAAAGTTTATTGAATCAAGGCACGATCTTGTAAGCCTTCATCTTATCAGTCCAAGTAACAAACTAGTTCCTGGAATTCCTAAACCCCAAAAACCCGGGCTCCTTTCTCTTATTCATACTCTAAAGCGGCACCTCAGCTGATAGGATCACATCCATAAACCACCAAACTCCCACCTCCTACAACCTCGTCTCCTGCAACTGTTTCTCCTTCACTATCTCTTCCCAAACTCCTTCCCTCCCTTTCATCATCTCCACCAACCCCAAATTCTTCAATCCCAAACTGCTCCGCCAAAGCGCTCCACAAATGCTTCCACTTATAAACATTCCCATTATTCACATTAAAAGCTTCGTTTTTGGCATGAGGATCCACCGCCGCCCATATCTGTTGCTTAACAATCAAAACCGCATCCGAAACATTGTAGTAACATTCCCAAGCGGCTTTGCTTCCAGGAAACAATAACGGTTTCTCTTCATGTTTACAAATCGGGGCGTAAACGCAAAGGGTTCCAACGGCGTTCGTACCCGAATATCGTTTCGGGTCGGTGCACCGACCAGGTTAATCCTTCATTTTTCTCCTTTTCTTCAAAGAAGATGTCTTCTTGAGTGTGGTAAAAATTGGGAGCGTTTAACCGTGGCAATCTTCGGTAAAAGGCGGATCGTGCGGTTGGATTTTATCTAACAAGTCGAGCGGTCCGAGGTATTGTTTGGCTACGGTTTGAAGACAGATTTGGCGGAGATTGGGTGCGTTAGGGATCACGTAAGGCAAAACATTGCGGTGCATAGAACCGTTAATATCACAATTCGCGGCTTAAGATGATCGGTTGATCAGCTGACGTAAAAGATGGGGGTGACGTCGGTGCGTTGGGAGAGCTTCGATTCGGTGTCCTTCGGATCGGATATGTCGCATTGAATATACTCGATTGGATGCTCGGCGTTCAGTTTGGAATGGGTCGACGAGCCACCCCGTATGCTTTCCATGGGCCGCCGGGGTGTCGGATGAAGTAAGGATTTCAGCCAAGCTGTTACCGACTATGCCGGTCACTCCAACCACCAAACCAACGCTCTGGAAGCTTCTCGGTTCTTCATCTTTCTCAATTTTGTTCTGCAAAATTTTAAAAAAATAAATGCAATTTTCATTGATTGAATGTCCAGTGTCACTGGTAACAACTTACAACGCCAATTACCGATTGAATTACCATATTATTTCCTTGACCTTGAGTGGAAGCCACTTGAAGTACCGTGTTATTAGTTCCTTAATCCTCTTTTGTTTTTCTTATGATGAGTTTAGAGGTAAGGTTTGAATTTAGACTTGATATATATGCTATAGTTTAACGAGTAGACAAGTAACGTAATATCAATTCGTAAGAGAAATTTTTTTTCCATATTTATTGATAAATATTAAATTTTTAATTTTAATTATTTTATAATTTCAAATATAAAAATAAAAAATCTTCATTTCGACTTCAATGAAAAGCATTTATTGTTAAGGTTAGTCATCCATTCATTTCTCGCGCAAGGATCCATCGCCGCCGATATCAAATCGAATCAAATCAGCATCCGAAGGAATAGAATATCTTCTATTAAAATCAGCCCAATAAGATGCAAGGTTGGGCTTCAGGAACTCGGGCTTTAGCCCAAGTAGAACACTGCATACTATTAATAACGAACAGGGAGTCATAGACAAAGCAAACAACTTTTTGCCAAAAGGAAAGAAGCGAGTTAAAGATTTCGGTATCTTCCCTTCTTGTAATAGAAAAAACCCATTATCCACTTACATCTATGAATAATGGGGAAACCGAGAAAGAGACGAAATAACCTTAGGTAAGATCCTAAGCTATGAGCAGCCTCAATTGGAGATATGGTCCATAGCTTAAAACAAGCCTTAGATTCAAAAAACAACCGTACAACCCTAGAGGCGATGACTGGAGCAAAAAGTAAATAAACAAAGAACATTAATGTATGATACAAGAGTAGTATACACACATATATATATATATATATGTTTAGCTCCATAGTGGAGCCGCAGTCAAGAAATTAAGGTGCAAATCTGCCTAACTTAAAGCGCACAATGATTTTTTTTATAAAACCTTGAATGGATGCACTCCGGTCATTATACATATACCAGACAGGGATTAGTGCGTAAAATGCTGATTATGGTTTTCATATTACACAATAATTATCTAAAGCTGTTATAAATATGTATACATGTCTATATGATGATTTAACCCTTACTTCGTATGCGTTTAGTATTTTCATTCTTCGGAATTAAAGCTTGGTAGATTGGACTGCTGAATTTTCAGCTTTTCTACACTTTTATTCAGTATCCCTGTTTGTGTTAATGGTTTTGGGATAGTGTATATTCTAGCAAAATGATAATGAAAGCATTTTTATAATAAATATCAAAAGATAGTTTTCTTATAATCTTGATTTAATGGCTTTCATGGGTTATGCTAGGATTCTGCTATGTATATCTGGCTTAGCTAAGTGGCACCAATGAAAATGACAAACAGTAAAAAATCGAATGTTGGACCAATGATATGATTGATAAAAGGTTGGCTTTTTTCTGCTTTTGGTTGATTTTTGTTTTGTTCTTCATTCAAAACAATTTTTCAACAATGTGCTCAAGTGGTCCTTCCCACCCTTCCTACATAATTTTACTTCTGAAAAATATAAAAGATCCACTGGCAACACCACTGGCATTCCACTTCCATCATAAAATTGAAGTCATCATCAGTCATGGCTATTGTGTTTTTTCTTCTTCCACCTATGGAACTCGTACAATCAAAGAACTATAACTCAAAACAGCCGATACATTTCTCCATGGCATTTTCTTAATGACTAATCATCTCCAATGTCATGGAGAATTTGAGAATATTTAACCATATATGGAAAATTTGATGCTAAGGCATCATTGCTTCAACATGAAGTGATCTGATTTTGGTTTACATTCGGCGAGCCACTTCAGCTTTGTTTCTTCTTCTTGCCCTTTTAATCTCTCTCCAATTTCTTTCCTTTACAATTAAAGGTTCTTCAATTATGGTTGAAAGACCTGAAAAAAGTCACCAGCAAAAAGTCATGAAACACTACACTCACGAAAGCTAAAGGTACTACTATATATATAACCATTTGAATTTTCGGAAGATTGAGTTGCAGTGATGACTGTGCTACTTTATGATAATCAAGTATATGCTCACCAGATGCAATACTTTTCTTCTCCTTCATCATTCTCATCATTTCGTCATATTCTTGCTGATCCTCATTGCTATTTATCTCATAATCATCGTTTGATTCCTGTACTTTTCTCAGATGACTGATTGTGGCCTTCGAGTGGGCATTGGCAAACAGCCATGTGACACCCATCTGTTTGCTGATCATACGAGCTGCATAGTATGGAATCTTCACACGCTTGTTAGTCTCTGAGTAGATGCGACCATTAATGATGAACATTATACAGTCCATTAAGCTCTCTTTACCCAATCCCTTCATGTCATAAGCCTGTGATCTTCTCCAAAGACTTTTACCATGAGAATTTGTAGGATTGGAGAGGCAAAGAGCTCGAGTTGAGTCTCTAATGGCGGCGTCAGGGTCCCTAAGTAGCAAATAACACTGAGCTCTATTACTGTAGAGAACCATTCTCTCTTTTCTAAGCTTCAAAGGGCATGCATCTAATGCTTCAGTATAGCTCTTTACTGCTGCTTCTACATCTCCTAACCAGAACCTATGGTTTGCTTGTTGCTTTATCAGGTTTGCTAAGTCCCTTCTCTCTTCAAGTTTTTCCTCAGACATAGTTTTCTCTCTCTTTCTCCTTTCTACCTTTAACTCCCATGTTTCCTGTAGCGCCTTTTGAACTTGGCTGTTCTTGATTCTAAATTTGTTTTGTTTATAATCTAAGAGGAGGGCTTCTGCGATTGTTTCACCTAAGCATGATCTGTCTCCAAGGCTTTTGAGTTCTACCAAATCGATGAGAAACATGGTGGCAATTTCAATAACCTTGTACCTTGTATCTGTGTCTTTGAGAAGCAATAGAAAGCTATCAATGCCCATGTACTGCCAATCATCTGATGATCTCGAGAGATGACATAGATACTTTATGACCTCCTTAGATTCAGAGATGCTTTTTCTTCCATATTTACTGTAGCACAAAATTCTGATCAGTCCCACCCCAGCTGGTGATGAGTGATTTCCCAATCCACCCCACATTCCAGACAAATCTGTCAAAAACTCTTGCTTACAAATAAGATTCAAAGATCTCTCTTTGCAAGCAAAGCAGTTGAGAAGATAGAGAGACCAGCACTGGAGCTGACTAGCCCATTCTTCAGCCTTTCGGTTCTCCATTTCTAAACCACCAACTCCTCTTGTAAGCAAGTCACAGTGATATCTTGACCTCTTACTCTTACCCTTCACACCTACAAACTTAACATACACTTCATCCAAACAATTAGAAGCCAAGTGCATACCTAGTCTCACCACCTCCTCTTCGTAAGCTGCTACTGCTTCAAAGGTTTTATCATAGCTTGCAAGGTGACCAAGAGCTCGAACCGCAACTCTTTGCTCAACCCAACTTATCTTTCCTCTTAGAAGCTCCATTAATGGAGGTATCACACCTGCCAGGACAGCTTTCTCTGCATACTCCACCTTGTTCATAGTATAAGAACCAATGACATGAGCAGCATAGTAAGGAATGTAAATGTTCTGGTCCCTAAGAAGCCAGCTTCTATCATTGATTCCTTTGTCAATGAAACTTGCCATGCAGTCAAAGATGCCGAGGGATGGGAACTCTGGATCATCTGGCTGCGTCATGGCAATATTCCAGAGACCACTCAGCACCAAAACATGTTGTTGGTCATCTCTGTTGAGAGGCATTTCCTTGAAACAACTTGCTATTCCAGCTCTTCTGAGAGATGGTTCTGGCTCTTTCATGATACAAAAGAAACAACACGGAGTGGTGCATGTCTGCCGCATAACCATGTTGTCCATATCGCTGGTTTTAGGGTTGGTAAAAATGGCAGTCATCTTCCCCTTTTTCTTTAGGGAATCCATTGCTTTAGAACAAAGATTTGGTACAAGGCTTCCAGGATTTGGGCAGTGTTAGGGTTAATTTTCTGGTACCATAAATATTCGGTGAAGAAGGAATTGGGAAGCAAATGGAAGGTGGCCAAGTGGTGTAGTGACACCTAGCGGCGCATGAAAAGGATTTTGTAATCTAAGCTTAAGAACCGTTTTCCGTATTTGAAACTAAGCCAATGTGCTCCTCTTTTTTCTCCGAAAAGTATCAAGTCTTCACAGGTTTACTGGGGGGTGATTCCAGTGATGTCCTGACACATTGTACTTTGTTGCATTTATTTAATTAAGTGGAAAAGAAATGATTGATTAAGCTACTCATCTACTACCCATTCAAATTTTCCACAGATCAGTGACATCCATTTATATATATATATGCAAGTAATGCAGAACAGGCTGCAACTCCGCCGCTGAAAATTGAACTAATGTGTTAATTGTAAATTCATTCACCCGACTCTTTAATTGATTGTAAATTGCTTATGTTAGAAAGAAAGTTGATGATGAGTGATGGATTGGATGTCTGTGTTCCTCCATTTATGATCAAAAGCAGCCAAATCCGGATCATGTATCTTCTTTATCTCCTTTTATGTTCTATCAAAGAGTAAAAAAATAATGAAAACAATAGAAGTAATAAGAAATTAGTACCCAAAGCCTATTCAGATAAGATGAGTAACATCTGCTGGACCCATCGACCAATCAGCACCAAAACACAAATGCTCAACGAAATTCGCTTGATGGTGAGCGAAAATTGAGCTTCGAAACTTGAAAATTATCTTCTTTGACGATTTTCAATCGTGCCCAAGCATAAAAGAAACCTTCCCTCACACTGAACCCATCCCACAAGGGATAAAATTTACATAAAATTTTTTAAATGAAGTTTATGAAATTTTTTTAAAAAATGATTTAATAAAAAATTTAATAAAAAATTTTAAATCAATAAATTGAAAAAATTTAATGTGAAAATTAATAATATATAAAAAATTATTAAATATGTTATTTATAATTCAAACTTGATACTTATTTAACAATAAAAATTTTGTTAATATTTTACTAAAAATATTTATTTAAAAATTTTTTAAAATTTTTTAAAAAAATTTTACACACTTAATTTATGTAACTAAAATTTTCAATCTATCAATTTTAATTTTTATTTAATTAATTTTAATAAAAAGCTTTACGAATTTCACCCAAAAAATTTCATCTAAACCTTTCCTTCCGCACGACAGACTTTTTTACCTTTAATTTGGGCTTACGGCTCAGTTTGAAATATTATTATATTAATAAATAATTATTTTAGTTAATTTTAATTTTAATTTTTTATTTAGAAATACTAAAATATTCATATGTAAATCTTTTTTAAAATTTAAATATTAATATTATTAAATTAAATACTTTTAATATTTTAATACTAATATAATAAATGATCACTTTTGTCATTTTAATAATAAATATTTTATATTTTAATGATAAATATTACTATTTATGCTTAAGAATAAATATTTTATTGGTAAATGTTATCTTTAAAATATTAATTTTTCATATTAATAAGAAATACTTTTAATGTAAAATATTACTATTTTAGTAATAACATTTATATGAAAATGCTACTTTAATATATAATATTACTACTTTAATAATTTCTTATGACAATATTACTGTTTTTGATATTATAATAGTAAATATTACTATAAATAATAAGTATTTGTAATAATTTAATAATAATAGATATTTTGAATATTTTAATAATTATGTTAATATAACTATTATAATCAAAATAAAATTTTAAAAAAATAGAAGACAAACAAAAAAACCCTTCAGGAAAAAATAACAATGCTTTTTGAAAATTACTTTTTGAAAGTTCATTTTGATAAAACAAAAGAGAACACTAATCATTTTCATATTTCATTTTTTTTAACAAATATATATATATATATATATTTTATGATTGGTGCAAACACTAAATTTTATTGGTTATTTGTCTAATTTTATAGTTTTATGGTGTAAAATAAGAATGTAATCAAGTCGAGTCGAGTTGATATAGTAAAAAACTCAAGTTTGAGTTTGATTTTCAATTCGCGACTCGAACTCGATCGAGTTTTATTTTTTTAACTCAAATTTGATTGTGATTGAAATCGAACTACTCAAAATCGTTCAATTAAGTTTGATTAATATGTTAAAATAAATTTGATTTTTATACTCAATAAGAGTTTAATTATTTGTGTTCGAGTTTGAACTCGAATTCGAGATATTTTATTAATTAAAATAATAAAAAATTAAATATAAAAATTCGATTAAACTCGCAGACTATTCGAATTGAGAATAAAAATATTTGAATTCAATTCAATCGATGAATCGAATTATTCGAATTCGATTAGATAATAATCGAATCGAATTTAAAATTTATTTAAATCAAATTTAAATAAATTACGAATATTAATATATCATTTATATTTTTAACGTAAAATCATATTTTTGACCCCCATCCCGCTTCTGTCCAGAGCAATGGAAGATTATTAAATGGTTGTAATTGGCTTTGTTAAATCTGTGTTCTTTGATGGGGTCAGTGTGGTCCTGGCCATTGGTGACGTGAGGGGTTAGGCCCCCTGGTTGAATTCTTAAACCTGAACAATGCTGTTTCACATTGCATTTTGCTCACTTTTCTCCGTTGTTTTTCTTCTCTTTCACGCCACACTTTACATTTTTCAAAACCTGTTTTGTCTTATATGACCAGGCATCAGTTAAACAGGACAACAGGTCAGTCAAATCTTCGAAAATGTCCAAAATTCAACCAATAAATCAGATTTGAACAAATTTCTAGATTTCCTGTGCATACTCGTCATGATGATGTCTGGAACCTTAGATTTTTTTTGCTTGAGTTCATCAAATCTAATATTACTTTGACTTCTAAAAGCTATTTGAGTAGGGTCTTCGACATGTCTAGAAAACTAGGACATACGCCATTTTCTACCATAGTTTAATCTTTTCTGAATCTGATAGGATTAACTTTTGATTCTGGAAGAAGCTTCAATTATACCAAAATTTGTTTAGTTTGCCATTGAATGCACCGGGGTGTTTGTTTAATTCACCAAAATAGAGTCAGGAAGCTTGGACTACACAAATTAAGGGCTCACCAAATCAGAAATCTCTCACTTTAAATTAAAATGAGGAAAAATCTGATGAATGATGGATGTACAAAGTCAAAAACTTTAGCAACCAACCTCTATGTCATGATAATGGTAATTGCAATGCGCATTCTGGTGGAGACTCGCCAAAAATGTTTGAGGTACCACAGCTTCAATATCCAAAGGTGGTGTCCCTGATCATGCCTCAACCTGTGTCTTCATATTATATATATATATATATATAGACGCGCGTGTGCGTGCACTATTTAGTGCAAATGTTGAAGGTCTCAAGGTTATGCGGCTACTATTTAAACATTGCTGCCTACAGAAGAAAATTCATGAAAATCAGTTCTACAAGTTTCAATCTGTCTCTAATGAGTCAAATTATTTATAATTCAGTACTAGTGTATGGAGCTTGCATAAGTTGGTACTATTTCTGTTGTGATGATTTCGAGTGGTGAAGTTTCTAAATGCACATCTAGCTGTGTTAGGATGCATAAATTTGCTTTCTTTCTCGCTTCCCTGCACAATCCGCGTGGAAAATAGCTGTGATAATTTCTAAGCTCATGATGATTAAGACTGGATTCGCAATCTAGCCTCATTGAAGAAAGTGAAACTGGGAAGATTGTTTTCTAAGAAAGAAAACTTATAATACATAATATAACCAATACAGTTTAGTACAGCTTCACAAATGTAAACGGAACATTTGGACTCTTGAGGAAACACATCATCGGCATAAGTCTAATGAATGGAAAGAAAGCTAATGCTATTCGTTCCCAAACTTGCAGAATTGATTCTAATGAATGGCTAAAAGATGCTGATATAAGTGGAGTTCAGTTTTTTACAGAAAGGCAATGACCAACAGTTTCAGGATTTACAATTAAACCTGATTATAGAGGATACAGGACCATATTCTCTATGCATCAGGAGACTTATGGGGTCCCCCATTAAACCAAGTTAGAACAGAGTGTAGTGAAGTAAACTTCGTATCTCATTGGCCCACTGCCAGTTTGAATTTTCCAATATTGAAGATATAGAAGGGGAAAAAAAAGTATAAACCTACGTGTTGATGAGTTGGTTGCTTGTACTTCTTTTCTTCATCCACTATAACTTTTGAACTGTTAAAAAAAATGGAATTCGGTCTCATGTAAGTAATTTTGGATCAAGTAAAGATCATAAGCTTTGATCTTTCATTTTACACAGAATCCTAGTTACTTAATAAAAAAGAGGTGGGATTGTTTTAAATATGTGTGTCGAAAACCAAGTAGAAAAAGAAGAAAAGCTAAAAAAAGTAGAAAGAAAAGGAGAAGAAAGAGTTGGTTGAACGAAAGTCGATCCGTGATCTGATTGAGTTGGAACCTTGTCAGGAGGTTTATGATTCAGAGTTCTACATTCTGAACGGTGAAGATCGGGTTTGAAGCTCTCTAGGAATAAATCTAAGGTGTATTTGTTGAGTCACTTATTTGGTGAGATTTCTTCAATTGTTTCTCTAGTTGTTGATTAGCTCTAGTTTTAGCTAGAGAAGAACTTTGTATACCTATTATTTGATAGTGAAAGTTTTTCTGGTGGTTCGTGATTTTTTTCCTCTACACTGGAGAGTTTTTCACGTAAATCTTGGTGTGCTTTATTTTTTTTGCATTTTTTATTATTGATTGTTGTCTATTGCTTCTGTATTGTTGTGATTATTGCTTCAGACGCAACAAGTGATATCAGAGCGAGGGTTATTTTGAGACATCGATACAAAAGTAACTTAGGATAGAAGTAAATTCTGTTTGAGATCATGGAGGATGATACAGGTTCCATGATAAAATTGACAGCATCAAATTATTCAAATTTGAAAACCTATGATGAAGGATCATCTATACTGCAAAGATTTGTATGAGTCAATATTGGGTGATTCAGCTTAACTGGCAGATATGAAAGATGAAAGCTGAAAGAAGTTAGGTAAAAAGACGCTGGCTACAATCAAAAAATGAGTTGATATCAACGTGTTTCATCATGTAGCGTAAGAGTCAGATGCTCACATTGTTTGAAAAAAATTGACAGCATTGTATGAGAAAAAAAAATAGGTATGAATAAAGTTATGCTTGTTAAAAAGCTTGTTAAAAAGCTTGTAACTTTATAGTACAGGGATGG